AAGCGAACTGAAAAGAAGAAACAGTCTCTAAAATTGCAATGGAAAGAATGTTAATTTCTTTTAAATATATATTTATAGACAGAGAGAGAACAAATGAAACTTGAGGAGAAACTTACTGGCGTTACAGTTTATCCTGATACAGTCTAGATGGGGAAAAATAAATGAAAGATGAAATTGCATCCTTCAAGGTAACAGCTGCAGACATCCAAAAACAATCAGTCCACCCTTCCGGGGACAGACACACGCAAAGAGATGTGGCCATTTTATATTTATATACATTCTGTACAAACTTAGGAATGGCTGCATAGCTACAGTATATTCTACAGAAATATCAGAACCATGTATCTAACCCAGAACTGTGTGTATGTCTCTGTGCATATGAGTGTATGTATGTGCAAAAGAAAAGAAAAAAAGAACAGAACAGAAAAAGAGAGAGAGAGAGAGAGAAAGAAAAATATATACTATATACCACTATGTGGCAAGTCGGGAAAAGAGTGCATTGAATATTATCTAGTGATTCTAATCAATAACTGCTAATAGCTGATATGTCACTTAGGAACATATATTCTCCTTCAAAATGCCAGTCTTTTCCCCATTACATATAAATATATATATATATATATATATATATAAAAACCTTCTAGGATTCTTTTAAGAAGGGCAACCTTTACACTACTTTTTTTGAATTACCCATGTGTCACTGCATAAATACAACACCTACCCAACAGTATACCTAGAGTTCTGGCTTGGAAAAATCTGCTGGTGCAATACTTAACCCTTTCCACCACTGCTAAGAACAGGTCTGTTCCCTTTGCAATAACCCAAAATTCTTTGGGAGAAAAAAAAATGTGTGCCATCACTGTTCTCTAAGATGAGGAAAGGGTTAACATACTGCCCCTTGTTCCCTATCATAAAATGGCCACTTGCAAACAGCTAACCGCACGAACGCCCAGCCCAGATTTCAGTTCAGTTTAGAGGATTGGGGTCTTTTTTTATTTGGGGTGGGGGGCAGTTGCTACAAAGACAGCCAGCCAGCCAGTTCTTCAGAGCCCTGTCTCACCTTTCTGTCTGAATGTTAGGACTGAATGATGCACCTACAACATTCAGGAAGAAGGTGAAATAGTCAGTGCAGAGGCAGGTCTGGTCATCTTTGCCAACTCTATATGCTTCACTCAGATGTTTCAGATAGTACAAATGGATAAAAACAAAGAAGGAAAAAGAACCAAGGTAATCCTGAAAACATGTTTTGCTTTTGGTAAAGTATCCCAAAGGCTGTGTACACATGAGCAGCTTAAACTGCAGCTAGGTCACTCTTTTTCTGAATTCAAATTGAAGCTGGTTTTGCGGGAAATGCGTTAAAATGTAGGCTATATTAATAAAATAAAAAAAAACAGGATGCAGGACAGATAGTGAATTTGACTGGAGGGCTCTTAATTCTTAAGGTCACGAGCCACTGTTTACAGTCCCAGCAATCCAGACTATATCCAGTTATGTGTGGTATGTATATATAATGTTGGATAGCCAGAAACTTGGACAGTGGAGGATGCTGTATGTTTCAAGAATGCATGAAATAGAGTGGATGGTGCTACCTACTCTGTGCTTAGGGGAACAACTTAATACCCAATGAAAAGGACAGTCCTTTATATTAATGAGAAAAAAATGTAATTTTTATTTTGGAAAAAGGTGGGAGGAAAAGATGACAAGGAATCTGAGTGATCAGGAATAAACTAATCAGGAGCAGTGAAGCTGTAGAGAGTCTGTTTCCCAGCAGATCTTCTCGTAAGAAAATATGGGTTTGGTTTCGTGCGATTAGGTTTGTCATGTGTCGTCAACCGCAACAGAAAAGTGGGAGCAAACAGTCCTTGAGCATTTGGTACGATCACCACACAGGGGTGGCTATATCCCTTTTGCAGATGTGTGCTGGTGGCGTGAGATAGCAACATAGATAAAAGCTGCTTCTATAAACAAAAATCTTCCCAAAGCTGGGGGAGAGGAGGAGGATGGGAAGGGGAGAGAGAGAGAGAGATTATCTCTGAGCTCAAATGCTTGTGCTTGGACATCCAGCTAAATAAAACTTTAGTGCGGTAAGAATGAATTTGGGAAAGCCTTAGGCTTGTATACACAGTTTAGCAGTTTAACATCTGAATCCTAACTGTTGTTAATCTCAACTATGGTTAGTTAAAACTATTCAACTATGGTTAAAACAATTCAGGTTCAGAAACCATAGTTTGAAGCTGACCGGTTTCAAATAAACCATAATTAACCACATTTTGCTAGGTTTGGACAAGATGAGAAGCTAGGGTTGATCTAAAATTGAAGCGGAAACTTCCAAACTCTTCTTCATGTCTGTGCAGGAAGTGGGGGCAGGGAGAATACAACACCCTGAGGCCACCTTTGTTTTCATCATGCTAAACTATGGTTTAACATGATGTCTGAACTAAGCCAATGTTATGGTTATTAAAAATGGGTTTTAAACTGGAATAAAAAGAATAGGCTGATAACACATTAATTCCATTTAAGGAACTTGTTTGAAGTTGCAGAAACTGCTTAGGATTCCCTCACCAACTGTTCTGTTATTATCAGCCTTTTCCTACCTCTTTTGGGTATTATGAACAGATTTACTTTGTTTAAGTCTGACATTCTGTCCCTAGCTGTTATTCCTGATCGTCTGCAAAATGGAGCAAGCGCTACTTTCCCTTCCATTCTTTGGGATTCTCTGGTCATTCTTCATTGCAATTTCCATTGTTTGCTCTGACTTATAAAACATCTCTGTTAGGTTTATACAACTGAGATTATACCTATCAAGGTGTGCTATTAGCAAAAGTGACAGCGCAGAGGGAGGTGGCAGCATACACAAATTAAGAGATGGATGTCAGCAAAAATTTTGATATTACAAATGTTATCAATTCTATTATAATTTTTATAATAAGTAGCCACATAAGACTTCCTTCGGGGAAATGAAGGAACATACATCATAGGGCTTCAGCAGAGACGATAGCTGGCCCATGAATCAATCAAGCTTGGAGATATATATATGAAAGAAACATAAATGAATGGCTGTCAAATCCAAGGTGTCACTAGTATTGCTCAAAAGGATGATGCTTAGCACAGTGTGAGATTGGGAGGTGGAGATGACTGACCACACTTCCCCGAAGGAGTCTGAGTCAAGACAAGCTGGCCATAGGTCCTGCCCCATGGCAGAAGCTTGACCGCAGTCCAGTAGGAGGGAAAGTATGGGAGGAGGGATGGAGAAGTTGAATGATCTTAAAACATGGGCCTGTGGCACTACTGCAGTGCCAGCCAACCAAACCAGAATGCTGAATATGAAGGTGGCTGTTTCTTCACGAGGGGCCATTCCTCATTCTCTCAGCACATGCTTTAACCTGCAGGGTTAATTCTGGGGCATGTGGCTCACTGAAGTCTCTCTCTTTCTCTCCTCCCCTCCTTCTTCACCTCCTCCCTCCCTCCTCCTTTCTCAACAGAGAAGTGACATCTCTCATATTTGGTTATCTACTCTTTACAAAGTCAAGGGTCCAATATGTTGTGAGGTGTGTTGTTAAGACAGAAAGAATGCTGCCCAAAGCTCCCATTTTGGGAAAGTCTAACTACTCCTTAAGTAAGCAGCATATAGCTACAAGAGACTCTCTTCCCCCCTCTCCTCCAAATCAACCTAAACCTTCCTCTCTGTTTTATTTTTTGCTCAAAGGTGTGGTGCAGGTGAGAAGGATATGCCAGCCCCTGCAGGCTGCTCTGTACACTCTGTTCGAAGGGCTGTTTGCTGTGCGGGCCGCAGGCTTCAGGCCTTTGAAGGGTTGAATACCATCTTTTGATATACCATGACGGATGGGGTGTAAAGAAGCTTTTACGACTTGGATACACAGCATAAAGAGATCACAGAAAAGACCTTAATAAACAGACAACCTTTTAAGAGAAACCAAATGGAATTAAAATGTGAGGGGGACGGGGAGCAAGCACAAGAATATTTTATACCATTCAAAACAGTTTTTGCCAATATGTATTTATGGCACATCAGATTATTCATATTCCAGCTATGTGATTTCCAGATTGGTTTTTTTTTTTTACTTACTTGTAGTTTTTGACCATCTGTTAATTATGAGAAGGCTACATCTATGATGTTGAACCTGTTGTGGCTCTTCAGATTTTGCTGGACTTCTAACTCCCGTCCATCCCAGCCAGTAAGGCCAATGGTGTGGGATGATAGGAGCTGTAGTTCAATGGCATCCTGACTCAAAAACCTCTCAGAACTCTCTACACCATAATTACATCATAATGGTCCAAAGAACTATAATCCAAAGTATTGGTGTTTGAACTACCTGAGATAGTAAACTCTGTTCTTTTTTAGAAGGTCTAATATTTTATTTGTGTCTTCAAATCTATTGTATTTTTGGCTATTTATTATGGAGGAGTATTTGTTTCAGAACCCAACTGATATCTGAAACCTTTGCAGATCTTCACTATTGCATAATTGAGCTAATGCTCTGGAAGTCACCTTCAGAGCCCTGCTAGACTGAAGCTCCTTTTCTGCAGCAAAGCTAGAGTGATGCTGCAGTTATTGCAGGTAAGAAAGTTTTGGCTTATTGGAGCTTCTTTGTCCACTAAACTTCAGACAGAAGTCTCCCTTAGGATTTTTCATGCAGTGCATTTAGCATGAAATCTTAACTAAAAGTCTGCACAATATTCCTACATTGAGACCATCTCCAACCATGTTGAATGAGAAGTGCTGAAATAAATATGTGTGCATCCACTACCAACTCCGGTTCCTAACCCTCCCCCCTGCAAATTTCCATTATGTCTGAAGCTTTTTTAGATGAGTAAGATCATGTAAGACTACTCCCAAACAACGTGTATACATTCATGATCTTGTGAAATTGTTAGGGAAGTCCTGAAAGGAGGACTGAAGGTTAAGCACTGGCATCTCAGTCAGTTGCATTGTGAGGCTGGGTTTCCTTTTATGAGCAATGGTGACCTCATGCAATATCACATTTGCCAAGCTATGACCTGTTCAACAGAAAAGCTTATAGTGGTTATGAACATAGTAACATCTGGGGTTTTAAGACAGCCTCTCAAGTGAGGCCCTCAGAGCATGCAGCAGCAACATCCACAGCTATGGCTCGTGACTTCTCTTTGAGGCAGGAAAGTATAATCAACAAGATGTAATCATTTTCACTTTCCATTAGTGACAGAGGAAAGAATATTGCCTATGCCAGGCCCTCCATCTCTTAATAATTGCTACCTTCTGCCAATGGCAGAAAATGAAGGCATTTGTTTTCTGGGAAACAAAAACGAAGCTTTTTGATTTCTAGAAAACACTTTATATGAATATGAAATATCATCAGTGAATGGACTGAGAAAAGGGCACAGAAATTGCCTGGTTACAGCAGTGTCAGAGGAGAAAGCAGCAACATACTGAAATTTCCCTTTCAGTACTTTAGAGTGGATGACACTGAAGGAACAGGGAGACTTTGAGCCTAGAGGAGTGAACAGAGGTGGCGTCTCCTGTGCTCCTTGTATTGTTTGGGGACTGGGGGTATTTTCTTTATGAGCAAACGCAGTATATTGTTCATTGTTTTGGGGGCTGGATGTAAAAAGGTGCCACACATCATTCTAATGCAATTTAATACAAGCATGCAAATATTAGGGAAAAGGATTAATATCCCCCTGTTCTGCAATCCAAATAAGTTTCTGTATCTAAAATTGTTTACATGCATACCTTGCCTTGGGTAGGTGGGTGGCAGGCAATCTCTCTGAATATATTCCTCCATTTAATTAGCACGTATTCATTTATATCTGAAATTCATTCCCTAGTTGTCAGCTTATTTTTTAAAAAATGTTGTACAATATTTGGTAGCATAAGTCCTGAAAATTAACAACCCTACTTCCTATATGAACCTAAAAGTCATTGGGCAATAAGAGGAATGCTTGAAATATAAAACACTGGCATCTTAAAAACACTGTAGCTATATAGACCCTTCCCTCTATGCCTTTGTCATTTTTTGTCAAACACTTTTGACTGTTTTGAATAGTAATAGAGAGGCTGGATCAAATGAGGATGTGATTGATCAAAAGATGGACTAAATAGCATGTCTTACATAAAGCTAACCAGTTCAGGAACAAGAAAGGAAACTTAAAAAACAAAAACCAGACTTAAAAATCACATTACCCATAACCCGGAATTAACATAAAATCACCATGCAATGGTCACTGGAGAAATTATTTCTCCACCATTAATACTGTTACAGAATACATCAGCAACTACTTATAATTCAGTTAAACCAAACCGGGGGGTGGGGGAGCAGGGAAGGGGGAGACGGACAAGAAAACAAAACAAGCTCAAAACTGAAAGCCGGAGGTGGAGGGGGGGAATTTCTGTACAATACCTAGATTGACCATGAGTTTGACACGGCCTCCATCCAGCTCTAGCCGCAGGGTATCGGCTGAATCACGGGATGTGGTGGCCATCAGGAGCCCGTAAGCCCTCTGAGACATGAAGCGGAAGGACACATCCTCTGCCTCTGTGTGCATGACCATCGGCATAATGATCTTCATGTACATGCTGCCATCATAACTCAGAATCGATGCCTCTGAAAAAACAAAGAAAAGGAAAATAAAAATTAATCGCTATCAGCTCTGTGCCCTCCAGATCTTGAACACACCACAGATACATTGCTTCACTCTGCATTACTATAGGCAAGTGGCCACGAGATCTTTAATAGGAAGTATTGTTGTGTTGAGCTTATCGTGTTGCACACCAAAAACAACATGGAGGCTAGATCAGTGATAGCAACAAAGTTTCCATTTTCTCCACAAATTGGTTCCAATATAGCATATGCTACCCATTCTACCTGCCTCAGGTGTTAAAGATCTGCTTTCTTACAAATCAAGCTAATCTCTGCAGTTGGTCAATAGTAATGGCTTATTTAATATGGGAAGGAAAAAGGAGTGTAGGGGTGAGATTTTGGGGGGAGGGATAGGAAAACATTTTATAGCAGTATTTGAACAGAACATTGCTATAGTGGATGGTTCTTCTTCTTCATCATCATCTTCTTCTTCAAACACATTTACTCAAAAATTACAAAAATTACAATAGAGCTTTGTCCACTGCCATAATATCACAGAATGATCACTCCAATCCTCAATCCCTCACCACGGTCATGTTGACTCACCAAATATCTTCAATAGGAACTCAACTACAAATCTGATTTACTAGACAGTTCACTTGTCTAGTGGATGGTTCTTTGAAAAATATTTTAAAGTGATGTTGTTGTTTTATTTATTTAAAAAAATGTTACTTCCATGAGCTTTGGAGTGAAGGGAAGTTAAAATTCAGATGAAACATCTCATTATTCTCATGCTTAGTGTGAGGACAGGAAGTTGAGACAAATTAACCTATGATGCCACGTGCATCTTAGGACATATTGCACACATAACCTAGACCTAACAATCACTAGTTTTCCAGTGGAAAGGTTTGCTAACTAAAGGTAATAGAGATTACTTAAGGTGTGAAGACACTCCATTGACTTTTGATATATACTTCTGCTCCAGCAAGACATTTCGCTTCCACTCATGGCCATCTGCTGCCAACTGCTCTGTGTGAAGGCATCCAGGAGAAATACAGTAGCAGGTTAAGACAACATTAAGTGCCTACTCTGGAGCCAAGTGAACTGTCCCTCTCTCTCTGGTCTCTGGGTCACATACTACCAACTGTCCTGCAGAAAGAAATCCAGGAGAGAGAGAGGCTGTGGAAGACAAGCCTAGGAACTTGTTCTTGCTCCATCTGCACTGTTCCCTACTCTGCTGCAGGGCCACATCCATCGTCAGCTGCCCTGTAGGACAAATTCCTAGAGAGAGGAGGAGGGAGGTGACAATGATGCTTGGAGCTTGTCTTGCCCCAGTTCTGGGTAGTTTTGGTTTATGTGCATGGGTTGGTTGGTTGGTTTTTAAAAATGTAGCTCTACATTTTATAAAAAATACGGAGCATTTGAAATATTATATTACAAATAAAATTGAAAATACAAGGCATTAAAAATAAATTATAAACATTATGAGTTGTTTTCAGGGCACCCCTCTAAAAACTCCCCCACTGATCTCCAAGTTGAGTAGCACCTGCTTTTGGTCAAATTCACTAAGGTATGTGTTATCGCATGGAGTAATTGCACCCACACCCTGAATACTGAGATGATGCATACATATTGAATAAGCTCTGTCCCCGTGTTTCTTAGCATTAACACAAAGATTTGCAACGTAAACAAACAGCTGTGTGGATACTGGCTGAGGCATGCCTGCAATTGTAAGTATGTATATCAGTACTATGGTGTTTTGCTGACACTTACACACAGTCATCAAAATTCTAGTCGCCAAACATATTGCCTATCAATTTTAGTTTCTCTCAGTTTCTCATTATTCAAAACTAAAGTGCAATTCTCTATATTTCCACATTAGTTTGCAGTTTGTTTAAAAAAGAAATCCTCATGAAAATTCGCCAGCATTTCAATGTGAATTTCTCCTAATTTACATAATTTTGTATGCAGTTTTGCCAAACATACACATCTGTGCAAAGCAGTGTTCCCTAAATAAATCCATATTTATTTTTACTTATATATGCATTTTTATGAACACCTGGTTGGAGAACTGCATTGCAAAATTCAGAGAAGTGAAAATTTGGAAGGATGGCTGTGTTTTGATTCGTGTATTGTACGGGAACATGTGTGTTAGGTAGCTTTGTTTTAAAATGTGAACTGAACTGAATTATAGCCAATTGAACTGATGTGTAAAATGTGCAGACGCAGTAGCCTCCTCAGATACACACAAACTATTGCCCCTCTTCATCTACACACCATTTGCCATGAGTGCAAACCAGCTGTGGGTCACAGAAGAAAAGCTGTGCTCCCTTTTCACAAGGTGTTGCTGCAGAGAAGCAAAGCACAGCATGCTAAATGCAATTCCAATCGCTTTCACTTCTGCACTCCCAATACTGCTTCCAGCTGCTAGTAGAACAAAATGTACTCTATATTATACACACACTTACTGGCTGCATGTAAAGAAACACAGTCGCGCACACCTCCCTGCTCTTGCTGTGGACTGTATTAGGAAGTGAAGTCGAGCATGAAATGGCTCTTTTTGACACCTTCAGCTCGAATGTGCCCTGCCTGAAACTGTCTGTGCCACTGTCTGGGCATGTGTGTAGAGCTGGCAAGTATCAGTGCATGTGGTGCCAGTGAGCATGGGGATTAATCGGCAATAAGAGGACCCAAATCCTTCCTTCCTTCCTTCCTTCCTTCCTTCCTTTCTTTCTTTCTTTCTTTCTTTCTTTCTTTCTTTCTTTCCTATTTACAGATAGATAGATGGCACGGTGAAAGCCATTTTGCTGCTTCGGAGATCTGAAAACATTAGGCAGCCCTTCGAAACCTGTGAATGGTATTGATAGGGGAGATGTGGTTCCACTCTTTGCTTAAGATGTACGGTACGGTATATTGATTGGTTTAGGAGGGATAGCATGTGGGTTATATACAGCATTCATTGTTGCCAGAGATGTGTACAGATGGTGTTGCTAGATGTAGTGTGGGGTAATGGTAGAGTGTTAGACTAGGACCTGGGAGACCAGGGTTCAAATCCCCCTCAGCCATGAAGCTCACTGGGTGACCTACCTCACAGGGTTGTTGGTTGTGCTAACAGTTAAACTCCTTAGGCTGCATTACACTTTGATTTACAGTTTAAACATAGCCATGGCTTCTCCCAAATAATAATGAGGAAAAGTACATTCTGCAACAAAACAGACTTTCTATAGGAGTTCTTTTTCATCCGAGTGCCCCCAGGGCCTTGGTACTCTTATGTAGTTAAGTAGGAAGGAAAGGACTATTGTTCATAAGCATTTCACACAGTCTGCTACAACTATCATTACAGTTCATTTTAAAGTTCCAAGTATATATTTGCAAAGCAAGAAAAGAATTGTTTTCATAATGTATGATTGAGGCTGCATCCAGAGAGTTGTTAGGAGATCCCCTCTCAGAGCTACATTTTTCAGAGTGATTTAACAACCAACCCCTCTCACCCAGGGAATTCTGGGAACTGTAGCTCTGTGAGGGAAATCAGAGTTTTTCAAACAACTTTCAGCACTCTTAACAAATAGCAGTTCCCAGGATTCTTTGGGGGTATCCATGATAGTGATATGAGTGCTTTAAATGTATAGTGCAGATGGGCCTAAGATGGTAAAATTAGACAAACTCCCTGGAAAAGCAAGAAGCTGGGATAATGGATCAACAGCCAATACAGTCGTACCTTGAAAGTCAAACGGAATCCATTCCAGAAGTCAGTTCGGCTTCCAAAATGTTCGGAAACTGAAGCACGGCTTCTGATTGGCCGCAGGAAGCTCCTGCAGCCAATCAGAAGCCCCGTCGGACGTTCGGCTTCCAAAAATAGTTCGCAAACTGGAACAGTCACTTCTGGGGTCGGGAGCCAAAACGTTCGAGAACTAAGCTGTTCGAAAATCAAGGTACGACTGTATTCAAACAGCTGTATTGTCATTAAATATATCATACAGTTCAAACAATAAATGATATTTTAATTTAAATTTTTCATATCAACAGACTTCGATCATATTATAATTTGAATTGTATCGTACTTTCAGGTAGATGAACTGGAACGGAGTTTGGACTCTGAAGGAGCAGGGGGACCTTCTGGGTGCATTCCTTTCATTTAAAGCTCAAGTGATCTCTGTAGCACCAAGTGCCTTCCATCAGCTTCACTTGGTGGCCCAGAAGTGACCCTATCTGGACAGAGATAGCCTAACTACTGTTGTGTATACTCTGATAACCTCTAGGTTAGATTACTGCAAAAAGTTATATGTAGGGCTGCCTCTGAAGACAGTTTAGAAGCTTCAGCTATTGCAGAACTCAGCTGCCACATTGCTCACTGTGCAATTTGAGCATATTACACCAATCCTGGTCTGATTGCACTGGCTGCCAGTTAGTTTCTGGGCCCAACTTAAAGTGCCACTTTTGACCTATAAAGCCTTAAACAGCTCAGGACCACAATACCTCAAGGACCACCTCTCCCCATATAAACTGACTTGAACGTTGTGATAATCATCTGAGGCCCTTCTTTGTGTGCCCCTCCATGAGAGGTTCAGAGGATGGCAAGATGACAAGGGTCTTTTCTGCAGTGGCACCCCCATTTGTGGACTGCTTTCCCCATGAAAACTTGCCTGGCGCCTTTTTACATATCTTTAGGTGGCAGACAAAACATTCCTTTTCTCCCAGGTCTTTGGCTAGTTAAACAATCTGTAGCCTTTTAAACTGTGGTGCTGTTTGTTACTATGTTGTGAAATTTTGTGTTTTTATACTGTAAACTGTCATGTGATCCTTGAATGATGAAGGGCTGTTTAGAAGAGAGAGAGAGAGAGAGAGAGAGAGAGAGAGAGAGAGAGAAATATAAAACCACACATTCTCTGATATCTCCTGGTTGGTGTTGATGGATTCTACTCCAGTGTCTTCTTCAGAAAATCAGTGTCTAGAGCTCATGTATGGCAGCAGACAGAGGAGGGAGAAGAACAGACAGCAATTCAACCACAGAATATCATGGCTAGCAAGCTAACTGGTGAAAGGATGAACAAGGCTGTTTTACCCTGTGCTAAGACATAACACATGTAATTATGGCACAGGTGTCCATAGTTAATTAGTGGAAGCATTAGCAGTATCTTCATTATTTCATCAGACTGCTCAATTTTGCTGGAAGCCCATAAATGACCCATCACTCCACAAAAGAAGAAAACAGGGTGGGGAGTGGAGATAGCCAAACAATGTGGATAAATAGAACAAGGGTAGCCAACGTGGTGCCCATGTTGTAGTCCAACCTCTGTAGGGCTGACTAAAGCTGAATTGGCTGAATGGCAGAAGGAGCATCTGTAGAAATGTCTAGCATCTCCCTCATCTGTAGAAATCAGTGGTTTTGGGTTGAGTCTCATGGAACTTTGAGTAAAAAGATAAACTGAATCTTTTCATGTGCTTCTGTTTAACAGTTATGGCTGGTGGCTGTCTGTTTTCATAAAAAGAGCATAGAAAAGAAGACAAAAGGAAGGAAGAATTTATATAAACAAGGTATCAAATGCATTCCCTGGTTTTTTGCAAGTCTACCATTATCCTCATTGGCTTGACCTTAAAGTCAAAACCCTGTAAGATTCGGTAGCTATAACTAGTAAGAACAGCATTAGCACTTGTAAACCTGCTTTGGGACAAAATATGGTGTTCCTCTTTTAGATATTAAACTATCTATTTTTCTAAAATCCCTATATCTACAGCAAAAGGGGAATATTATTAAATTGTTAGAACTTGGCATTATTCCTTTCAGGACTGTGCTCATGGGGGCAGGTGGGGGGAAGCAGACCAGAAAGGAAGGTTCAAAAACATTAGGAAAGGCCGTGGAAACATTTGCAGATGGAGGAAACGGTTGCTGGTAAATGTTATTACTAGCCCAGAGACGTGGGGAGCAGGAGACTGTAGCCTTGCTGAATCTTGGCAGGCACATGAGGGAGCCAAAAGGGAGCATTAGAGCTCCTCCTGAAGCCTGCTCCAAATGTCAATCTAACATTTGCAGAAGTGCGCAGAACTGTTTTGAGAAGAAATATCGGACGAGAAGGTCAAGGCTGGAAAACTTGTACAAAGTCAGCAAGCCAAATGAGAAGAACACATGGGCTGAAATTGTGCTTTGAGAATCCATTCCTTCTTCTATAACTGTGGGACACGTGTATAAAGATGTATTTAAGATGCAGGCAAAGGGCTTTCTCATCAGGTCGATTCTGATACAGCATGCTTCTGAATACCAGCTGCTGTGAATCACAGGTGGGCAGGGTGCTATTGCACTCATGCTCTGCTTGCATGCTTCCCAGGGGCATCTGGTTGGCCACTTGACAAAGTGGAAAGGCATTTAGAAGAGGGGTAAGTCTCAGAAGGTCGGTGGTTCGAATCCCCTTGACGGGGTGAGCTCCTATTGCTTGGTCCCTGCTCCTGCCAACCCAGCAGTTCGAAAGCACATCAAAGTGCAAGCAGATAAATAGGTACCGCTCTGGCGGGAAGGTAAACGGTGTTTCTGTGCGCTGCTCTGGTTCGGCAGAAGTGGCTTAGTCATGCTGGCCACATGACTCGGAAGCTGTACGCCGGCTCCCTCAGCCAATATAGCGAGATGAGTGCCACAACCCCAAAGTTGGCCAGGACTGGACCTAATGGTCAGGGGTCTCTTTACCTTTACTTAAGTCTCCACTGCCTGGCCTACCATGCCATGCCCCCCACCACACCCCAAAGACCTTCAGGGGACCTAATCCAGCCTTGGCTGAGCTGGCTTCTGCTGAGCTGGCTGAGCCCCAGTTGAGCCAGGACAGGGCACTTACACCTGCGCACCTCCAGCTGAACCAGGATGGGAGACTCACCTGACTCAGACATAGATCTGCCTATTCCAGACACGAACTTGCCCACTCATCCTGGGCAATCTTTAATTTAATAGCCTTAGGACAGCTCAAGCTACCAATAAAGAGCTATTTGTGGCTTTGCATGATTGAACAAATAATGTAACGAAGCACAACAAACCTTGTGACCCATGAGTGAAATGCTACATTTGTATTTGCCAGAAGAAATTCAGAAGCAGGAGAAAGACAGAGATTATTAAATTTGCCTTAAATGAAAAAGCCCTGCTTGTAAACTAGTGATATTTTTTTTTAAGTCTGACAAATAAATCAGCTTTTGGGAAGTGTTATGGAGCAGAGCAGGCAGCAATTAGGCAGATAATGACAGCATTGCTAGCTTGGGGGGGGGGAGTACAGTATACCATTTAATTTGGTGTTCCAAGTTGCACCTTCCAAACTTAAAAATACAAGTTCAACTATATGGTGTTTATAACACCAGGAGGTGGGAGGAGGGTTCTGCACATCCCTTTCTTACCCCATCAAAGTACTGCCACTTTTCTCTTGCATAACTTTTGTAAAGCTGTAAAATTGCCGGGTGGCGACTGTCTCAAAGCACTTCAGACAAATGGCAATATTACTCTACAGAAGGGTATCATCAATAGGATAGTAAGTTGGGCCCACTGCAGCTTCTAATCAGCTCATCAATAGTGATGTGATGACTCTTTTTCTCCTTAAGTACAAGGCCAATTTGTTTCACGGCATTATTGCGAGGAGAATTGAAAGAGAGGAAGAGACGTCTATTTTCTGCAGGCCAGACCTGGCAAAAAGGCAAAGGATGAGATGCACACACACCCCTCCTGCAACTGCCCACAACTGGCCCTTGAATATTACTTCAACACTGGCAGGAGAGCAGCATCCTCCATTGCAGCTGAGGGCAGCAGGTTAGCCGAGGGACCATGGGGCAAACCACCCACAATGCTTTCTCCTGCAACACCTGAGCATCACTCCCTACCCTCGCCCCCGCAAGAGTTTCTGCCACCTGAATCAGCCACCTCACTATGCCTTATGGTAGGGCCAGCCCTGCCAGAGGCTAACAGTGCAATGCGGGCAGTGGTAATAGATGATCAGCAGCAAATATATATGGCTTTCACGTATAAAATGGGAAACTTCCCCCAAAATGAATATTTTGGGCAGAAGATAATGGGTCCCGTCATCAGAAGCCCTGTGCAAGGACTTCTGCTTGTGCAATGGGCTTACCCTACTGCCCCCCCTCACCTACTGCAACTTACTTAGGGAGGTGGGTCTGAAGAACCTATGCAACAGCTCATGGGAGGAGGGAGGAGAAGGGGAATCATTCCAACTGGCCAGCTGAAATGCTTGCCCTGACGGAATGATCGCCTTAGTGCAAACACTGAATTCTTCGTAAAGCAATCCTTTCCTCTTGGTGTGCCACAGTCAGAGCCTCCCACCAGGGAAAGTCTCCCACTGCAGGTGTCAGTCCACTAATGAAGAGACATGTTCATCACTTTGTAATGCCTTGCATATGCTGGATCCTAGATTGCCTCTGAGCATGTGCTGTGAGTATTTCTACCAATATTATGTGGCTGTAGAAAACCTAGATAAGGCAAGAATTTGGGAGAAGAGTACACTGGTACCTTGGGTTAAGAACTTAATTCGTTCTGGAAGTCTGTTCTTAACCTGAAAGTGTTCTTAACCTGAGGTACCACTTTAGCTAATGGGGCCTCCTGCTGCTGCCGCATCACCACCATGCGATTTCTATTCTTATCCTGAAGCAAAGTTCTTAACCCGAGGTACTATTTCTGGGTTAGCGGAGTCTCTAACCTGAAGCATCTGTAACCCGAGGTACCACTGTATTTAGGGAAGAATGTTCAACTCCAAAGTGTGTTTCAGCCTCCTTACCAGGCTTTATAGAAAGTAAGCACTAACTACAGCATTTGCTAAACAGATAAGAGCCACCAGATTCACATTGGAGGCAATATGTAGTACAGGGGTTAGCAACAACACAGCACCTAGCCCTTAAGAAAACAATACACACACACTCTTGCTTATTTCTTTTAATACCCAGATTTGGTTGCTAATCCCTATGAAAATAACATTTGGTTTACCCCTATGTCAAACACATACTTATAGATCATCGCCGAAGGGGTTAAGATGGGAGGGAATTCCTTTTCTATTGCAATCTTGATGTGGCGAAGAATTGGATCAGAACACAGTTATCCCTCCGTTTTCACATTTCTCTGAATTTTGTAATACAATTATTGGCTCCCCTCCTCAGTGCTGCATGTGATCTATACAGAGCACCCGCACATTTACAAAGAGTTTCCTTGGGAATGAAATGTATGAAGTGCAATAACATATTGACTATGTAAGTTACGTATGTTGTGTAATGTTACCACAGAGGACAGAGAGACCAATGACATCCTTTTTGGCATAAGACAAACTGCAGTAGAACGGAAGCAGTGATGTATACAGAGCAGAAGCACACACAGCGCCTTCTAAAACCCCTAGGTGGGACTGACTACCTACAACATAGTGTTACTACAGAACTTCCGGGGAAATGGTACTTGTTGGCTGACTAAGCATGATTAACATTACATTGTTCTAAATTTCTTTTTTTCTCTTTTATCACTTTCATTTTCTTAATTGGTAGGGCTACATTATTTATTTAGCAAGCAACTCTGGTTCATTTATTCCATCAGGAGGCTGCATTTAAAACAAAAAAAGATAAATCATGAGCCACCCATGCATTTAGAATTTAACCGCAGGAATAACTCAGATGCATTGGCTGATTAATTTCATACTAACAGAGAGTGGCTTGTGGAATCCAGGCAGCAACACCAGGATAAAATCTTTCCGGTTTGAAGAATGCATGCAAGAAATAGAAGAAGAAGAAGAAGAAGAAGAAGAAGAAGAAGAAGAAGAAGAAGAAGAGGAAGAAGAGGAACAACAGTATAACTGTCCAACCCCACATTCAAGTGAGAAACCTGGCTTCATTACTCCAGCCCTCCTAGCCAGTTATTATGTTGCAGACTAGGGCCCCAATCCATGTCTAGTCACTTACTTAATGAACTTGTGGCCTTGGGTGGGGGTGCACATCTATATCAGATGTGTCCATAAAGTTCAATATGGACCAGATAAGCATCACAATCCACACTGGGCCCCCAGGAGAATTGGAGATTCTCTAATGTGCCTAATGTATGCCAGGGTACAGCTTTTCTTCTAAACTTTCACGTGTGGATTGGAATCCCCCTAACTGCCACTCACCCTTGTACAAGAGGTTTGTGCTCACATGCTGGAATATTTGTCCTTCTTTCCTTAGCTATCTGACCCTTGTGCCATCTTGCAAACGTGTTTCAAGAGTCCCTCAATTATCAAAAGTAATTCCCCATGTACTGGGGGTGAGTGGGAGGAAAAACAGAACTTTTTTGGCTCACAGAACTTTTTTTCATAATTATCTGGCTCCTGCAATGAAACCAAATGCCCATATAATGGAGGAAATCTAACACAGTAACTCCGTGGAAGTTAAAACACATCTGGGTCCAGCCAGTACTTGGATGGTGGACCACATGAGAAACCTACAATGCTGGAAGAAAGGAGGGGTATAGATGCAAATAAATATTAGCTAGATTCTGACATCCATTAATTTATTGGGTTTAGAGGGGTTTCCCTCCCCTCAAACTTTTAATGCTATGTATATTTGATTCTGTTTCAGAAATCAGTACAGTGGTACCTCTGGTTACGTACTTAATTCGTTCCAGAGGTCCATTCTTAACCTGAAACTGTTCTTAACCCGAAGCACCACTTTAGCTAATGGGGCCTCCTGCTGCCACCGCACGATTTCTGTTCTCATCCTGAAGCAAAGTTCTTAACCCGAGGTACTATTTCTAGGTTAGCGGAGTCTGTAACCTGAAGCGTATGTAACCCGAGGTACCACTGTAGTTAAAATTTTCTTCCACCTACCTAGAGTCTTGTTCATCAATCATAGACCTAAACTATTTCACACCAGCTCCTTGGTGCTTTTGTAAAAGTAGCCCAGGGAGCTCATTATGTCAAGCACACTATATATTATATTGCCTTTTTTTGATAGTGTACATTTTGCTAGAATGATCCTGATGGTTTCTCACCATAGTTTCGCTGAGAGTCCCAGATGCCACTTTGACATTGCATATTTTAAACAGACAGGAGACAGCATTTGGGCTTATTATCTTGACAAAGGTCAGCTGGTAAAACTGTTAGGGCTCTGTTCCTCTTTAGTGTCGTGCAATTCCAGCATTGTTGCCGAGCTGATAAATAAATTCAATCAAGTTTCTGCACAAAAGAAGCTCTGACAGACAAAGAAAGGAGAGGTCTGTGCACGGCGTTTCATAAGGGCAATCAACGATTTTATCTCTCTAATGCAAAAGCATTAGCAAGGATTTTACCCTTGAGTGCCTTAACCTCAAGAGCATTCATTTTACCAGATCTGCCTCTATAGCCCCAAAGTGGCAGGACTCCATTGAAAGCACAGCATTAGGAACATTGATTACAAGAAATGGTAAACAAAAGGATGTTGCAGTGCTCTTAAGGGCCACTCATGGGGTGTTTTCAAAAATGGTTACATTAAAAGCCACCCCTTCTTGAAAACCAGCAAGCAAAATTACATTGTCAGAGGCTTAGTGCTGTCCAGCTGGCCATAGATAAGACTCTGGGCTCCCAGCCAGTTCCCAACAATTGATTTATTTGACAAAGTTCAAACGTACATCTCCAGCGTTTCCATTAGCGTCGTTCCCCTTGTGCGCAGTTGCTCCCTCTAATCTTACTTCCTCCTTTTCCGCACCCAGCATGCAAGTCTGCGAAAACTCCTCCCCTTACTTCCTCTGTGTACAGCATGACTTGTCCCAGGCTCATCCTCCTCCCCCCCCCTACGTCAGACTGACTGTCAGACGACAAGCTGCTGATAATCTCTTTAGGCTCTCTATAACTGCTCTCTATAACTCTATAACTTCTGTCCTGTCATCTTTTCCCGTTTGCCTCTCCCTGACATACATGAAGCCTGAAATCTTTCACTCCTCTACAACAGGCGCTGGATTTGGCAGATTTAATACAACGATTATTACAACTATCAAGATTATTGCCTGCTGGATCAGACTGGTGGTGCATCTAGTTCAGCATCCTGTTCTCACAGCGGCCAACCAGATGTCCACGGAAAGCCTGCAAGAAGGATCTGAGCTCAACTCAGCCCACCTCTGATTCCTAACAACTTGAATCCAGAAGCACAATGCCTCCAACATTGGTGGATGAAAATAGCTATCAGGGTTAGCAGCCACAGATAGCCTTAGATGATGATGATGACGATGATGATTAAATTTTGTACATTAATATAATACAAATATACAGTGGTACCTCAGGTTACATACACTTCAGGTTACATACACTTCAGGTTACAGACTCCGCTAACCTCGGGTTAAGAACTTTGCTTCAGGATGAGAACAGAAATCATGCAGCAGCGGCGCAGTGGCAGCGGGAGGCCCCATTAGCTAAAGTGGTGCTTCAGGTTAAGAACAGTTTCAGGTTAAGAACAGACCTCCAGAACGAATTAAGTTCTTAACCTGAGGTACCACTGTATAAATTTATTAATGATTATGATGATCAAGAATATATCTTGCCTTACTTAAAAAAAAAAGGCAACTTAGAGAACAATTATTTTCACGGGGCATGAAATCAGCAGGGGGAGGACAGCACTTTGTTATCATATTAGTGCCAGCACTGTGTTTTTTTGGGGGGGCTGGGCAAGCAGCCCTGAGTTGAACTACTTCCTCCTCAACCTTGTTGCCGCTGCTCATGTGCTTGTGCCCTTCCTCTAGGCCCAATCTTCATGGCTGCCAAGAGCGTAAGGGAAAGGCAAGTGTTGGCTGCTGGTCCTTCTCCTTGTACTTCTCCCTGCTTCCTCACCCAGAAAGTGCAGTCAAAGAAGCAGCAGGGCCCATGGGTAGGCACCGCAGTGCCACCCCCCCCCAACAATGGCAACCCTTGATTCCAGTTTGCAAAACCCTGGCTTAAACCACAGAGGAAACGGAAGCTGATTTCTTACTTAACCCTTGGATTCCGAAGGCAAAGTGGGAGAAAGGGGCTGGAAGGGAGGTGGAGAGAATCCTGCATCTCTAAAGCACTCTTTATGCACAAGCTTCAAAACGACACAGCAAACACTGCAGTTCCACGCTATGCTATGGTCTAGTATCTAGTAATTTTCATAACCTGAGTGTAAATGCAACACAGGAAGATGTCCAGGAGGAGCTCAAGCCGCTCCTCAGAACTGCTTGTGCCCCCTTTGGAAGAATCAGTTCATACTTCATGAATCACAGGACTTAAAGAGACTGGATCATTGGTCCTATATACTGCCTCAAACAAGGGGCTTCCCTGTCTGCATTCAAGCTTGAGACTCTCTCTCTCTCCCTCTCTGAATTCAGTGCATTCTACCAGGTGTGACCTTTCCAAACAGTGGCGGCGGCTGTGCTTTTGCATCCACGTTCCATATCGGACAACATCTCCAGCCCATCCATCAAAATGTCCAAGTGGTGATTGCATATCTTCATATGGAGAGGGAGTCAATTAAGGGTGAGTCATTAATGTGAAATCATTCCACTTCTCCCAAAATGAATAGAAGTGAATTGGCACAGCGTTGGGCCAGTGCCCACTTCTCAGTTGGGCAGGAGTAGATCAGAGTGGAAGCACAGAGACAGAGTGAACTCATTTCATAGATAGAATCTCCAAGCCCAATATGGTAATTTCAAAATTTGGAAATAATTTCTTATGACAAATGAATCCACTTCTTCCCAGCCATTTTCTCATCAAGGCATTTCACTTCATCAATGCCAACAGTAACTGCTTGCCTTGGCAAAAAATCCCCCCCAAAACCAGAAGGCAACAGAAGAAGAGAGAGAGAGAGAGAAGAATCAAGAACCAAGATGGGGCAATGCCAACTCTGAAATGGGACTCCTGACACTTTGTGACCTAGAGAGGCAATGGAGCTTGGCTCCAGCAAATGAGCTCAGGGAATTCAATAGGAGAGAAGAGAGATATGACGTTCAAGGCTGGTTCACACATTTACACAGAGGCAAAGCTGGGTTTACTTCCAAGTATACACTCTACAGAACGGGCAGCCAACTATTAGTCTCTGATAAGTAGACCTGTATGGTGTGCATGTTTTTAGATGTGCTTTCATCACATTTTGTCTTTACAATATTAAATGCATACTTGACACATCTTACTGTAAATACACCTCAGTTGTAGAAGGCGCTCCCCAGAAAACTAGCATCTGCACTGCAGCATTTTCAGCACCAGATGAAGACCTCCGCCCAGGGCTTTTCAATTGTCAATTTGCAACTTTTCTTTTCTTTTCTTTTTTTTAGTGCTTTTAAGATCTTCAGAACTGTTGCCTCCCCACCCCCACTTTTTAGGTTGAAATCTGAATTTATTCTGTTGATGGTTTTATTCTGTTTTAGATTTCATTCTTAATTTTTATTATATATTATACCTTTTATATATGTATAAATCACCCAGAGAACCTTTTGCTATTGGGTGGCATATAAATACAGTAAGTATGTAAAAAAAAAAAAATACATACAATGCAATGTAATGTGTGAAGTGGCTTGTTGATTTATGTCCATATAGCCCAAACCTATGCAAGGCTGGCTTGGTTGAACTACATGGACTATTTATTATGCAAGAGTTTTCACAAAACAGTTGAGCCTGAAAGTTTAAATCTTACCTCCCATACATGCAAACCAAGCACATATGGGATCATACTCCCAATCTTTTCAGCAAAAAAGGGAGGGTGCTTTTCAGAGTTTTCCTATATAACACTTCTTATATAAAAAGCTACTGATGAGAATATTTCCTATATATTAATTTGGAGCAGGGATTAGTGCGGTAATAATTAAAACAAACATAATTATACTTATCCCTTCCCCTCTGAAATTAGATTAATGATGGTGATATTTCCGCACCAAAGCATGCTTCAGACATCATTGCCTGTGTCAGGACTAAGCAGAGCTGGGAGCACACAGCAAAGGGGAAGAGGATTCATGGGTGGATGAGGGCGTTCATTTCTCCCCCCTCTCTTAATTCACATGGACAGATCTGAGAACTCCCACACAGAAAAGGAAACAGGGATACATTTCAGTGCTGTCAGAGAAATATAGGTGCACATTTTAATTTCCTTGAGAAATTACTCCATTCCAGTAAGCAAGCAGGGTGTGTTTGTGCCCTACTTTACTTTAAACAGTAAAGGGTTGTCCAGTCCAAGGCCATTTCAAAGATAAATAAGAAGGAAGAGAAGTTGTTTTGAAATTGCCCAAACACATAGCTCAGTCGGTAGAGCATAAGACTCTTAATCTCAGGATCATGGGTTTGAGCCCCACGTTGGCCAAAAGATTCCTGCATTGCATTGATGGACCTCATGGTCCCTTCCAACTCTGCAAGTTTATGATTATGTGATTCTAATAGCCCTGGACAGGAGACTGAGCCAACACACAAGTCAGTGGGTAACAATCTCCCTACCATGACACTCTCTCTCTCTCTCTCTCTCATGGGGGTGAGGCTGGTAAATTGCAATGTTTGCTGACAATACAGTGGTACCTCAGGTTACATACGCTTCAGGTTACATACGCTTCAGGTTACAGACTCCGCTAACCCAGAAATAGTGCTTCAGGTTAAGAACTTTGCTTCAGGATGAGAACAGAAATCATGCTCTGGCGGCGCAGCGGCAGCAGGAGGCTCCATTAGCTAAAGTGGTGCTTCAGGTTAAGAACAGTTTCAGGTTAAGTATGGACCTCTGGAACAAATTAAGTACTTAACCTGAGGTACCACTGTATATGTTCAAAATGTTCAAAGTTACCCCAAACATCATCAAGCCACCTTTCTTGTTAAGAAGAGCACAGATATCGACTGAGTACAGTCGTGGATTTTCTGGCAGGGTGAAAGCTTCCTGTGCTGGCCCACAATGAAGTTTACTTTTGGTGCAACAATGCATGACAATCTATTAAAGGCTCTGATGATCACATTATACACCCAGTGTAAAATTTACCTCCCTGCCCCCCCCCATACTTGTGCTATGTGAAATCAAGTATATAGAACCACAGATCATTTTTCAATTGTTGCATCACTGAAATAATAAAGATGGATGGTTGGGCTTTTTAATGAATTTTTTATTGTTCGTTCATCCTCCCTAAATGTGGATTAATTACTTGGTTTATTTACAGTACATTAGGAAATTTGAAGGACCGTCAAGCACTCAGGGTCATTTGCTAGGATGTGCTTTTTCCTCCTCCAAAGCTGGAGGTCACTCCTGCTTCTTAAAATATATATACATAAGTCTTATACAGATGCCACTTGCATAAAAGACAAAGGAACTGCAAAGTCCAACTGAATGTCTTTACAGAATCATAGAATTGGAGAGTTGGAAGAGACTAAAGGGTAATGGAGTCCAACCCCCTGCAATGTAGGAATCTCAGCTAAAGCATCCATGACAGATGCGCGAGCAAATTCCATGATTTAGCTATGCACTCTGTGAAGAAGTACCATATTTTGCCTGCCCTGAATCTTCCAACGTTCAATTTTATTATACAGTATGTCCCTGTATTCTAATTAAAATAGCAGCCACCAGCAGTAGCACTTGTTTACTAGACCAGCTTCTTTGTCACTGCTGTACTCAGATGCTTCAAGGTAAGGGAGGAGGAGGGAAGCTACCATTGCCAGAGGGACAGGGGGAGGCAGGAACACTTTGCTGCCACTGCCGCTGCCACCAGGAAAGTCCACCACCTCTCGTGAGAGTCTGCTCCACTGTTGAACAGCTTACTGTCAAAAAAAAATTCTGAATGTTTAGTCGGAATCTCCTTTCTTGCAAATTGAAGCCATTGGTTCTAGATTCAGGTAGGTAACCATGTTGGTCTGACACAGTCAAAATAAAAAAATAAAAATAAAAAAATTGTCTAGTAGCACCTTAGAGACCAAGTAAGTTTGTTCTGGGTACGTATAAGCTTTTGTGAGCTTTCATGAGCAGAAGTGTGCATGCACACAAAAGCTTATATGTACCCAGAACAAACTTACTTGGTCTCTAAGGTGCTACTAGACAATTTTTTATTTTTTATGAAGCCATTGGGTTTGAGTCCTACCCTCCAGAGCAGGATAATAAAAATAAAAATTATTTATTATTTATACCCAGCCCATCCGGCTGAGTTTCCCTAGCTAGTCTGGGCAGCTACCAACAGATATTAATAAAGACAATAAAACAGATAATAAAAAGCAATAAAACATTAGACATTAAAAACTTCCCTAAACAGGGCTGTCTTCAGTTGTCTTCTAAAAGTCAGATAGTTGTATATTTCCTTGACATCTGATGGAAGGGTGTTCCACGGGTTGGGCGCCACCACCGAGAAGGCCCTCTGCATGCTCTCTCCTCCATGTGACAGCCCTTGAGATATTTGAAGATGGCTATCATTTTTCTTCTCAGTCTCCTCCTTTCCAGGCTAAACATACCCAGCTACTTCAAGCATTCCTCGTAAGGCTTAGTTTCCAAACTCCTGATCATCTTGGTTGCCCTCCTCTGCACACATTCCAGCTTGTCAGCATCCTTCTTAAATTGTGGTGCCCAGAACTGGACCCAGTATTACAGGTGTGGTCTGACCCAGGCAGAATAGAGTGGTACTATTACTTCCCTTGATCTGGACACTATACTTGATGCAGTATACTATACTTGATGCAGCCTAGAATAGCATTGGGGGTTTGGGGGAGGTGTTGGCTGCTGCATCACACTGTTGATTCATGTTAAGCTTGAGGGTCCACTAAGACCCCTAGATCCTTTTCACAGGTACTACTGGCAATCCAGGTGTCTCCCATATTATATTTGTGCAGCTGGTTCTTCCTGCCTAAGTGCAGAGCCTTACATTTGTCCCTATTGAAATTCATTTTGTTAGCTTAGGCCCCATTCTCCATTCTCCTAAGGGCATACTGAATCCTAATTCTGTCTTCCGCAGCATTAACTACCCCTCCCTGTTTGGTGTCATCTGCAAATTTGATGAACATCCCCATAATTCCTTCACCCAAGTTGTCTTAAGGTAAAGGTAAAGGTACCCCTGCCCGTACGGGCCAGTCGTGTCTGACTCTAGGGTTGTGCACCCATCTCACTTAAGATGCCGGGGGCCAGCACTGTCCGGAGACACTTCTGGGTCACGTGGCCAGCGTGACAAAGCTGCAACTGGCGAGCCAGCGCAGCACACGGAAACGCCGTTTACCTTCCCGCCAGTAAGCGGTCCCTATTTATCTACTTGCACCCGGGGGTGCTTTCGAACTGCTAGGTTGGCAGGCGCTGGGACCGAGCAACGAGAGCGCACCCCGCCGCGGGGATTCGAACTGCCGACCTTTTGATCGGCAAGTCCTAGGCACTGAGGCTTTTACCCACAGCGCCACCCGCGTCCCTCAAGTTGTCTTATTTTGGTATCAATTGTTTCCACACTACATCTTTAGAAAGCAATGGTACCTACAGGAGCACTTGTGTTACTTAGGATGCCAGCAAAGATCTGTCCATCTCCAAGTTCCCTTGTCATCCAAAGTGCACCTGGTGACTACTACCAAGATATAAACAAATACAACTGATAGAGGGATATTTTTGGTCCTGGTGCCCTGATTTTTGAGAGCTTGTCTTGCCAGAAAAGTTCATTTGGTGCCTTTCTTTATGCCACTGTGGCATCTGATCGTGTGCATTTTCCCAAACTTTTCATTCACTCTGTTCCACTTTCTCTCCCATAAGGATAACCTCACTAATCTTATGTCCCAAAGCAGGGCATGCACATCTACATTATTCCTGCCATGTGCCTGTTAAGCTTTGGTGTGGAATCCTCCAGGGACGATTCCACAGACTCTCTAGCTTGTTCTCTTACTGAATAGCCTGGATGTTCTTAACACTGAACTGAAATGTAGCTTTCATGAAATGTACAATAATAGCTCCTTGATCTATTCATGGTGGAAATGGCAAGCAGTTTGCCATCTTTGACATGAGGTCCTTATACATATCTGAAGAATTTCAACACATCATATCTTTTCCCCAGGATGAAAACCCCAAGTCACAGATAGGATTAGCAGATCATTAGCCATCTTTATAAATATCTCATAAATTCTTCAATCTTACATCATATTTCTTCAATTGCAATGGTGAGCAATGAGTTAAATCTTCCTGAATGGAGCAGTGCATATGTTCAGTTACTTGTATACAGGATGGCAGTTTGGACACTTTTTTTGCAGGGGGGACGACTATTTCATGTTGGGGTCCTGCTATTTACATCCAAGGTCACTTGCCTTCTCACTTGCATCCCTTACTGGGGGTGGGGGGATCACGGGGCTAGGATCATAAGAAAATTATAAGTGACCTCTGTGAAGCCCACAAGCAATAACTCCCTCCTACTCATGTCCTGATATTGTTTGGAATTAGTCTCAGCAATGTCCACACAGAGAAACATCTCTGAACACATATATAGGTAGAAAGCATTTTTGCTATGACTGAACATTATCAGATGAGCACTATGAAGTTAGATTAGATGACCCTTGGGGTTCCTTCTAACTCTATAGTTCTATGATTCTAAGTCAGATATTATGCTGGAATAATAGTGCAAGGAAACATGGATGGTATTGCTTTCTTTCTCACGAGGAAGGTTAATACATGTATCTGTGAACAAATTTGTCCTGATATATCCACCAAACTATGTCATCTGCCCAGCTAAAGAGATTGATTGCATATAGGTTAACTACTAAATAGCAAAGAACAGTGAAAAGTTGTCTTAAGAAATGGGAAACACTGAATAAAATTTGTAGCCACATCTCAGACTCCCATTCCGCAGAGAAGAATCGGGAAAGGATGCTTGCAAATTTCATTTCAAATGCTCTCAGATTTTCTAGCTGTCAAGGGAGAAAACGCAGTTGGGAATTGTCGGATCGATGAACTGCCTTGTCAGAAGGTCCAATCACCTAAAGACCATGAAATTATCTTCCCCAAATGCTGTAATCAACTCTACTATGCAATTAGGTGAAAACACATTCTGCCACAGGAATGGGTAACATTAGGATTACAGACATAGGTTGTAGTCCATTCATCTTAGAGTTAGCCACATTCAAGTCAAAGAGAGTTACTTCTATTGAAGACATGTGCAGGGTTACATTGCAAAAGCAGCTAGGATCCCAAAAATATACATCTTAGGTGTCAAAAGGCTTGGTAAAGAGGTGTGTCTTCAGCATTTGCTGTAAGCTGTATAATGAAGAACCCAGGTATACCTCTGTGGGGTGCTCCACAATTTAGGGCTGACATAGAGAATTATCTCTCTCAACCCACCTCCAGCCGGAGTTTATGAGGGAAGTTAAGCAACCAAGAGGGCCCCCCTCTGCTAATCTTAACACCTGATTGGGTCTGTAGGAAAGGAGGTGGCCTTTCAGGTATTGGGGCCTGAGTCATTCAGGGCTTTAAAAACTAATGTGAGCACCTTGAATTGAATGGCTCTGATTACTCAGTTCCACATCTCATTCAATCCTACTTTAGCTGATAATACATTTTCTTTGTGGTTTCAATTTACTAGATGGGCCCACCAAAACATTCAAGAGAGCTCCATCTCCTGGTATATCTTGCTCTTTTTAGAGTTTAAGAATCTTTTGAGCAATTGTATTTCCAAGTGATATCTAGCCTTGTGTTGCGAGGCCCCGTGACCACCCCATTCCCTAAGGTGTAAATAACTACACAACCTGCAGCATATTGGTTTTGGGATCAAATAAGGCCACAATTTCATTGGCTACGGATGTGAAGGTTTGGCCATAGGCACTGAGGCAACAGCGCATGTCACTCCCACCGGCCTCCTGGGAGTGTTTCTAAGGGTGAAGCCAGTGTCAAATCGGGGTGTCCCCCAAGCGGTCCCTGATGGAGGAATGGTATGGCCATCTGGGCACTGGACAGAAGCCACTCCCCCTGGATCCTTTTAACAGGATACTCTTACCCATGGGGGGGAGCAGGCGGAGGCTACAACCTCCCCTCCAACCAAGACTAGGCTTACCTAGTGCCTATCCGCCTTACAAAGTTGTGGTGATTGCTATGAGGTAGGCAAGAACCCAAATGGTGGACCCAATTTGCCAGATGGGAAAAATTCCTGCCTGGCCCCTAAATCCAGTGACTGACATAGTCCATAGCAAGGTTGTACCATGCACAAAAAACAACAACAACTCTAATCTGAGGGATGGTTGGTTGGAGAACCAGCACTGTGAGAGAGAAGCTAAAAGGCCCTTCAGGCCAGGCATTTATCCTTGCCCTGGGTGTGGTGCCAAGCACCACTACTGGTCAGTTGGCACCATGCCTGGAGACCTCCCAAAAAAAATTTCTGCCACCATTGGCCAATTCAGCAGCAGGAGGACGATCTGGCCTGCAATAGACCAGTTCACAGGGGAGACCTGGGGCCCATCCGCAAAAACGCCTGCCCAAGGGAGAATAGATTTAACCCACATGGTCAGTATCCTTGACTTGGACACCTTGAAGAAATGTCCAAAACATACTGGGCCCCATCTTAAGTAAGTCCTTAATTTGTAGATAGTGCAGACAGCCTTGAAAACAGCCCTTCCTTTTAGTCATAGAAGAGAGACAAAACAAGAGCTGTGCAACTCACTTCACATAGTAAATAATTTTGTAGCACTTCTTATTACCCTGTAATTTTATAGCTCCTAAGTTTATTGGATACATAATGGGCAGATGTGTGCTGTCATTAAAGAGCTTTTAGGAAATGCTGCAATAAAGGTACTCAGCAGATAATAAAATGGAAGCTGAAGCCCTCTGTTTACCACCACATAACCAACAGCAGATGCATTGCCCTTCGTAAGCAGCACCCAGCAAAGTAGATAATGAAAAACAGTTGGTGCCAAGGTTAAGCAGGGAGATTCAAGCAAAGATAGACCCTGTGTAAGTTTGGCAAACTATACAGGCTTCATAATTTACTCATTCCAAGGATTCAAATGCCAGTAATCTAGAATCATTTGCAGACTTTCTAATCAACAAATTGAAGGCTTGCCTGGTTAACTGACTCACTTTTATCTGGTTATAGGTAGGTAGCCGTGTTGGTCTGAAGAAGTGTGCATGCACATGAAGGCTCATACCAATAACAAACTTAGGTGCTACTGGAAGGATTTTTTTTATTTTGTTTCACTTTTAACTGGAAATCAAATAATCTGCTGATGATATTTATTGTTACATGGTCATGTGTACTTGAACAAGAATAATGTGCAATGAGTTATCAGGAAGCCTGCAATAGCCTTACATGATCTAGTTAGGTGGCCTAAAAACGAGTCAAATAGACATGCTTTGAGGATGGGCTCAGGGCTGGGACTGGGCAAAGACATAAGCAGGAAACATTACTGCTCAAAAGGTTTTCGGGGCTCTGGAGAAGTTCCTATGCCAGCTGCTGGTCTATGCATCCAATCTAGCTAGGAGGAAGTCATCACTGCAACTGGGGGCCCCCATTTTAGACACTTTACTACATTCAGCTTGTAACTTGCATGGGAATTACATTCCAGGGATTGTGCATACAGCCCAAATCCTGTATAGTTAGAGCAAACCTGGAACTGGCCCCACACGTCCATCCATACTTTTCTAAAGCTGGCACACTGAGTAGGCTTTGCCCCCACACCAATGCAAGATGGAGAGCTTAAAAGCTCTCCGCCATGTGTGCATTTAATTTGTGTGATTTCAGTTGATCAGCTACCAAGCGCATAGCGCTGTGATCACATAAGTTAAATGTGCACAAGTTGCAAGTCTACTATACACAGCCACCTAGGAAAGCGTTTAGCATTGCAAGCATTGCAAGCAAGGGATTATTGGCAATTTACTGATTTGATTACAGAGAATTATATAAGCTCCCAGGGTCAGTTCTTTACACAGGCTTGCAGCAGGGTTTCTACCTGTCCTGTTCTAAAGGAAGTGGAGGGAAACTCTGGAAGCTGGGCAGTGCTTACCAGGACAGTGTACCAATAACTCTCTGTGCCTGAATACAACACAACACAGGTCCGCCCTTAGCTACCACTTGTATGGGAAAGGCCAGGGGTGTCCTGAACTGAGAAGCATGCTGCATGTTTGAGCTTCTTATTCTTCTCTTAGGCGCTATCCAGCAGCTGTGCCCTTTGCAGATATGTTACTCAGAATTGAGGGTAGAGGAAAACCGCGAAAAGCAGCCATGCAAAGGAGACAAGGACAAAGTTAATGCAAGCTGAAGAACCATGAAAGTGTTAATGGTCTGGCTTGTATGTTCTATCCAGAGAACCATGACATTTTAATGACTAAAAAAAAAAGGTAGTGCTACAAATAAGTTCTGAGGCAACTGGAACTGACAGTGATGGCTCTGTGCTCCAAATTTGCCAGGGTTCTGCTGATATTGTTTTAATAATCCCAACTTGTCAGTGATTAGTTTCCAAAGAGGGGAAAGCTGGGGTCAAGCTTACTGGGACCTAAATCATTTGACCTGAAAGTCTGCCCTCTGATCTCAGATGTGTGGAAGCAGGGCTGTGCCAACACAGTGAGGTGACAATGAAGCTCTGCACATACTCTGGGCTGGGTCTGAATGAAGTGGTAGAATTTACTGTCAATGCAATGCTGGTCAATGCAAGTCCATGACTTTTTAACGCTCTGTTAGATTAGAAAAGCAACTCCCTGTGAGTAGAAAAACAGTGAAGCAAAGCGTGAGCTAGGCTATGACATTTCTTCTTGAAATACTTGCAATACATTGTTGCTTTTCTTCATGCAATGTATTTGCCTCCTCTCAATTCTGCTGCATGGGTAGACTGGGCCTTGGAGGCATTTTCATATTTACTACCACATCCTGTGTGCCACAGCTATATCCCTACACTGAAAGCAGGTTGTGGGGCGGTGCCCTGCATCCAGTTAATCCTTGCACCTTGCTTATTTGATAGAATCAAAATATCTTCACAAAGGGGAGCTGTGGTTGGGATGTACAGAGTATTAACTTCAATTTGCTTTGTTCAACTAATGGTACATCAAGACAGCAAAAGACATCTATGTTGCAAGGCCAGTGAATTCTCCATCATACATAACATGTATGATTAAAACTTTCTTCCCTCTACCACTCTAATTAATCAATTGCTGCTTGTAGGCTTAGCTGAAAAGCCTGGAAATGTATTTCAGGTGAAGTGTCTGACAGAGATTGCTTCCAAGCATCCCAAGGCTTCAGTACCCCATCTGTTAGATTTTCATTAATATTATGTCTCATCTATTGCCCCAAAGAAGAGCATTTGGCTATAGCACATGTATGCACAAAGTCCCACATTTAGTCCCCAGTATCTCCAGGAGGGACTGGGAATCTCCTTTGTATGAAATCCTGGAAAGCCACTGCCCATCAGTATAGACAATACACAGCCAGAATGACCAACAGCCTAACTCAGTGTACTACAGCTTCCTATGTTGCTATGCCTCTTCTAATCCAGAATGTGGCAGGGAGACTGACCAGCACCATATAACATCAGTCCTAAAGAATCTACATTGGCTCACTGTTTCTAAGCACAATTGTAAGTGTTGCTGCTGACCTTTAAAGCCCTAAACGGCCTTGGCCCAATATACCTGAAGGAGCGTCTCCACCCCCATCGTCCAGCCCAGACACTGAGGTCCAGCTCTGAGGGCCTTCTGGTGGTTCCCTCACTGTGAGAAGTTACAGGGAACCAGGCAGTGGACCTTTTCAGTAGTGGTGCCCACCCTGTGTAACGCCCTCCCATCAGATGTCAAGGAAATAAACATCTAACTGACTTTTAGAAAACACCTGAAGGCAGCCCTGTATAGGGAAGTTTTTAATATTTGTATTTTAATTTGTTGGAAGCTGCCCGGTCCGATGGGTGGTGTATAAATAATACAATTATTATTAATAATAATTAAAATTCTTTCCCAACCTGTCTACAAATCTATACTTCTTCCCTGCCCTCTTTGACTCTATTTCTTTTCAAACATTTCTGAATTCTTTCAGAATGTGTGTCATGGAAGCAAACTAATTTACTTAATTTGATGCATTCCGATCACAGATCTTTAAATTTCTTGGCCCAGAGTATTATACAATATATGCAATTCTGAGGGCAGGAATGGGCTTCTGAATCAGACAGTTCTGTCCTATCTGGTTGAGTTGTACTTATGCAACCCAAAAGGACTGAAAATTGCTTAAAATGGAAGGCTATTTTTGACACTCAGGAGAATGAACATGAAATGATGCAAGCAGTTCCAGCTCTGCCCCAGCCAAACTGGATTTTTGTGAAAGCCCAGAATGAGTTGTAACTATGTTATAAATTCCTATCAGCAGATGTAGTGACACTATATCCAATACGTAAGAAACTGACTCAACTCTGAATTTGCCAAGATCTTTCCATTAGCCTGTCAAATTTCACCATTTCACTGCATCTTTATGAAACGACGTCTTAAGTCATTCTTCCCTAACCTAATGTCCTCAATATGTCAGGGGTGGTGGGAATCCTAGCCCAAAACATCTGCAGGGCAAGAAGCTGGAGCCGGCTTTGGTGAAACAAAACATGCTCAACCCAACTGATATAAAGGAGAAGAATGCAAAACGGTCTGGATGCCGGCCAAGAAATTGTTATGGATACCCCTAAATTCCTGGGTGCCAAATCCCCCCTCCTAAATTTACTAGGTGTGGTTTTTTCCTGACCAAGGAATCTTCCAGCAGATAAGCCATTAAGAAACAAAGGCTGGAGCTTAGCAAAGCAGGGGCTGTGCCAGCCACAAATGGGGAATAGTTAGCAAAGACAATACGAGAGCTGGGAGGGGAATGTTTCAGAATCACTGTGGGCCTGAAGTAAGCAAATGGCTGGTGTCTCGGTTTTGCAAGAGCATAATATGAGCAGGGAGGGAAAATCCTCTCCAGTCTGGAAGCGGCAAGCAGGAGGGAGAGATGCAGAGGCATGGCTGACGTCTCATTAAAATCTGAGACGATCGCACCTATGGGAGATGCATGATACCCTCTTGGGGTGTAATGCTGGGATTCCCTTCCAACTAGAATCAGGTTGCATATAAGTGTAAATAAACCTTCCATCATGAAGACACCACAGCCTCCTCTGCACCTCATTCCCAAGAGGAAACACAGAGCCCGGGTTAAAGTGTGCCTGTAACCCCTGGAATCTCACACCGCTCATGGAGACTGGGGTGGCGTGTAACAATATGTTGCATTTCCTTCAGAAACTGGCATTTCCGGCATCAACAAATCCATTGCCAATATAATGAAACTGATTTGAATATGGTGCATGCTCCGTGCTTCAGTCAGGGCTATGCTTGGTTCTTGTTTCCGGAAAAGCCTGCAGACTGTGAGAAGGTGGCTTCACATCCGTGCAGAAAACACACATCATCTCCATAATCCAGATCTTTCCGTCTGCAAAGCACCTTCATTAGCTCAGCCGCCACAGCTATTGCGCTCACCTATCGCTGCAGCTGCTGTCAGACTCTCAAGCAAATGAGAAGCCGATAGACACAGACAATGCTAATTGCTCCCTAAAACTAAGCAGAACTTTTAATGCCACTGTGACTCCATCTGTCCTTATTCCACTACCAGCCCTCTCTTTGCACTCCCTGTCATCTGTGGAGCATCTCACTCACCCTTGTTTGCCTTAATGAAACTGACGCAACATTGTATGCCAATAAAGCCTTATTGCTTGTGCATTAGGACCTATTATTATCATTTTTTATTATTAGTAATTGTATTTATTTATACCCCACGTTTTCCCCTGACAGAGACTCAAGGTAAGAACAACAAGGGGGGGATTAAAAAAATTAAACATTGATAGGATTAAATCTCTCTCTCTCTCCCTCTCTGTCTCTCTCTTCTCTCTTCTCTCTCTCTCTCTCTGGACTATTAAAACCATATCAATAACTGCAATGAAAACAACATAGCACCAGCCCTTTCATTAAAAGCAGTCAGCTCCCGAAAGCTTGTTGGAACAGGAAGGTCTTCCTTTGCCAGCAGGACAACAAGGAGAGAGCTAGTCTTGCTTCTCTAGGGAGGGAGTTTTAGAGTCTGGGAGCAGCTATCAAGAAGACCCTTTCCTGCATCCTCACCAAGCATACCTGTGAGGGTGGCGGGATCGAGAGAAGGGCCTCTTTTGAAAATGTCAAAACCCAGGCAGGTTCGTATGAGAGGATTTTTGGGGGGGTTACCTTTGCTGTGTTAAATGTGCATTCTGTAGCTGACTTCCTCTGTAATGCTTTATTTTTCAATCTTTAAAATAATATTTTTGTTTCCTGTTAATTATGTTGTTTTGAATGTATACTTCATATTTTATTCTGGATTGTTTTATTTGATGTTTTAATGTAGGCTGGAAACCACTTTGAGATATTAGAACTACTACTAATAATAATCATAATGTCTTTCAAATAGCTTTAACCTAAACCATTTAGAGCTTTATATGTCATAACCAGCACTTGGGGCAAGGGGAGGAGAGAGTGGTGTAACTGTTAGCAAAACAGGCATCCATTCTCTGACACATAATTCTGAACATCCAGCCCCGTCACTACAAAAACATGAATTCTCCAACAGTCTTTGATGGTACATTTGTCTTTTTTGGGAAATAATGAGCCATGTTCCAAGCTAGGGACACACTGGGGCCTTGGGGTATATGTGTATCAAGCAAGACAGATGTTTCACAAGGCAGGGTTTCTTTTACTAATTACTCAGTTTAGGTCTAGTTCTCATGGACAATTAGGCAAATTCATTTCAGGGGCAGGTTCATGCCTAACACCACAGTCACTAACAGCAAACTTGGGTAGTGGGGAGCACCAACAGAAATGGAGCCCAAACAGGGCTGCTATTAAATAAGGAGGAGGCAAAGGCATGTGTTTGGGGTTTCTGTAAGGGGAGGGCCCTGAAATTTGCAGAAGTACTAAACAAACATCTCTAAAATGTAAGGGAGCCAAAAAGTCCTCCAAAACAGCCCAGAAGGGTTTGGAAACGAAAAACAGAAAACCAGGGAGGGGAGCTGCTTCCAGCTTATAATATCCTAATGAAGGACATGGATGCTGTTTAACTGGAACCCTGAACAGAAGCAGTTGTGCTGTGAAGTGAGGAGGATACCCTGCAACATCTTGCTGCCCATTATTCATTTTATTATTATTACTTATTGAATTTGTTAGTCGCTTTCTCTTGCCCAGGGCAACCCAAAGCAACTTGCAGCCAAACAGACACAACCCCCCCCCCCACAAAGATACAGTGGTGCCTCGCAAGACGAAATTAATCCGTTCCGCGAGAGTCTTCGTCTAGCGGTTTTTTCGTCTTGCGAAGCAACCCTATTAGCGGCTTAACGGATTAGCGCTATTAGCGGTTTAGCGGCTATTAAAGGCTTAAAGGCTTAGCGGATTAGCTGCTAAAAGGCTATTAAAGGCTATTAAAGGTTTAGCGGATTAGATAAAGGGGGGGAAAAGCAAAAAAAAAATCTCAAGACTCGCAAGACATTTTCGTCTTGCGAAGCAAGCCCATAGGGAAATTCGTCCTGTGAAGCAACTCAAAAACGGAAAACCCTTTCGTCTAGCGGGTTTTCCGTCTTGCGAGGCATTCGTCTTGCGGGGCACCACTGTACATTAAAACTAAGAGAGAGAGAAAGAAACACATTAAAAACATCCCACCCTGTTCTAAAAGGCCACAGATAGTTAAAGGCCAAAGGTCTGCTTATAGGGGAAAGTTTATATATGATGGTGCCAGGCGAACGTCCCTGGGGAGAGCATTCCACAAATGGGGAGCCACCGCAGAAAAGGCCTGTTCTCATGTTGCCACCCTCCAGACGTCTTATGTAGGCAGCACACGAAGAAGGGCCTCAGATGATGACACAGGGTCCAGGTTGATTCATATCACACTTGCAGCATAGACTCTCACGCACAGATACAGTACATGCTGGGTGCATATGAAGCAATTTAATGTCACACTGTTACAAATGGTCCATCACCATTTTGGCCAGCCATCAAAGCACACCCTTGTCATGGTTGGACCATTATTTTGGTGAAGTTTGGACTGGTGGTGTCAATTCCTTCCTGCAAGAGTGGTGGGCCTGTTCAGGTGGCCCATCCTTGGAAAGTGAGGGAGGCTGATAGGTTCCTGGAACTAACTTAACGTTAGTTCTGCCTAATGATAATCAGTCCTCCTGTGTGGCAGCACTGAACACCCTGCTCATATTAGGAAGGCAACTTCAGTGTATTGTTCTCAGATGCTGCTTAAAACCCGTTTTTGTTTTGGCAGGTCTACCCTGTATGTATGTAAATGTTCTTTAACATGTATCTCTACAGAAGCCTGCATGTCCACACAGTTCTGGCAAGCCATAGTTTGGCTTACTGCGATGTACAGTGGTGCCTCGCAAGACGAAATTAATTCGTTTCACGAGTTTTTTCATCTTGCAGTTCTTTTCGTCTTGCGAAGCACGGTGTCGGAAAAGCTTTGGAAAAGCTTCAAAAATCACCAAAGTCCTCAAAAAAGGCTACCACACCGCGTGTTATGAGTTGCTCCTCGAAGTCAAGTCGCAACTGTATTAACGGTTTTAAGAAAAAGGAAACAAACTTGCAAGACGTTTCCGTCTTGCGAAGCAACTCAAAAAACCAAAAACCCTTTCGTTTTGCGAGTTTTCCGTCTTGCGAGGCATTCGTCTTGCGAGGTACCACTGTACAAATGAGGCATAGCAGGACGTCAAGTAGAGACGGGTGAATCCATCTATATGTCCAGCCAGTGGTGCTTTCACATGTGTCTGCTCATAAATATGTTCCATCTTGTTTCTGAATACATCTGCAAATCTTTTTTTTAAAAAACGAACAGCTGTGGCAGTAGCCTATCGAAAGGTGAACTGAGGCAATCCACCACTTGTCAAAATTGTTCCTTCTTTCTTTCACGTGGTTTCAGAAGCATCCTTGCAGTAACTTGGATCAGAAGGACTAGGAATTTCCTTGGCTCCCAGAATCACACAACAGCCTCCTGAGCCAAAGACTCAGATGTTCCTATTCCTTGCTTCTCCACCCCATCCCCCCACCCCCACCCTGGCTATCAGTCTATACAAGAGAGAGAGAAGGAAAGACATACCTAGGAGATCCTCCCAATGGTTTGTAGCCAAGGCCTTGTGAGAGCATTTTAGATAAGATTCCACTTTATCTCTACTATAATATTACCAATAAATTTGCCTCAGAAAAAGGAAATGGGAGAATTTGTGCTACTACTTTGGTTTGGCTTTTAAAAAACCTCAAAAATAACACCTTCTCACTCAATTCATTCTGTGCACGGCATCAGGCACAAGACAAGGATGACAATAAATGGGACCGTCTGGAATTTGAACAGTGTATAGATCAAATGCCTTACATTTGCTCAGCTCCTTCTCATTTAGCCAAGAATGGATGTGTCTCTTGATTGTCTGCACCAGAAATAATTGTGTCTCATATATCCCCAGTCAGACGCCTTTAAGTGACCAGTGAGACAAGACCATGGGGAAATGGCCCTGTGACACCTGCTGTACCCAGGAAGATTCTGCTCACCTCTTAACTGATTCTCCTGTGGTACAGGTGAAAGTCAGTCCTCATTGATTATTGATTTGGATCTGACAGTCAAATGTTAGCACCGGAACAATACACAGAAAGGGACAAAATACGCTCTCTCTCTCTCTTTTTCTTTCATGTGCATGTAGCAAACCATGATCCTGCAAATACCATCATGGAACTGTTTATCATTGTCAATAGCATGGTGCCCTCCAGATATTGCAGAACCCCAATTCCCATCATCCCAGACATCCTGTGTTCGCTGGGATGGACTGGAGTCGTGAAACTCCCACAATCCTTTTCCTTCAGAAGGTATCTATCAGAAGGATCATGAGAACTAGAGGTCATACATGCAATAGCTGGTAGACTTCATGCACACCCTGAATGTCCCGCTACATGTGCAGGGCATACCACTGGAAAGGATCTTTAAAAGAATGGCTACGCATTGGAGGCTATAAGGGTTAGTCTGAACCACTGTTTTCATATGTGGCAGGACTGTAGGGGAAAGTGCATTTGGGCTAAGTTAGTGTGCCACGTAGCATGGCTCAGTATAGCTCAGGACAGAAGTTCCCCTCTCTGGTTGCTGGACTTACCCCGCTCACACGTTCTCCCCCAGTAGCCAGTGCCAGTGCAGTCACAGATGAAGCGGTTCCAGCCATCTTTGCAAACCGCATTGTTCTTACAGGGATAGCTGTCGCACTGCTTGGTGTTGTGCCGACTGCAGGATGATTTGACCCCAGCAGCGTTCTGCTGTTCCGCCAGCTGCCGGATGTTCTTGCTCCGCCCATCGATGAAGAGATCTCGGATGCAGCCCACATAGCCATAGTTCAACATGGCTGTCCAGAGCTCAGTAGGGAGGACGAGGCCTGCCCGGTTTTCAGGCAGTCCGCCCAGATACATGTCCCCTTCCAGATCCAAGATCTCACTCTCCCCGCTAGCAGTGAAGGGTGTCCGTCTGCTGTTCACCGATATGGTGCCTGAAAGAAAGAGATAACGTCAGCCAGCAGCCACAGTTGTGGCACAAGTCAAGTTCCCGTGGCAGTTTGAATCCTGGTGAAAGGATGGGGTTTTGGCACAGGAGAGTGAAGATGTCAGCTGAGACAAAACACAACTGACACAGAAAACTTGTCCTGAAATGCTTTGCTGCCCTCTGCTAAGCCTGTCAGACAGCAGAGGCACAGAATAATAAAACTGATAGGTTGGAAGACAAATGAAGGACGTCCAACCCAATCCTCTGCAATGATGCAGGAACCTGAAATGGCTATTTTTGCACATAGCCTTGGAAGTCCTACATCAACAATCTGGCAGTCTGGTGCAGGAAGATTTGGGAGGAAGAGCAAGTGTTCTCTCTTAGGCTCATGCTGGAACTCAAGACAGTACACACCTTGATACGGTGCACAGTGCAGATCTCAAAGATTAATGTGAAGTAACTGCATCACAAAGCACTGGTGCACACCTGGCCCACAAATTTAAGCCCACTCATGTATACGAAAATAATGCATCCTGTAGTTTTTCAAATTACAGTGAGGGCAGAAAGAATACTAAGGAAGAGGGATCCATAGCTTGGTTAGAGACCATATTGATCTGTATGCTGAAGGTCCAGATTTCAGTTTCTGGAAACTCTAGGGATAGGGGAACTGAATTTCTGGTCTACAGACCAGCAGCAGCAGCACTGGATTGGGGTCTTCCCACCTTAGCTGCCACCCACCCGCTGACCTTTTTTCATGGGCATTACCATTTGGAGATTGCCCCATTGAAATGGATGGGACAAGCGTCTTCCTCTAAAGAGACCATAAAACTACAGGATCTCCTTCTATTAAAATCGGAGTAATATTGTTGAAGCAGGAAAATTCAGCACAAAAGTAGCTCTGTCCCACTAAAATCACCTGCACTTTGAAGTGCTGAACTATGGTTGGATTCTGCACTTTCTAAGCCACCCACAATACAGCATTATTGTCCCGTTGATTTCCATAGAAAATAGCAAAGCTTGTGAGCACACATGCTTCACATAAATGGGGCTTAATGAATACAATCATATAATCACTAACTGAACCCCATGTGGCTTACATCTGAGTAGACATGTATAGAATTGCACTACAAAATGTTCAGCTTGGGTTGGATTCTGCTTGTTCCTTTTATATTTCTAATGCTAAATGTTGCTACCCAGAGGCCAGATATCTGCCGTATATGTAAGCAAGACTAAGAAGCAATGAATGCTGCTGATTGAATTTATCCTCGCAAGTTAATTAAATGCAAACCAACCTGCCCCACACAAAAATCAATTATTTGATTACTTATTTACATCCCCATAAAATGCTGGAATTTCTCAACAACAAGCACAGCTGTTGCAAACCTGCTAACCTTAAACTATAGTAGGGTTGAAGAAGAAAATACAAATTTCTCCTAGACCTCTGAGAATATTTTTCTGGCTAAAAAAATAATACCTAAGTAAACTAGAGAATTCTGTACTATCTACTGAAGGTACGTTGTTTTGAAAAAGCAGAAACATCAAATTCCAGCACCATTCATCCCACATCCAGTCTCCCTCTATATATGATTCCCAAATGCAGTGTGGATTTAAAAAAGAAAAACTTGGAAGCTGGAATGACATAAGGGAGTACAAAAAATAGAATCTCCACAATGAATTTAACAGCAAATATTTAAACGTCTCGTAGTACATTTCAAGGAATTGAATGCCTGCCCTAGGAATTTGTAACATCCCTCCCACCCCCAGCTTTTTAACAATAACCTTTGTTATTGCTTTTCTCAAAATCCCAGGGGTGGATTTCATCTTAGAAGGAACCTTGACATTCTACCTGGATTTTGTTGCAAATTAAATCTGATGGCAGTATAAGGATTTCCAAAATTCTCTTGTGAAATTATACTAGATTTATTTATTCCCGCTTCCCTTGAGATTCCCCAGATGCTCCATGCTGGGGAAAACATGTGTTTGATTTGAATTTCACATTAGGAGGAACTTTGGTGGCAACTCTCGCCTGGCATAGTAGCGATGATGGCTAGGTTCAGAATTTCACGGTTCAGAAATTAGCACACCCCCAATGCTGAATATCCTGGCACCCCTTCCAAACTGGACTCAAACTCCTCTAAAGTTCAGCACAATTAGCAATCAGGTTTGACAATCTCTGGTCTCCCTGCCACACATCCTTCACTTCTGCACTCGGAAGAGGCTCTAGTGATGGAGTCATAGCAGCATCCCAGGTGCCAGGAATCAAAGGAATTGTCATGTCCAGGGTTACTGCCCTAGAAGGGGAATGGCTATGTATTGTTATCAGGCTGACCAGCCGGCAGTTCCCCAAATTTGCCTTTCATCCTTCCCGAAGGCAGAGACAGTATTTTTCAGTCTCTGGTCTCCAAGAATTCTCAAAGGTCAAAGACCAGTCTTTGACTCTGTTCTTCAACCATTGTAAAGGGTCTGTGTTTCTATAGTTGGGAGTGGACTATTTCCAGGAATTTTTTTCTACATACCTGATCTGCCATCTCTCTGAATATCAACGTGATACCATTCTCCATCATTAGCTTTCCTCTGAGTGGCCTTCACTTTGACCGTTCCAGAGCCCATGTCGAGAAGTAGGTAGAGGTTCCCATCCAAGAGTTCCACTGCAAAGAAGTCCACTTTGGTGTTCTTCTGGCTCCTGGAATCCTTCCTCTCCTGGGGCTTGCCGTGGGTAAAGAGTATAAGACCATTTGGCTCTGTGGTGCGGAAGTCAAAGGAGATGGACCCCATGCGCTTGGTGTTCCACTTAGGCAGGCTAATGTAGGCCTCAGGTGTCTCAAAATTGATGGGGTCCAGTGTGGCCACGTTCTCACACATGAACTTCACCTCCCCATAGATTTTCATTTTTGTGTCACCAATCCTCGCCAAGCGAGACAGCTCCAGACGGATGTCGTTATTCTTATAAACAACCTGTCAGGGACAAGGGAAAACACCATACATCAACCCAGGAGATAACCTACACTTTGGAAATACGCACCCAAAGAAGCTCTCTGGATTGGGGTGAGCCTGCATGGGATTCTAGGTTAGGACTATGTTTAGGAATAACACTCATTGGCATTGTATAGCATCCAGAGATCATGCAAGAACAAGAGGCAAAATTCAGAGAAGTTCAAGCGCTCAGTGGTGCTCCAGCTTCTTGGTTGTCCTTGAAGATGTCCAGTCTCAGAGCTTTACATCCCTTTTAAAAATGATTATTGAAGCTTTAACCCTATGTGCAAACTGACCCTTTCGTCTGTACTGGCGGTCTCAGTTCAATCACTCTCTCTAATAGCAAACTCACTTGGTGAGTGCTGATGGGATGCTGGCCATAACAGGCTCACTGAGAAACAATATGTCAGAAAGAAATGGTAGTTACTGCAGTCCCAGTCACAGCATCCCCACACCTGTGCAGTGTCTCCAGCTAATGTGCAATGAATAAACTCAAGTAGACAACAATTTGGGTCAAAAATGGCCACGACTTTATTGATTCCAGATGTACCGTATTTTTCGCTCCATTGGACGCACTTTTCCCCCTTAAAAAGTAAGGGGAAATGTCTGTGCGTCTTATGGAGCGAAGCCAGCAAGAGCCGCTGCTGCCGACAAGCTCTGCGCAGCTCTCCCTTTAAAGCAAGAGCTGCATAGAGTGTGTCTGCGGCTCTGGCTGGGTTTACAGGGAGGCGGGAGGAGGGACTGCCGTCTGTACCTCCTTCCGGCTCATTGTAAAGCCAGCAAAAGCCGCGGCTGCTGAGCTGAGCCGGGAAGGAGGGAGGGAAGGGGATTCCGTTGGTCCCTCCCTCCTCCGTGGCTCGCTTTGAAGCAGGAAAGTGGGAGGGGAGCAGCTTACACTCGTGTAAGCAGCTCCTCTCCCACTTTCCTGCTTCAAAGCAACCACGGAGGAGGGAAGGAGGGACCCATGGATCCTCCTCGCTGCTCGAGGCTGCAGCGGATTCCCTCCTCCCGGGCTCCCTTTGAAGCAGGAAAGTGGGAGGGGAGCAGCTTACACTCGTGTAAGCAGCTCCTCTCCCACTTTCCTGCTTCAAAGCAGAGGAATCCCTCCGTAGCTTGCTTTGAAGCAGGGTGCGGGAGTTCAGTGGGGAAAGAGGGCAGGAAATAGATGCCGGGCAAGAAGACTTTGACCACTGGAAAGTCCACCTCAGCCTCCTCAGATTTCCACTGAGACAGACAGGCATGGCCATAAGAGCTGGAAACTTGCATGGGCTGTTTATTTAAAGACAAAAACATGCACTCGTGTGAAAGAAATCCTCCCAGGTTCCTGGACACAACCCACACTTGATATTCACACAGGTTACATGGATGGCATTGGCAGCTGGAGGAGCAGCATGGTTAAAGAGCAAGTCCTGGTTTCAAGCTGAAGATCAGCTCTTTCCCCTCCCTCCCTTAATTCAGGATGCTACAGTTTACAGATGCTGTGTCTGCCTGCCCTTTCCCCTGAGCTGTAAAAGCACCTTCAATAGGGTGATGGGAGGTGACACAGTCATCTTCCAGATGTGCAAAGAACCACCCTCTTGACACTAAAAGTGACAGCAGGCCTCACGTCCAGATCTGAAGCATAAATGGGAACCTAGGAAGCTGCCTTATAAGGAGTTGGATCCACTACTCCATCTAGCTTAGTAATGTCAACACTGACTGGTAGCAGTTTGCCAGAGTTTCAGGCCTGGAGAAGCCGGGGATTGAACGTGTGGTGTTCTGCATGCAAAGCCACTGAGGTTACAGCTGTTCCCTTTAAAAACAAACTAAGATTGTAGTCCCCATGGTTCTGAAGAAAGGGCTAATTTAAACAGGAACAGAGGGACCTTCCCTGTACCACGTCAGGACCCCTGAGCCCACTGAGCTCAGTTTTGTCTTCACTGATGGGCAGAGGCTCACCTGGGTTTCAGGAGACACACCCTCAGCCCTACCCGGAGAAGCTTTCAAGGACTGAACTTGGGATCTTCTCCATGCTCTCCCCATTGAGCTATGATGGCTCCCTCTCTTCTTCTCCTCTCCTCCTATGCAGGAGGCCTATCTCGGCTTGTCATTATAATGTATATATGTCAAGGGCTTTGAGATGCATATAAAATCAGGCTCAGCATTATTAACTGGACTTAGATAAGCCATGGTTCCCCTTCCTTCCCTCCTCTGAGGCTCGCTTTAAAGCAGCAAAGCGGACAGGAGCCACCCGCTTTGCTGCTTTAAATAGTTTAGTACAACATTTGATTCAGAATAATTTTTTTCATGTTTTCCTCCTCTAAAAACTAGGTGCGCCCTATGGTCAGGTTTGCCCTATGGAGCAAAAAATACGGTAGGTGGATTTTGCACTGGGAATATATCCAACTTCAGCCCCCGGCAGAGGGCTGAAATGTTTTCAGTGTTGTACCAAAGATTAAGGCATCCTCAAGATGCCAATCTACTGAGGTGGCCAGCCTAAGGCCGCCACTGGAAGCTCTGTGGCTGGCCTGCCCCATACTCAGCTTCTGGACAGAGTCTTCCACCCAGACCCCTTTAACAGGGTATCCTGAATACACCACTGGTTTGGTCCACCAGTTACTGTCAGTGCCCTGCCTACACTTTTAGAATTGCCACCTATGTTTTGAAGTGCTTTTCAATGTGGTGTTGGCCTGCTTGCTTCTGGTCCAGTGTGTTGTAATCCACTCTGGGATCAATACAGTGAAGGGTGGGCTTGTGAATATGATTAAGTAATCAATAAATATCAGCAGGCTCAGAGAAACCCCAAGGTTTGCAGAAGTACAATGAGTATTTCAGGGCAAAAATGGCCACCGGGGTGGGGCGGGGAACCCACTTAAAAAACAGGCCAGTGAGGACAGGGCCGGTCCAAGACATTTTGGCACCTGAGGCAGACCCCAAAATAGTGCCCCCTTTCCCACCAGGGAAGAAAGGGTGAGGAAAGATCTACACCAGAAACAAGATTGAGAGCAGGACCTGCTGCCCCTGTGGATTCTGCCACCTGAGGGGTTGCCTCACCTTGCCTCATGGGTGGGCCCTGAGTGAAGACAGAGAATGTTAAGTGGCCGTGTTGCATGTCTGTGATGGGGGAAAGCAAAAAAATGGAGGTGGCAGGGGAATGAAATTGAATGTCCTAGAAGCAGGGATGTAAGGAGGCAGCAATTTCCTGTTTCCACCACAACTGGTGCTGTTTCTGTTCTGCTACATTTTGGCTTCTACAGTATTCATCTCGTTATCTGCTATGGCTGAAATGAACACAATTAATTATGTAATTGGTTACGTAATTAAATTCAGTGTATTTTAATAGAAGGGAAACATTTCCCCCCGCCCCTGCGCAAGAAAGAGTGAAAATAGTGTAATTATGCAATGTTGCGGGCTAAGATGGCCAATGATAGCAAATTGTGGTGATTTCTGCTCCCAATTCCATCAGAATTCTGCAGCATCCCTGCCTAAAAAAGGACAGGGCTGGCAGGCTAGAACAGGAGCGCTCCACCATGCAGCACATTGTTGCTCATTTGTAGGCAGGCCTGAGAAACCCGATTCTTCTGAATAAGATAGAAACATCTGTGTAAGGCGCACAGGAAGTCCCACTGAATTTAATGGGACTCCCAGAGACTTATACAGAGCACAGCAGCTGTGCAGCTCATCTTTACATGGAAATGAGTCTCTGTGAGACTGACTTTCAAGTAAGACTGGACAGGATGACAACCTGTTCCAATGTGTGCCTTGTCCTACTTAGTTCAATAGGAGTGACTCCTTAGTATGAAGGGATAGGATTGCAACTTCATTGATTTGCAGGTTATCACTGCAATCCTGTGCACATAGGAATACACCCTCTTGAACACTAATGAGATCTGGGCTATTAGCCTCTTGCAACAGGGCTATAACTCTATGAACATTTACTTGGGTGTAAATCATGCAATTACTTGCAAGCAAGGATGGATAGAATCAGCCGATAGGAGGGGGACACTAGATTGTGCCATCTTCATACACCAAAGACCAAATAGAAACTGATGAACAAAAAGTCCACCCCCTCAAAAAAAAACCCAAAACCCCCCACCCCTGTGCCCTCCAGTCCCCAAGCAGCACCACAATGCTTTCCTCCACTTCTTACGTCAAGGGTACTGGCATCTGCTAAGCAATACTGACAAGAGGACAATATATTATCAAGCACCCTTACAAAGGCTTTGCTAGTCTGCAGCACATAAAGAATCTCATCTGTGTTATACAGTTTTGATCTTGACTCAATAAAAAAAAAATCCTTTCTAATCAGATGGCTTTTCTCCATCCATCAAAAGAGCCTCTCTGCAATCAACTAAAGATGCAGAGAGGGAGAAAGTGAGAGTGTGCCACATGTGGCAGGAAGCCAATGTGCATTTTATTTCAAGTCTGGTAGAATTAAGAAGGAAATATTGCCTTGGGCACACTGGTTGACACGCTCCCTTGGGCAACGCCCAGATGTCGTTGGCCACTAGATGTCCCCATTGCCTTGCACTGCACAGCAACGTTCCCTGTCAGTTGTAGAAATGCCTTCTCCAGATGGGCTGAGTCGAAAGGAGGTTTTAAAAATGTAGCTATTTTCCACTTGCTGCTCTCATTCAGGGGCAGGAAGCTTTCAACCCCCTCAGTGTGCCCCTCAAAAAATGGGCCCATCTCTTTGCCACTGTCTCTGCTACTCATTCATTTGCAGTCTTCCATTGGCTACAATCGCACCACTCCCCCCCAGCCTGCATGGGGAGCCTGTTTAATTTTGGAGAATGCATAAACTTTTAAGGAATATACACAGAGCCCTGCTGCATCATGCTAATGGCCCATCTAATCCAGCATCCTATTCTCACAGTGGCCAATTAGATGCTTCCAGGAAGCCCCAAAGCAAATCCTGAACACAACAGCCACACACACACACACACACACACACACACACACAAACCATGTAGTTTCCAACAACTGACATTTAGAGACAGTGGAGGTAGAACATACTCATCATGGCTAGTAGCAACTAACAGTTTGATCCTCCATGAATTTATCGAATCCTCTGTGAGTCAGGAAAAGCTGAAGAACCTGTTAAGTTGCCCCTTATATGAGCACCCTAGGCACAAGCTTCTTACATGAGTCTTCCAGCCCCTGTCAAACAGATTCACCCTGGACCATTGCCATCAAAGTAGCATAAACAAACTGATGTTTTAATGTATTTTTAAGCTTCTGTTGGAAGCCGCCCAGAGTGGCTGGGGAAACCCAGCCAGATGGGTGGGGTAGAAATAATAAATTATTATTGTTGTTGTTATTATTACCGGTAATAATTGCTTTCAGAGCTAAGAAAATAAGAACTAGGTTCCAAAAAACCCTGAGGGGGCAGGATGTGCTTCTGTTTTGTTTTAATGCCTTTTTAACTTATTGTGGAGGAGCAATGTGTGATTTACATTGTATGTGTCAGGGGAAGGAGTTTTATTTTTCTGTTTTCTTGTGATAACTATGTCCAAATGATTGTTCGTGTGTTGTATCTATATTGTGGGATCCTATGGCTTTAAACAACAAAGCTTTATTCTCCGTCCTCTTTTAAAGACACCCAAGTTTTCCTGAGTAAATCCCTTGAGCTTCATGTCCATTTAAAAACAAGCTGTCTAAACCTGGATTTTCCTATTCTGATGTTGGCTTGTTTGAAGACACAATTTTTATAATGGCTGACCATCCATTGTCTGTGGCGCCTGTCTCCACAATAATGCCCACGGCAGCTTGTGCACTGCATGGTGCCCTGATGCTAAGCTAAACTGATGGGCAATTAGAGCAGAAGATCAATTATCCATACCTCTCTTATCTAAATGTCCTAGTTATCCAGATTCACAATATACACAAAGTATATATATGCAAGTTGGCATAATCCTGTGCAAATATCACTCCTATTTACCCAAATGTCTGAATGAGCAAATGCTTTTTGATAATAAAAAGGCTCTCCTGATGCTCCTATTCAAACAAATTAGGTTTTTAGTGATGTTTGGGAGATCGGTTTCCACGATCAAATTGTGCAGTGTGTGTGTGTGTGTAGGGTGGAGGAGAATCTCCCTATTGTAAGGCTTGAATAGAAGGGAAATACGCCTCACTGTCTAAAGATAACTTTCTGGTGGGAATTGGTTTCACTTCGGTCAGAAGAATATGGAATTCTGTTTATCAAGCTTCATGGTTAAAGGCAAAAGATTTGCTGCAAATAAATACAATAAATAACATGCACTCACCTTGATATGCAACTGTTACCTGAAAGGCTCCTGCAATACTCAAATGCCAGAATATGAATCAAAATATGGAATGGAATAAAATACCCCATTAACAGTGAAGTGTGACCAATGCCTGTAATTTCATGGTTCAGAATGTGAATCTCAGCAACTTGCAATGCTCGCCTCCATTCTGAGGTGAGCAGTATGACCTCATAGTTCCTTTCTGGCTCGGATTGTTACCTGAGCCAGAGAAGAACTCTGGGCTCCCTGGCTGCAGTGGCAGAGACTGAAGGTCTTTCTTTCCCAGATACCTGAAATGCTGAAACAAGCAAATTCCACGTACCAAGGAGTTTAAGTCATGCTTTGGCAACAGAGGCCTCCCCTTCCCTCTACCCCATACCTAGCTGCAGGTGGGGGAGGCAGTGAGAGAGTCTCTCCTTCCCTTCTGGTCTCATATATGCTGGTGCCAGCAGGGAAGGGATATGCCCCACTCTCCAGCTCGGCTGCCACAGCAGTCACAGAAAGTTAGGATGGGGAGGAGCCAAGAGAGACATGGAGATGTTGTCACCAAAGCAGCAGTCTAGTAATGGGGCTTAATTGTTATTTCCTATTTCAAGAGATGTATACCTGAACCTTCCTTCCAAAGGGAGCCAAGGGCAGCTATCAGAGACAGAATTATAACAATACCAAATACAGCAATGATGTAACAAACCATAATAAAACAGCAGCAAGGTTGATGGGATGGGGATTACATTCTCAAAGGCCTAGAAGAATAAAAACTTTCAGCAGTGCAAGTGGTCACAACTAAACAGAAATTGGGAGGCATCCCATCATCTAAAGAATGCCCTGTCCCATGTCACTATCTGACAAGCAAAAGCTACCGGCAGGACAGCAAGTAGGACAACCTCAGCTCGTCTTTAAAAAGAGCACCAAAAAAATTGCCTTATATCAACTCATGTTTGCTGGTCATCTAGCTCAGTATGGTCTACACTGACTGTTCAGGGTTTCAGACAAGGAACATTCCCAGTTCTACTTGGAGATGCTGGGAATTGAACCTAGTTCCCTCCTGCATTCAAAGAAGATGCCTAGCCTTTAGTGATTGGGTGGGGCAGTCCTGGAAAGATACTCTTTCAGATACTTAAGTTATTTAGAGAGACAGCAACCAATGGGCATCTGGAGAAAGGCATTTGGACCTGGGCGTGCTTCAGAAGATGTTATCAGGAGCATGGCAGGACCTGATATGGACTAGTAAACATCTAATTATATAATATTCCATCATTTTAGGAGAATAGTTTAACTATGCTTGCTTATGAATTGGTCTCAAAGGGGTCAATAATCCTCATTAACTGTGTTTACATAATGCTTTTCGAAGGTTGAATGTGAGAATTCAAGATCCGGTTTTTGAATATCCAAGCTAAGCTTCTTGTTTCCAAAACTGGTGGCGAATTGGCAATCACATTTAGGTAACTGTCAGCATTCTCCTGTGTAGTGCTGGGCCAAATGAGATTTCAAAAAAGGAACTGATGTAGACATCAAGGGAACAATCAGAACTTTGTTAGACTTTCTTACACTCCACTACTACACACTACCTTAAACTACACACGCTTCTCCAATTTTTATGTACTCTTTTTATTACTGGGGCAATCCAGCCAGATGGATGGGGTATAAATAATAGAATTATTATTATTATTATTATTATTATTATTATTATTATTATTTACTCCTACATAAAACAGAATATTCTACTAACACAGGTAAAAGAAAAAAGAAAAGCAAGGAAATCAGATCCTGCCATATGTTGCAATAAATCTATATTTTCTCATTTTTTAAAATACATTTTACAGTTCAGTTTTTTTACTATTATTTTCAGTTACATATGAGAGAGGGGATCATGATTTTTTTCAGTGCTTTTAAAGGTCTTATCTGGCCCTGTGCCTGAGGACAATCAGATCCCTGACACCTGTTGGAACTGTTTCTCTTGGGTTTTATGGTAGAAGTCCAATACCACACATGGGCCAATACATTATATTTAGTATTCACTTGCAGCATGGACCTTCCCTTCACTGTGCTCTGAGGATTCATATATTTTGTGCTTAAAATCCGGAAACAATCATGCGTGATGCATTATGGATTTCTCCATTAAAAGAGGTCTGGTTTTTAGGTGCTTGCCTATGCCTTGCCTGGGACAAATTTATGGGGGACTCCCAACCACATGTTGAAGTGTATTCCTCAATTACAGGAGCACCTCTTTTCTGGATGCCAAGCAGCCTTGAACAGTAGCTTTGCTTTACTTGTGGAGGGGAGGGTATTTAAAGAGAGGAAGGGGGGGAAACATACCTTTTGACTTTCCAGTCCAACTAAAGACTTATCCCACTGCGAAATATGGCACTAACAGGCTCTGTTGGGTGGGTGGGGGGTGCTGGCTACCAGCCCTGAACCTCAAACATTTATTGCTGTATAGTAGATTGGGGAAAGTTTTTAGTGAGTGATAAGGGTGTGTGTGTGTTTCTTTTCTTTTTTCTGCCTACTGAAACATTACCTGAGGAAAGATTAGAAACAAAAAACAAAACTTATAGTATGCATCCTTTCGATTCTAATCCCTGCCTCCAGGATAGGTAAAGTAAAGGGACCCCTGACCATTAGGTCCAGTTGTGACCGACTCCGGGGTTGCGGAGCTCATCTCGCTTTATTGGCCGAGGGAGCCGGCGTACAGTTTCTGGGTCATGTGGCCAGCATGACTAAGCCGCTTTTGGCAAACCAGAGCAGCGCACGTAAACGCCGTTTACCTTCCCGCCGGAGCGGTACCTATTTATCTACTTGCACTTTGACTTGCTTTCGAACTGCTAGGTTGGCAGGAGCAGGGACTGAGCAACGGAAGCTCACCCCGTCGTGGGGATTCGAACTGCCGACCTTCTGATCAGCAAGCCCTAGGATCTGTGGTTTAACCCACAACGCCACCCGCATCCCATGAATCCAGGATGCTATACTGTACTGTTTGGCACTCAAGCGAGCCAATTTCTCTTTTCCTTTCATCTAATTATCCTCAACATTCTATGGTTCTACGCTCAACATTTCATGTTTAGAAGTTGCTTTTATTTTAATTTAATATACTTCTGCATACCCAGGCAGACCCTAAAGTATGCAGAAGCCAATTTTGGACAGGGACATTTCACTTCATAACTGATCTGCCCGGACTACTTGTGCTCAGTATTAGAGGGAATGGTGATAGGTTTATCAGCACCTATTAGCGTTTATAGCTACTAAGAACCTTCATGTTCAGAAGTAGTATATCACTGAATACCATCTGATGAAGAAGAGTGGGGGAAGCCTACTGCCTTTGTGCTCTGCTTGTGGACTTCTCAGAGACGTCTGACCAGGTACTGTGGGAAACAAAATGGTAGACCAGATGAACCTATGGTGTGATCCTACATGACTCGTGTGTTCTTAATATAGAGGATGACATTTTGCATTATCTATTGCTACAGTGAACCTGAAGATTCATATTCTATTAGTTATTAATTAGGGTGATAGGTATGTCAGTGGTCTTTCTTGTGCATCCTTTAAGAAGAGTGGTTAGAATTTGTTCCTTTTAAACCTATTGTTGGATGAGTATTTTAAGTTTTTGTTTACTGCGGTTTTTAATCTGAGCTCAATATCTTTGTTATTTTATTTTCACTGTGTAAGTTTATTTGACTGATCATTGATTATGTAATTTCTATGCTGCTTAATATATTAAAAATATATCTAGGAAGCGTACAACAAAACTGAAGGAACAGACAACTTAAACAAATTATTACAGAATTACACAGCTGTATCTGAAGAAGTGTGCATGCACACAAAAGCTTATACCAAGAACAAACTTAGTTGGTCTCTAAGGTGCTACTGTACAATTTTTTTATATATTTTGACTGCATATAAAAATGTTACATTAATGCAGCTAAATCAATATCAATTCATTTTCCCTCTGACACACCTTCCCTCAGCCTCTGGGTTCTCACTCAGAAGCCAAACAAATTCTCAGTTCACCTACAAAAGTCTCATAAGGAGAAGAATTCCTAGAAACAGCAGGCATCACCCTAGACTCTCAAGGTAGCTGATACTTCCTCATTCAGCTGCACCTTCCACACCCAGTTTCAGCAGGTTTGTTGAGTTTCCCAGGGGGTCCAGAGTTTCCCAGGGGGTCCAGAGTTTCCCAGGAGGTCCAGAGTTTCCCAGAGGGTCCACTCACAGCTCTTCACCCTGAATCCATTCTTCCTCCTGCTGCTGCTCTGAGACTCTTGAGTACAAAAATGTGACAAAATCATCACCATCTAAGATTCAGATGCTATTCTTTTAATGGTGATGGGTGCTGTTTTTGTTTCAGTAGCTTCTTTGGTGGGGCAATTTTCTCTTCGTTTCAGCTGCAAGTTACTGTAACACTGCTATTCATTTTGAACTTGTGCTTGACAAAAGATACCTTGTGTATCTTTTGCACACACACACACACACACACACACACACACACACCCCTTGGTATGTTATAGTATCAGAACATATATAATAAAGGCCTACTAATATTTTGTCTTGCCCCTTTGGATAATATAGGAAGGGCTGAGTATTCTCATTTTAAATTGTATGCCTGTATACAGTAATGGTCTGGAACATATAACTAAATTGTTTTGTCCAGCAATATCTAGGCTGAGCTACAAGGTATCATCCATCTGTTTTAGGTGGATGATCAGAGTTGCAGTAACCCAATCAAGTTAACCATTAAATAATACTAATGCTACAATTCTATGCACAATTACCCGGGAATAAGCACCACTGAACATAGTGAGTCTTACTTCTCCTGAGAAAATAAATGGGAAAATTGTACTGTAAGACACTACTATATTGTTTGGGTTCCATAAATCTTGTAGTATGGAATATAGGCAAGACATTTTCAAAGAAAAAGAGAGAGGAGACCTTAAAGGTGCACCATTTTCTTTGGTCAGACACATTTCTGGGGCAACTGGTTTTTCTGGGACAACTGGTTAGGTCTCCTCAAGGTAGAACTAACTGCACAATCCAGGGTCTTCTGCTGTTTTTGGACTACAGCTGCCATCATCCCTAGCTAGCAGGACCAGTGATCAGGGATGATGGGAATTGTAATCCAAAAAACAGCTGGAGACCCAAATTTGGGAAACCCTAGCATAATCCTCTCTCTAGTTTATCATAAGTAAGTTCCACTGCATTCAATATTGCTTACTCGGTAGTATGTATGTATTTGAGTTTAGGTACAGATCTGTGCTAATTCTCCTTGAATGGACGAAACCAATTGCTCCTGTAGATGAATTGCCAAATAAATTAATCAGTGCATTTCTGTTGTCTCTTCTAGAGATGAGTGACCACTTCATTGTTCATCCCCAAAATGAATCAAAATCTTAGGGCAGGTGTGGGAAACCTCTGGCCTTCCAGATGTTGCTGAACTACAACTCCCATCGGCCCCAAGGAACTCCCACTAAATGAAGATTCAGGTGGATACATACCTGAAGGGAGATTGATTTTGCTGCGACTTAGACTAGGGCAGTGTTTCCCAAACTTGGATCTCCAGCTGTTTTTGGACTACAATTCCCATCATGCCTGACCACTGGCCCTTCTAACTAGGGGTGATGGGAATTGTATTCCAACAGCAGCTGGAGACCCAAGTTTAGGAAACCCTGGACTAAGGGAAATCCTTCCTATTTCCTTGATTAGTCAGTCTTTCTCCATGGTGGTTATCCCAACAGTTTCTGGGGCTAATTTTCTTTTGCTGCTGATTGCAGAGAATTGCAAAGAAAAATTCTCCTCTCTGTGTGTAAGTGAACTTTTTTTGTAACTCATTCCAGCACCTTCATAGGATAGCAAATTAGAAAAAGGTTAGACAGAGGTACCAATATAGAGGTAAACAGAGTGCTTTCCCCTTGCAACTAAAGCCTCCCCGGATCATTAGTACCAGAAGGCTTTACACTGGTGAAGAAGTAGCTGTATTGAGTATACCTGGTGCTGGGCAATGAACTCTCAGTTGGGTTCCTCTTTCATTGGATTTCACTTAACTGAAGCAAGCGATGAGGGGGCAAGCTAATCCCAGAGAAGATGTTTTATTTAAACCCAGACAGTTCTTAACCAAGATTCACAGCTAACTGCAGAGAGCTGAATGAATCCTTTTTCTTTTTTTGCACCTGTGTTCAAAGTGCCAAAATGTTGGCGAGATAACAACTGCTGAGCCATTTTGTTTCTTGTGAAGGAGAACAACAGAAGAGCCATGTGAAAGTGAGATGAGAAGAGAATGCCTTGATTTTGAACAGATTGCCTTGTAACCATAGGATCTTAGAGTTGGAAGGGATCCCAAGGGTCATCTAGTCCAACCCCCTGCAATGCAGGAATTTCAGCTAAAGCATCCATGACAGATGACCATCCAACCTCCATTTAAAACCTCCAAGGAAGGGGGGTCCACCACCTCTCGTGGGAGTCTGTTCCACTGCTGAACAGCTCTTACTGTCAGAAGGTTTTTCCGAATGTTCAGTCAGAATCTCCTTTCTTGCAACTTGAAGCTATTGGTTTGAATCCTGCCCTCCAGAGCAGGAGAAAACAAGCATGATCCCTCCTCCAAGTGAAAGCCTTAAGGTATTTGAAGATGGCTATCATATCTTCTCCCAGTCTCCTCTTTTCCAGGCTAAACATACCCAGCTCCTTCAAGAACTCCTCATAAGGCTTAGTTTCCAGACCCTTGATCATCTTGGTTGCCCTCCTCTGCACACGTTCCATCTTGTCAACATCCTTATTAAATTGTGGTGCCCAGAATTGGACACAGTATTCCAAGTGTGGTCTGACTAAAGCAGAACAGAGTGGTACTATTACATCCCTTGAGCTAGAAACTCTACTTCTGTTGATGCAGCCTAGAATAGCATTAACTTTTTTTGCTGCTGCATCACATTGTTGACTCATGTTAAGCTTGTGGTCCACCATAATAATAATACTAATATAATAATAATTTATTATTTATACCCCGCCCATCTGGCTGAGTTTCCCCAGCCACTCTTGGTGGCTCCCAATCAAGTGTTAAAAACAGTACAGCATTAAATATTAAAAACTTCCCTGAACAGGGACTCCTAGATCCTTTATACATGATCTGCTGGTAAGCCACGTGTCCTCCATCCTATATTTGTGCATCTGGTTCTTCCTGCCTAAGTGCAGAACTTTACATTCATCCCTATTGAAATGCTGATTTATGCCCAGTTCTCCAATCTGTTAAGGTCATTTTGAATTCTGATTCTGTCTTCTGCTGCATTAATTACTCCTCCCAGTTTGGTGTTATCTGCAAATTCGATTAACATCTTCTCAATTCCTTCATCCAAGTCATTTATAAAGGCGTTAAACAACAACGGGCCCAGGACAGAACCTTGCAGCACCCCACTTGTTACTTTTTTCTAGGATGACGAGGAACCATTAATGAGTACAGTGGTACCTCGGGTTACAGATGTTTCAGGTTACAGACTCTGCTAACCCATAAATAGTACCTCAGATTAAGAACTTTGCTTCAGGATGAGAACAGAAATCGTGCGGTGGTGGCGTAGCGGTAGCAGGCGGCAGCATTAGCTAAAGTGGTACCTCAGGTTAAGAACAGTTTTAGGTTAAGAATGGACCTCCTGAACAAATTAAGTTCTTAACCCGAGGTACCACTGCACTCTTTGAGTTTGGTCAGTCAACGAGCTACAAATCCACCTAACAGTTACCTCACTCAACCCACATTTTTCCAGCTTCCTTGTAAGAATATCATGGGGGACTTTGTCAAAAGCCCTACTGAAATCAAGATACACTATGTCCAAAGCATTTCCCTGATCCACCAAGTTTGTAATTCCATAAAAAAAGAAAAGAAATCAGATTGATCTGGCATGATGCATTTTTGAGAAACCCATGCTGGGTCTTAGTAATCACAGCATCCTTCTCTGAATGCTCACAGACTGACTGTTGAATTATCTGTTCTAGGACCTTCCCTGGTATCGATGTCAAGCTCACCGATTGGTAGTTACCCGGGTCTTCCTTTTCCCACTTTTTGAAGATGGGGACAACATTTGCCTGCCTCCAGCCTGTAGGGACCTCACCTGTTCTCCAAGAATTCTCAAAAATAATAGACAAAGGCTCTGAAATCCACATCCACAAGCTCCTTTAGAACCCTTGGATGCAGCTCATCAGACCCTGGAGATCTGAATTCATGTAAAGTAGCTAAGTGCTCCCTTAGTACCTTTTTTCCTGTCTTGGGCTACAGCCCCCTCCTTACATCATTTATTCTGTTATCACCAGGTTGGGCGTTGCTTTCCTTTTGGGTTAAATCAGAGGCAAAGTAGGTGTTGAGTAGGTCTGTCTCTTCTCTGTTACCTTATGCAGCCACACCAGTTTCCTTAGATGCCTCCCACTTTTCTTTCTTATGGGAATTGTCTTCATTTGGGCCTTCAATGTTTCTCCTTTTAGAAACTCCCATCCTTCTTGGACTCACTGAGTAATTCTGACCACAGGATCACACCCAGTAGCTGCTTCAGCTTTTCAAAGTGGCCTTCTTAAAGTCCAGAGCGTGTGTCTGACTACACTCAGTTTCCCCTTGCCTCTGTATCCTGAAACCCAGGAGAACATGATCACTTCCTACCAAGTTTCTGAGCACTTCCACTTCATCAATCAATTCCTCCCTATTAGTGAAAATATGTCAGTTGAAACCCTGGCTGGGCAGTGGTGAAGTGTGGCACAATGCTGGAGTCACCACTGCGTCCACAACCCAGTGTCTCATGCTGGTTAGAGTGGAAGGTACAGAGTGCGCAAATTGCTGCCTGGAGCTAGGGTAACAATTGGTCCCAATGCCACCAAGTGCTGGCAGTGGTGCTGGCTCAGGACCCAGCTGATCCCAGGGCCAATCAGTTTCCACTTTTGTTCCTTTGCCTTCTTTTTTTAAAAAGAGAAGAAGCCTCAGGTTGCTTGTAGTAGTAGCAGCAGCAGCAGCAGCAGCAGCAAGGCTTTCCCCAGCTTGGTTTTCCAGGCCTCTCAGTGCATAATACCTAATCAGCACGACTGAAGAGTCCAATGGCCCCGCCAGAGCACGTCTAGGCTGCAAGTGACACATCCCATTAATCATTCGGTCTGCTCTGGAATCTGTGTGCACAGAGCATGAGCTCAGATTCCTTATGGGGAATAATGCGGCTGCCTTTTGGAGTGTAGGGAGAAGGCAAGCTGCCCAAGATGCTGCTATCTGACTACGAGAATAGTTAAAGGGAAATAAGCATAATTTGAGCATCCAGAGTGTGACAAGGCTTCCATGTGTTACTTCTTGGGAAGCTTGAGCCAGGTACTAAAAAAGACTGCATATATACAACACACATTTGAAGTACACAAACCCACACACTTAACAATCCTGGGACTTGTAGTTTGTTAAAGGGGTTGGTAATTGTAGCACTATGAGGTGTAACTCACAGTTCCAAGGATTCTTGGGGGAGGTGTTTAAAATGTATATTGTTTGTGCAGCAAAGGACAGAACATTTAATTGTTTTGTTCTGGGCACGTTCCATAGCCTTTCAAAGCAGGGTGGGATACAATTGTTGTGTTTTTTAAGGGCCAGGAGCACCTGCTTACAGGCACTGGCATATGCTCCCCTCTTAGAAGGGAAGAGGAAGCTACAATTCAAAATTGGCACAGCTCCCTGGTAGTGCTCTCTGCCAGTCGGCTAACACTGACATAAGAAGGCAGCTGATTAGCTGGTTCTACAGAAGTAGCTCTGCCAACCCGACCCTTCAAAAAAGCCCCACTGGCCTAGATTTCTAGAATACTCATGCCAGCACCTGCAAGACTGGGACCATTGCACATTGATTTCCTTTCCAAGGGACTCATATTTCACAGAGCTTGCTTCAGAAGCTGATGCAAAACTCTTGTCCAAGCTGTAGGTATATGTCACAAATAAAATTTCACTAGCATTTCTGCTTGAATTAGCATTGGCTCTCTGTTGCCTTTTAGTGCCTAAGTAGCAGCTCTTTTGTCTCGGGTGAGTATTAAAAGAACTTTGCATCAGGCAGGAGGCTTCTGGCTGCTTTGCAGTTGCATACAGAGAAGTTTCCACAGTTTTCAGTGAGCAGAGTGCTCTGTATCTGCATAGAGATTCAGTGATTTTCAGCAGCAGGAGGAACAACTTGAGCACACTCTGATGGGTCAAATGAATATGCGAAGTAGTTCCTATGCTTCTCAGCTATATTCCATCTGAACCACCACTGAAATCACCCTGGGTTAATAAGCAATTCCACCAGCTCAAAAGAAGTATGAACGATTGTTGAAGCATATGAGCTCGAGGAGATTGTGTGGTTTGACAATTGTGCTTGGGTTTAACAATGTGGAGCACAGCTCAGTGAGAGAGTGCAATATGTTCATACAAAAGGCTCCAAGTCCAAATCCTAGGATCCCTGCCTTAAAAAAAATCTGTGCCAAAAGTGTCTTGCAGATCCTTACAGCCCCATTCTAAGGCTGAAAAATCTGGGAGTCACTTTAAACCATTTTCAGGGGTGGGCTTGCATATTTTTTTAAACTTATGGGCTGGTATGCAACTAGGTTTTAATCAGAGCAGACCCACTGAAATTAACAAGCATGACCAAGTTAGGTCCATTAACTTCAATGGGTCTATTCTTAGCTGAATACCATCCTATGTTTACAATGACCAACAGCAGAGGCTTCTCTCTTCACCTGCTTCTCTTCTTTTTCTCTTTGGGAACATTACAAAGATGCTACATTACAATGTAGAATCCCCTGAAGGTTTAAAAGAATAATTTAGTCCATCAAAGATTGAGGGGGTGTCTATGTCTCCCCTGTCCATCATTACTTCCCTATCACCCTGCAAATGGGCTCAAAAAGTCCCATTTGCAACCACCAGCTCAATCCAAAAACATTCCATGTAGTTGAGCTCAGAAGGATCCCTGCCTAAGACAACCAGATTGCTGATCAGAAAATAAAGGAGCCTATGTCTGACTTGGTACAAGGCAGCCTCATATATCTGTATATGTCCCCTCATTTCCCAGTACATATATTTGTGCACACAGACATGCTTTCAGCGGTGACTCACACATTGGTGCAGATTATTTAGTGACAATTGTGGTTGTGAATTCTACAACTCTGCAATGCAGAATAGGCACACTATGCATGCCGATACTCATAGAAGATTATACAAGTGCTCTTCACATGAATGTGGTTGTGCTTGCATGCATGCTGACACAAGCCTATGGGTGCATTTATCCATCCCAACTTTTCATATATATTTTCCATTTGGCACATGCCTGCCTTCTCCATGGAATTGTGAACTAGTTGATTTGTGCCTGGAGTGGGTGAGATTAGTGCCATTCTCTTTTTGAAATGCATTTGTGTGGAAATTTTAACCCACCTCATCTTGAAGATTCAGGGCAGCTATCAATAGGTCAAAATAAAACAGAGAAAGCATTGAATATCACTTAAAATACAAGACATAAACTACAGACAACTCAAAAGCTTTCAAAGTCCCTTAATATCCACATATGTACATGGTGGGTCCTTGTTCCTCTTTAGTAAGAGCAGTGTTTTCTACTTAATGTGTTTGTGACAGGGCCATCCCACCCGTGAGGCAAGATGAGGTGACTGCCTCAGGCAGCAGGATCCACGGGGCAGAAGATCTGGCCTCCAAGGAATGCACTGCCTGCTGTTCCTACTTACACGACCCCCTTGTTCCCAAAGCTGACCTCCACTTTCCATGCTGTCCCCGATGTAGATCTTAATTCCCCACCTCCCCAATCTTGTTCCTGATGTAGGGCTTCATTCACCCCCTCTTCCCCAGAGGGTGGGGAGGTGCCATTTTGTGTGTCGTATCAGGTGCCATAATGTCCTGGGCCGGCCCTGGTTTCTAAAGTGTGGTACCATGTGCCTTCCTAGTGTGCATCTTAATCAGTTTTGCACTTTGTTTCCTAAAAAAGGAGGTACAGAAGCAGGTTTCTTCAGCTTCTACTGGTGGTCCCTGCTTCTTCTCCATTAACATCTCTGGAAGTGGCATCAGTAGAATTACTCAACATAAACTCTAGGTCAGTGTTTCCAGATTATCTTTTGGGAATTGTCAAAGAAGAGCCTCCAAATTCTCTGGTTTTATTTTTCTGTTGTTTTGCTGGTGCTCAGCAGCCATGTGATGGAGGGGAGTGAGAGGAGAAGTAAGAGAACAGCTATAACCATAGCCTCCACTCTCCCCTTCTGTTTCTGGCAGGAAACTGTGACACAGGAGGTCACCCAAGGAAGCTTAAGGATAGGAGGTTCAAGGCAAACAAGAGGAAGTACTTCTTTCAAATGGGGCAACAGATGGTGAGAGCTGTCCGACAAAATTTTATTCAAGTTGGCTCCCCTGCTGGGAAGTGTAGTTTATTAAGGTTGCTGAGAATTGCAAGGAGACCCCTTTCCCTCTCACAGAGCTACAATTCTCTGAGTGGTTTAACAGTCAGCCCTCTTCCCGGGAAACTCTGGAATTGTAGCCCATGTCTCTTCAGTCCCAGGCAGACAGGGAAAACAGGATGTTTACTGGGATCTCGGTGGATCACCATACACTTCTGATGGACAGTTTCTGAAGGTCTGCAATATACAGTATTATAACCTATTCCCTACACTTTTAACATTCCAAACATGAAGAAGAATAAGAAAGGGAATTTTCTTAGTGTTCGTTGTAAACCTCCTTTAAACCTAAGAAAACTTCAGATACAATAGAAATCATTTAAGTGCAGCATTCATGGTGCTACTTTTCGGCAACAACACACAAAGGGAAGCCTAGATAAAAAGTGGGGTGGGGTGGAGAGTGATGAAGACCACTTATTTGTCCTTAGAAATCTCTGTTGCAAAAACTGATGGAATAGAAAACCTGGCAAGCAAAAGGCAGGGTTTAAATAGCTCTTTGTAGCAATGTTTCATGTTAATACAGAGAACGGAACAATGAAGTGCATGGCGAGAGGAGATGGACAAGGGGCCTAGCAGGTGCTGCTGCCTTTAATGTCTATGATTCTCTGAAGTGTGTCTCAGTGGGCCAGTCCCTAATCAGCCCCCTTTTTTACTCAGCACCAGTCCACTGATTTGAGGTTGGTAAAAACTACTCCCTGCTTTTGAAAATTTCCAGGAAGGGACGACCCCACACAGGCTGAGAGCGCTGAACAGGGAGTGCTTTCAGGCAGTAATGATCAGCTTTCACAGTTACTTCTGTGGCTGCAAAGCTGCAGGGAAATAAACGCTGGAATCTCACTGTTGGATTTATCCCGTTGCTTAGAGATTCCTGAGTGGAAATGTTCAGGCTGAATGCTGTCTGCTTGGCTCAGGCTAGGCCTAGACAGGTTGAGGGGTGTGTTTATTGAAAGAGACACCTTGTTTCAGAATGCTGACACTTCTAGCATAATATATAAAAGAATAATTAAAAGGGAATATAGAGGAATACAGCTCACTAAATCAGGGATGGGGGTATGTCAGCACATTCTCACTTTTGTCAAGAGTGTTTTAAGGGTCTGAGTTTAGGGCTGCTTCTCTTTTCCAGTGCTCAGCAGGAGAGGCCAGTGCCAGACCCTAGGAGTCTCTTGGCCCGTCTTACTGCTTGGCACTCCTCCCTGGTCACCTGTCCACATGGCATGACATAGCAGCACCAAGAATAAGGGGAAGTAAAAGCTTCTGCTTGACTCACTGCCACTCTCTAGGCAGCTGAGTGAATTGACTACAGAGGAAGGTGAGAAGCAGAGGGGCAGTGGTGACACTGATCAGAAGGATGTGGGCCTAGCCAGGGTCTCACCTAAGGACCTCAGAAAACTTGGGAAATGACAGTGTTTGTTTTGATATTTTGTTCAGTCAAATGTGAACAACTACTTGTCCCAACTGAAGCAAGTAGAGTGCACGTGCTTTCCTTCTGCCGATTTTCAATATGAGCAACAGGACACTAGATCCAATAAACAAATTAGCAAGGCGGATGGTCCTGTTATAATGGAACGTGAGATCAGTTGCCAACTTGCTGCAGCATGGTTCCACTGATAATAACACATAAAATAGATGTGGGCAGATGGGGCTTTAGGAAGGGATGTGCAGAGGAGCCTTAAGTCAAACCAAGGTTTGTTCTTGGCTACAGCTTGTGGTTTTCGTGAAGAAAGCTTAGCCACAAATCCCAGTTTGGACAAGACACTAAGCCAGATCTGAGCTTTTAACATATTAAGAAGAGCCCAGGTGGACCAGACCAATGGCCTACCTAGTGCAGCATCCTGTTCTTATACCAGCTCACCAGATACTTGTGGGAAGCCTGCAAGCTGGACATGAGTACATCAGCACTCTCTTCACTTGTGATTCCCAGGAACTGGTCTCTGAGCTTAGCTCAGCACAGTCAAGGTTTAGCAGCAAGAAGGGCTGGGAGTCAACTGCATTGTCCTTTCCACTCATGTGGTGTCACTAAGCCACAGTTTGCCTTAGCATGTCATATGAGCCAGCCCTCATGACAAGTTAACTTTCTTGCAGTCTTATTGATGTCTTTCTATAATTACAAACTTGCCTTCATCTCAGATCTTTATTCATGATCCAGAAGCCCCTACCATCTGTAGATGGAGGTAGCATACCTCTCTATTTGCTATAACTGTATGAAGTCCTTCACAAAGTCCTACACCAACTATCAGGAACAAATGGTGGAAGCCCATTACTAATGGATCATCTCCAGGGGTGCCAACTTGAATGAAATATGGGGGGGACCAGATAAACCCCACCCCACATAATCACACGATGCAGTGCACGCACACGATTGAATGGCAATGCTCATCAACTTGGGGGGGCCTCAAATATTTTATTGGGTGGGGCGAAGACCCCTTGGCCCCTAGGAGTTGGCTCCTGTGATCATCTCAGAAGAGAAAGTTTCCATAAGTAAATAATATTTATTATTATTATTATTATTATTATTATTATTATTATTATTATTTAAAAAACCCTACTGGACTTCATTCCTAAGAAGATGTTCATGCCACCATTTTAAAATGAGGGTCTTCTTGGTGGCTGCTCCCAGACTCTGGAACTCCCTCCCTGAAGAAGCTAGATTGGCTTTCTCCCTGTTGTTCTCCTGCCAGCAGGTGAAGACCTTCTTGTTCCAGTGCTTGGAAACTGACTGTTTTTAATGAAAGCACTAGTGCTGTGTTGTTTTGTCTTAAATAGATCTTATATATGCATGTAGTTTTAATTCTATTAATGTTTAATTGTTTTTTAATTATTGTTTTTCTTATGTTTTTAGCCATTCTTGTTTTTATTTGTGAGATGCCTTGAGTCTCATCAGGGGAAAAGGAGGGGGACACACACTCAGTGGACCATTTCAGACCCTTTAAGATATTCTACTCAGCAGTGGTTTTAGCACAGCTTCGCTAGTTTAAACAGTCCCCCTGCCCCCGATTTCAGGCAACTGGCACGCACAAAAACATCTAATGGACTTAATTTGCTTTGCAATTAATGCTTTTGCTTCTTCCCAGTTTGGGTTCAAAAATTACCCAAAAGCTTCCCCGCAACACATGCACACACATCTGTGTCTTCAAAGTGCCCAGGCCCTTTGCATTGGGAAAATGGAGTGCTGGCAGCTGGCTTGGGAGTGTGATATGCAAAGACAAAACTGACCGGCCTTTCAAATGCTCTGGCACCATTCCTTGATGCTCTGGCCACCACCTTTTTATAATAGCAAATGGATGCAAAACAGGATGGCTGCCTCCCCAGCCAAGCCAACATCCGGTGCTCTGAGTGACAAATCATTGCTTTCAGCTGTGGTAGGAGAGGGAGTCTTGAGGACAAACATTTTTTAGTAAGGAACTTCTGCCAAGGTTATTGGTTCTAGCTGAAGGAAAATGTCCTTCTCCATTTTCCTCAGCAAGGAGCAGGGAGACTATAAACCCCAAACATTATCCCGAAGCCCGCAGGTGCCAGCAATCCAAATAAACGTAGAGCAATTAACAGAATTAACACAGCTTTAAATAGCTTGGCTCACCAGATGCAGAATCCTAGCAGGGTTCCATAAAACGTAAAGTTATTAGAGATTAAACCGTTAATCATCTGTTCAGAGAGTGGATGCAAAAACCATTCTGTCTGAAATGGCTAATAATCAGAAAAGGAGGCATGGATTTAATGGGTGCAATTACGCCATCCCAATTCTCTTTTTGTACTGTGTTCGCCAGTTACCATCTCAACCACTCTACTCCTTGCTAGTTTTACTCCAGTTGGGGGGGTGGGATGGGGCGGAGGGGTTATTGTGGCCAGAATCCTCAGGTGAAACATGCCAGATCTCAGGCCTGGCATTACTACCCAGCATAGCAGGGCAAATGCCAGAGGCTGATGCTTGCATCCCTAAATACATACATACATACAGAACCATAAGGAAAAGTAACAGGCAAGATGGCCGCAGCTGTTGCTATCTTCATCATCCCCAATGCCTCTGGGCTTAAGACTGAGAAGGGGGTCTAGAAGCATTGAATATTATGGAGATGGGGCAGTTTCAGCTGTCTTACCTAGCACTTAACGTTCCAGCACTGGGCTAATGGAGTACTGAGCAACTTGACCTTACCAGAAGGGGCTGGGTTGGGTTTTTGTTTTTTTACAAAAAACACAAAATGGCAGTAGAGGCTGGTCCAACTAGGACGCTGCCCCAACAATAAGGATCAATACCTGTCAGTATATAAAGCACCTAGGCTCAGCAATCTGCACTGGTTGCCAATTTGCTACCAGGCCACGTTACTAGGTGTTGCTATTAGTATACCTAAGACACTGCCTTACCCCATATACACCCACTAGTCTGCTTCAATCAGTAGAACGAGCACTGTTACTTGTGCCACATAATACCCGTTCTGCATTTGTAAGCACTTAATCGTTTAGTGTGGCAGCACTTACACTTTGGAACTCCCTGCCTATTGATATCAGGCAAGTGCCTTCATTGTACTATTTTCAGTGCCTGCAAAAAAAAAACAAAAAAACATTTTTCTTTAGAAGTAGTGCAGTAGTCGTCCTCAGACTGGGTAAAAACTCCAAGCCCTGTTTTAGTTCATGATGCACAGAGTTTTCTCCTTTATTTCATTTACCATTTTTCTCTGTCCTTTTTCTCTGCTTCTGCTTCTTTTTTAACTCTCTGCTATGACGTTCTACTATTTCAGGTGTGAAGAAGTTCTGAACTACAGTTTCTATCATCTCTGGCCATTCAGCATGCTTACTGGGGCTGATGGGAGTTGTAGTCCAACAGCAGCTGGAGCTCAAGAAGTTTCCCACACTTATGCAATATTTCCCCTTCAGTCCATGATATGTGCCTGTGGTTCAGTCTGCAACCCTTCTTTCTCTCATAAAGTCTACAACAGTTGCTAACAAATTGGGATCATCTTACAAACAACAACCCCAACAGCCTTTTTCAAGTGTCTCGGTTTGTCCTTCTTTGCTTTCATTCCACTCAGATCTGCTCTTTGCCATCCCCTAGCCCGAGCTCAAAATGTGTATGTGGATTAGGCCCTCTTTGCCTTCACCAGATGCTGATGTATTTGAATGTTAGCTACTGAATCTGCAATTAGCTCAAGTGACAGAGGCCTGGCTGTGGAATACATGATAACGGTGGCTTGTTTTACTACTGCCACTACTGCTGCCCAGATGTCACTGTCACTGCTGCCTAGAGGAGCAACTGTATGTGAGATTGCAATAAAGAGTTGCAGTATGGAGCCCACATTTTGCAGCTAATTAGTCACACCATTTTCAAGAATACTCTATTCATTATCCCCAGCCCTCCCCCCCGCAAAAAAACATTCTGTATGCACTGAGTAAATGACTTTTGGAGTTCTCCCCTTAAGGTTCTTCTTCACCAACAGTTTTTCTTTTTTAATGTTTCTGAAAAATGTGCGATTCCCCCAAACCTGCATATATGTCCCCTGTTATTGTGCAAATGGTAGTGCTTTGGTGACATGAGGGAAAACGCCTGGGGAATTACAGTAGTTCTCGATTAGTACATATAATATTCAGTAAAGGAACTGCAGAAAACTTGGTTGGGGTGCATAATTGTCAAAAAACAGAATGCCCACAGTTTGAAACATTTACCTCTTTGAGGCAGCCCATGAAGTTATTGCTGATAGGCGAACCAGGCAAATCAGCTGTACTGGGGCTCCCACCTACGTAGAAGAAGTCGTCTGAGCCTAGCATGGTATAGTCCTCTTGTGTGTAGCCCGTGGTGGTGAGGATTCCATCCACAGAGATTGTCACCTGTTTGAAGGACACAATGGACCAAAAAAAAAAAAGAAAGAAAAGAAAAAAAACAAAATTCCCAGCAATGACCTTACAGTTCTTAGAAAGAGCAAGTCATCTCCCCTACTTTTTGTGCAACTTTTCACACATGTTTCGCTGAGGTTTGTTTACTCGGTGCAGCTCAGTTCCATTTTCTGGTCTGCTGTTTTGCCCTGTCCCTTCAGTTCCTCAGTCACCTGTGCTGTTAGTTCAATAGCGCTGAAGCTGAGTTAAGAGCTATTCTAATCTGCCGCAATGGCTCCCGTTGTTTAACCAGGCCAGAAAATTGAACTGTTCCTCTGAGAGCTTCTGAGAGCTGATTTTTTTTATTTAAAAAAAATGATTAATTAGCTGTTATTTGTAGTGATTATTGTTAGTTACGATTGTTAGTAAAGACACTAATGAAGACGAAGTTGATATATTTGATTTTGCTTCTTTCTTTCTTTTTTTGCTCACACGGTATGGTGATAGTCATGCATTCAGGAAGGGAGGGGAGGGGAAGGGAGGGGTCTCACTTTCAATACATTATGGAGGAGCATGCTATGGACCTACAGAGACAACCACCCACCACCCAAGACCGCAACTGAGAGAGAGAGAGAGAGAGAGAGAATATGATTTAACAGAAAGATAGTAAGAATAAAAAGAAAAAAAGTCAACCACACACCAGCAAATTAGAGAAACGGGAGAGAGAAAGAGAGAGAGAACCAAAAAAAAAATAAAAATGGCAACATGCACACACCACACACAGTCGCACACACCAAACTTTGACACACCCATGCGAGTGATATTCGAAGCTCAGAAGAGAGAGAGAGATTCTGAAAGAGAAAGAGAGGGCTTTTTCACACTTGCATGCAGTTAAGGAAAAAAAGGGCTAAACTAAACTTTAAAAGAAAAACCATCCAGACCTTACCAGAAAATGAGGTATAGGGCAAAAAGAAAGAAGTAGCCTAAAATATCCCAAGCCCCATAACACATGGTGGGTGAAGGGAGACAGAAGGGGAGCAGGGTGGGGAGGAAGGGAGTGAAAATGAGGTGTGTTTTGTTTTAATAGGTTATTTGTGGCTTGGAAAAGAGATGGTGGGAAAGAGATTGAGGCTTCCGGTATGGCGAGTGGGGACTGAGGAGGTGGGCATGCCATGCGGAAAATGCGCTGAAACAAACAACTGGCTGAGCTCCTTTTGGCCATGGCAAGTGGAAGGTTGAAGGGAGAGAAAGAGAGAAAATATATGGAGAGGAGCCGGCAGGAGGAAGAGGGTTAGAAGCGGAAAGGACAGGAAATGCTCCGGCCAGTTTTGCCTACAACAGCTGTTGCCACAACAAAAGGATGAGGGGAGGGAAAGACCAGCCTCACCACAACAAACTATAGGCCCTGACATGGTTGTTGAGCTAAAAACCTTCAGAGAATCCAAAAGAAATGCAGAGGCAGAATGAGAGAGCGCAAAAGAAAGATAACCAGGAGAAAAGAGAGAGAAGATAGGTAGAAGAGGAGTTTGCAAAAATACTGAGGGGTTGGAAACAGAGTTAAAAATATATTTTTAGGAGGAGAAATGAATGACGTGAAGAAGCCAATGAAGAAAGATGACCAAACCCCATTTCCAGAACTGTTGTATTTGTTTGTTTGCTTCTTGGTGTTATTTTTTCTTAAAGAAAATGTTTTTTTAAAGAAAAAAGAAAAAAAGAGGAAGAAAGGGTATTTACAGCAAAATCAAAGAAAAAGAAAAGAAAAGGGGGACGGTAAGTATAAAGGGTCAGGGGAAAAACAGGGTGGTGGGGGATGGAGAGGAAGAGGGAGGTAACACACGGCAAACCCAAAAAAAGAGACAATAAGAATGATATCTACCAGACAATGTAGTTTGTTTACCATAGCGTGTCCAATGCCTGAGTGCTTTGCGGAAAAGGGGGGAAGAAAGGAAATTAAAAAATTGTGAACAGAACGATTGTTAATTAAAATAACTAAAAGCAAAGATGAGTCGTTAGGGTGTTAGTACATTAGTCGGTTAGTAAAAATGACACATTGCATGAATGGTCTAGTGTTAGTCTTTCAAAAAAAGGCTTGGGGCGCCCGACACACACAGAGTGAGAAGAGGACAATATGAGCAGGACTGTCTGGGGGGAACCATGCCATATAGATTGTTAGGAGGAAGGGAGCTGCCTACCCTTCCCATTCTCCTTTTGCTGCTTCCTGCCCATCCCACCCCGAGAAAGTTTATCAACGTTCCAACTCCATCCGCCCCAACCCATCCCAAACTGGATCAAAATGATAAAATATAAACAATACTTACTTTCCAAAAGCCCATCAAAAATGTATTCCCCATCCATATCTCTCAACCCCGCATAAATATATACCAGCATGAGCGATTCCAATCTTGCCTCCTCCCACCGCCCAAGCCCATTTCTCTCTCCTAGTTATTCCAGCCACTGCTACCCTCCAGCGCTGCTCAGTTATTCTAACCAACCGAATATATTTCTCAGGTGCAGGCTGTTGCTTGACGATTCCCTGGGGGTGGTCCTTCCCGTCCCCCAATTTCCAGATTTCTTTAAAGTGGCTGAACTGGTGACTCTCAAGAAAGACATACAGAACATGAGAGGTTGGACTAACAGAAACGATGTGTAGCTCACCTGCGGTACTCAGGAGGGTGGGGAGAAGCTTGCCTAATTTTGGAAGGCGTGGTGACTGCTTGCATCAGATATTTTGGGAAGAAGGGGGAAAGATGGGTAGAATTTAACATGTCCTTTTATGAGAGAAGGTGGGGAGTAGTATGTCTATTGCTCACTGCTAGGCTTATGGAGAGCTGCAGAATAATAAAAGGTGCAGAAGAGCAAAGATGGAGAGTCCCTTATCTCTTCTGCTAGCCTATTGACTCTCCTGCATGGAATTCCTGGTCACCTATGTTTGCCAGGTAAGTTGCTAAGTGCAAGGCTGCTTAACAGGGTTTTGCAGTGTTTCATAAACCTGCCAAACTCCTTTGGCCAGAGACAACAGAGGGCGAGGAGAAAAGCTGTCCTCTGTTCCCATTCTGAAAATGAAACACACTGAAAATGCCGGAGTAAGTCCACCAGTTACAAAGTGGACTCCCACGTGCTTTTAAAATAAATGACAGCATATCTGCTTAGTAGACAGCAGCCCCAGTATGTTGCACCTAGATTTTCAGTCAATATCTGTTTGGGACATAAGATGGCACGACTGCAATTGCAATGCCATCATGCCCCTTCCCTTTGGATGATGGTCAATAATACTCAGGGAAGCCTTTCACCATGTGTACTGCAGGGTGTGTCACAATTATCCTTGTCCTCCATAAATGAAGAAAAGGGTTATAGCAGGGCAGTTGCAGATGGTGCATTAGGGCTGTGATGCTCATCTGATCTCTGGTTGGTCGCACTGTGACTGCTTACCAGGAGGTAGAGCAAGAGGCAGCTGTGAAGTTGACACAGTGCAGGTGTACTGGTGGGAATGCCAGACAGGGGCACTGCCAGGGCCTTTCCACAATACCCATCTTGCTCCCTTCCTCCACCTTCTGGTAAGCAGCAGTGACATAACCAACTAGAATTCAGATGAGTGCCACTGCCTCACCACACCATCCAATATTGCAGCAGGGCAAAGGGGTCACCAAAGATTATGAAATGTTAGTAGCAAGACAAGAAGAGATCCCAGTTTTTGTGCTGCCCTGCTCTGCCTGTTTAAATGTTTAAATAGGGTGGACACAGCAACCCCTATTACTAACCCTCTTCTGAAAGTGCTGGTGAAAAATATCAAAAATCCCATACCTACCACAAAAAATGTATCCCATTTGCTAATATTTTAGCAAATATTACTATTTTAAAATAGTAAACGTTTAACAAGGTAAATTAACCGTGGAAACTGCAATGACTACTCAAGAAAAGCTCAGCCGTAAAGGGTGATGCTTTGGTGTTAAGTACAAATCAATTTACACATGCAGCAGAATCACGTGATGTGAACTCTTGCCATGGGAACCATTTCAGACTGCAGATGCAGGGATACCATGTTTGAATGTTCAACATAGAAATCTCCCTGCACACTGAAAACTAGTACATCAAGAGGAAAGGCTCTGGACTAGCGATGTCCTTGATGTGCCAATTTGCAATGCAGAGGGTGTTTATTATTTATGGTGAAGCACTGATCTCTCAAAAGATGTTTGAAGTGGTACAGTCCAGAAAGAGTTGTGCCATGCCCTTCTGCTGTGACTGTGCCTATAGTGCCTCTGTCTGTTTATTATTTATGGTGAAGCACTGATCTCTCAAAAGATGTTTGAAGTGGTACAGTCCAGAAAGAGTTGTGCCATGCCCTTCTGCTGTGACTGTGCCTATATTGCCTCTGTCTGACAAGCTGAAGGGGAGATCTTTATTTTTTTTATTTTACAACTGATCTCTGCTTCTAATCCTAATTGTCATCCTCCTTGAACCCAGCATTTTGAATAGGAAGCTCTGGCATGCCTGGAAGATTAATTTTCCTTTGGCCATTGCCTGTCATTGAAGACCGATTCTCACCCAGCCTCAGAAAAAATAATATACACCATTAACCAAAATGGTCAATGAAGCGGCGAGAGAATTTCAGAGAGCAGCCATTCTGAAAATGTCAAAAAAAAAATGGATACAAATTGATAAATAAAGTTACATTTTAAAATTGTATTTTGAGGTGACAGTCCTTTACTGGACTGATGAGAATGTCTGAATGAAATGGGATCATTAGGCCCATCCACTGTATGAGGAATGAAATTTACATATGCATGTGATCCAGTGGAAACAAACAAAACATTGCTTTCATTTGCAACCCAGCAGCCCGGTGTCACTTTGAGTAGAATTTAGCCTGACACCATGCTATATTTCTGCTTACACATACATACATCAGATCTGTGGAAGTAAAAGATTTGCAGTGCTAGAGTAGAAAATGTATCCTTTCAAGTGTGGCATTCTTGAAAAAGTGGAAATGTGATCCAGATTTGGAAAACCAGAGAATAACTACATTGTAGGAAGTTAAATGTAAGCCTGTGCTAAGCAAAACCAAGAAGGGTTTATCTAAAAATAATGGATTAGCAGCAGGCCTACAGAGGAGCAGCACACTCATTTGTCCCCCAGACTCTCTTTTGCAGTCTCTCTGGAGATTGAAAAAGATCCCAGAGAGCTCTCCGTATCTGCCTTCCAAATATATATATATATATACCGTATACACACATATACTGTATATATGTCAGAGGGATACCTGAAGTGTTATCTTTAGGCAACAAATCTAAGGAATCATTACACCCTGAAAACTGCATGGAAGTAGTTTGAGGACAAATGTCCACAGTAAAAAGTAATCGGTCACGAGAGCAGCAGCATTTTTTGCCGCTCCAACATGAAATGACTGAATCACTTGCTTTGGTATGTACCTTATCTCTCCTATCATTCTTGATATCAGAGGATTGGAAGGAAGCCAATATAAGCAAATCTAATTAAAAGGTTGCAAAGGTAATCAGGAATCTACACACCAATGTGTCTAATTTTGGTACAGAGGAAATTGGCAGAGGATACATTAAAAAGAGAGAGAGAGAGTGACTAAATGTGCAGGCAAACACTACCTATTAAGGAGGAAGCAAACATGAATGTCGCAAAGGGAAGCCATGCCTCAAATCTAACATTTGATGGTCAATAAGAGATTAAAAGTATATAGTGACATTCTGCTAGTGTTGTGAATGTGAACTGCCACACTGGTGCAGCAGAATAGGTATGCACTGCCATACCAGAGACAATCAGAGATGAGGTACAGTTGCTCATTGCTACTTGATGACATAGAACTGGACTGGATAGGGTCAAAACTGGGAGTGGAGATGACATACTTGTGCATCATCCTAAGAGCATTTTGATCACCACCAAACCCCCATATGCTAGTGTGAAAGGTAAAAAGGTAAAGGACCCCTGGACAGTTAAGTCCAGTCAAAGATGACTATGGGGTGTGGCACTCATCTCACTTTTCAGGTCGAGGGAGCTGGCATTTGTTGACAGACAGCTTTCTGGGTTATGTGACCAGCATGACTAAACTGCTACTGGCGCACAGAAGACCGTGACGGAAGCCAAAGCACACTGAAATGCCGTTTACCTTCCTGTCGCAGTGGTACCTATTTATCTGCTTGCACTGGTGTGCTTTTGAACAGCACCTTTATTTAGATGTATTAGCCGGTTTTCGACACTCAAGTGAAAACCAAGAAATAGAACTCAGGATGCAACTATGCAGATAGAAATAAGTGGCCTTGGTTCTCAATGACTGGAGTTAGACTGAAGTTGGGTCACCGGCAACAGAGTGCAGGGCTAGTTGTCACCCAGATAGTGTCCCTTAATACAACTCCTGTGTTTCCTCCATAGGAACTAATGTCAGCTATCAACATATATGGCAGTAACAAAAGTGCTGCACCAGGGAATGACAATTGCAAGGGGGACAAAATCTGTCTTTGATCCAAGGCTGGCGTCACTATTCCACAACCTTGGGCAGTTGCCAGGGCTCGCTGGTCCTGGTGCCCGTCTTGGCTCAACTGCCCCAGACATTTTAAATGGTGCACAGCTTCCCAAACCCAGCTGGGAGGCCCTGGCAGGAGCAGGGGAAACATGGGAGCCCTCAAGCATGCCTTTATCCTTGACAATGAGTGGAAGGGCTCTCCCTGGAATAATGAGGGAAGGGACATATCCCAGGTGCACATACCTTCCATTGTCCATCCAGAAAATGGGCATTTTGCTAGCGTGCATTTGGGATCCATAGCAGTCAGCTTGGTTTCCCAAGAATACCTGTGCCAAGCGCCTCACTGCCACTCCCCCTCTCCCTCTAGGTAACTGGCAGTGACACTAGGTATTGAGCAGTCAGGTGAGCTACACTGCCCCACTTGCTGCTACACTTAGGGGAGAAAAAGAGAGAGAGGTGGGAAGATATGGCTGAACTATATAAGATCTTGGGTGGTCTGGGGAAAATGCTTATCCTTTTATATTATGCTGCAAGGTGAGAAGTAAAATCAATTTGCAGCTCTTCTGTAAATAAAGAGCAACATTACACACCCACACCCATTGTTTGTAGAACTCCCTGCCAGTAAGTGTAACATTTGGCAGTGAACAATGAGAGTAAAATCTTTACAGAAGCTAGGGATATTTAAACTGCTAGCAGGCATACTCTGTGCTTTCCTTCTAAATCTTAGCATATCTCAAATCACTGGTAAAAAGGGAGTGGATGAGAGGGACTAGGCATTTTGTTCCCTATGCAGAATCTGTTCTTGTTCTTGTTCTGTAACTGAAATTTCGTAGTGGATCTGAGCTAACTGATAGATGCTGAACCACTCCTTGCATCTGGTATGGCTTTCAATTACTTATACTCAAGGAGGACAGCATAAAAAGGAAAAGGCTTTCATTGGCAATTACGAATCCTCATATTCATTTTTTTTCTCTTTAAAAACAGGGCTGCTGCTCATTTTGAATTGCAATATGAAAAGTGAATCAGCTTTACAGATTGTTCTTCTGTAAGTATATTCCACATTAAATGTTGCTGCAGGTAAGATAATTATATTTATTACATTTGGAGCATTGAATCATTCAAGTATATCTCAAGTGGCACAAAAAATATTGCAATGCATGGAAAAAAAGGCATCCTAGGACCTACAGATCTAATGTTTCTGAAAAAGAAATGAGAACGCAGTGGCTGATTGTGCTTAAGGACTGCTGATACTGGAAGGCTCTGGAAATTGAACCTAATTATGCAAGGCAATGCCCAGGGGGAAAAAAGATTTTCCTGGCCCCTGACTGTGATTAGTTAATGTCCTTAGGCATGAGGATTATTACTTTCTATTAGTATAAATGTTCCCTGAAGGCAGCTTTTTCAGTCCATAAAGTTGCATAAACTGATTGGTGTTAACATTCATATGAGCAAGCAAAATAAATAGGTTATGTTTTGCTTGCATCAACAAGTGTTGGTCTAAATGTTTGCATTAAAAACAACAACCACCCAGCACTTTAAAGAATTAATTTGAAAGAAATAATAGCTTACAAGCTATTTTACACAGCATTTACCTAATCAAGATGATTTACATATACAACATAAAGTTCCATTTGTCATGATGTAGATGACCCCGTGACCTGATATATTTCACCAGCTTTCAGAAGCAAGGTTATTTAAATGAATCCTACCTATTAAAAGTTCTTATTTATATTTTATGAGAAAGTTGTGATATTAAAGAGCTGTCTAAGTGAGCACATCACCTGATCTGTCTGCTTAGAAGAGCAACAGGTGAAGTTGCAAAAGGGCAACATCAACCATTGTAGAGCCTCTTCCATGGTAGCTTTGATAAGTAGGTCTTTTGAAGTCCTCACGGGGAAAAGTGGACAGAGAGAAAAGAAGCAACAGTGTAGATTCATAACGAAAACCAAAACAAAGAAAATAGGGAGATCTGGAAGAAGTACGGCCTGTTAAGGATCAGGAGCGTAAGGTTAAAATAAGTAACTCGCACACAAAAAAATAAACTAAAAAAAAGAGGGTGGAGAGGCAGAAACAAAGGCTTTTATGGACCCAGGTCACTGGGAGGTTCTCCTGCACAAGCCCTCTTGAAATATCCTTGCATTGGTTGCAACAGGTTTTGCACAAGAGAGCATCCAAGTGGACTGGGTCCTTACAGCATTCGAGTAATGGCATCATGGAAATGGTTAAATCAATTAAAAGGACATAAAAGAAGAAAAAAAGGGAGCGGATAAAGCAGCTGCAGAAAACAGTCTCCATTCCTACTGTAATTAAATGCAACAAGAATATTACTGATAAGATTGAAATGTAATTAAGGAAATAATAAAAAAGAAAGAAAAGGAGGGGAAAAGAGTAAAGGAAAAGGGAGATGAAAGTAAAGTTAAGTCACAGAATCGTATTGTTAAATCAAATCAAGGGAGGGGGGAAAGACAGAAAATTATTAAGTGGAAATGAAGATATTGCAAGGCTAAGTTACAGTAAATTAATGAACACTTGTTTTCCTTCCAGTTACTGTGAAAGGCTAGGATGCAAATGCTCAGCTGTTCCCACCCTGAGCCCCCGTTTATCTAACAGTTGCCCTGTAACCACTGATCTACCCCAACCTTTGATTCAGTAGAGAGGAGCCTCCCCAGCATTCTCTCTCCTTCCCCATTACCTGCCGCAGGTTGCGCGTCACTTTAACGTCGTGCCAATGGTTGTCATTAAATTTGCCACTGACTGGCTCCACAATGGCCTCAAAGGCTCCGGACCCCAGGTTAATGATCAATGAGACCGCGCCGTCTTTCAGAGCCAAGTTGACGTAATCGGCCGACTTGCCCGTGTGTAGGATAAGCCCATTGCGCTGCCACGTCTTGAAGGAGAGTGTGATCTCATCGCTGCTGCTTTGAATGGGGTTCTGAGAGAGGTCATAGCAAAGGTATTCGGAACCACGGAAGGTGGCTACATTCTCGTCCCTTGCTGCAGAAGGGGGGAAAAAAAGATGCAGGCATTTGGTCAGTCTTGTTTCATGTGATAATAAAGCTTTTCAGAATTATTGTGACATTGCTCTTGTTCCATTGTAGCAGGTTTGCTCTCTGCCTAGCACTGCACGTAAAAAGGAATACCTGAACTGGTTGCCTCTGATACATAGGAAGTTGCCTTATTCCAAATGAAACAACTGACAGTTAAAACTGGCCTTGAACTCTCATCAGTCCCAACCAACAAGGCCAAAGATCATGGATTATAGGAGTCATAGTCCAAAACTCCTGAAATGCATCAGGTTGAGAAGACTGCTCTACACTAACTGGAGATGAGTTTCTGGGGTTGCAGAAGAGAAGGGTCCAGCTCTTTCTATAGATACCACTGACTGAACCATTTGTATGAATATACTATGCTCTACCACCGGTACGCAGGTGGCGCTGTGGGTAAAACCTCAGTGCCTAGGGCTTGCCGATCGCATGGTCGGCGGTTCGAATCCCTGCGGCGGGGTGAGCTCCCGTCTTTCGGTCCCAGCTCCTGCCCACCTAGCAGTTCGAAAGCACACTTAAGTGCAAGTAGATAAATAGGTACCGCTTTATAGCGGGAAGGTAAACGGCGTTCCGTGTGCTGCGCTGGTGCTGGCTCGCCAGAGCAGCTTCGTCACGCTGGCCACGTGACCCGGAAGTGTCTCCGGACAGCGCTGGCCCCCAGCCTCTTAAAGTGAGATGAGCACACAACCCTAGAGTCGGACACGACTGGCCCGTACGGGCAGAGGTACCTTTACCTTTTACCTTTACCACTGGTACAGCCTTTCTGCAAATATATAACCCATCTTTCCAGTTACACCATGAAACATGTAGATTCACCACACTGCCCCACCCAGATACTAATAACAATTGTTATTATGTACTCTGCACAATCCTTTTTATAATGTTTGCTATATATTTCAGGGGATCCATAAATATATACAAGCAAATAAATGGGAAAGCGAGGAATGGCCACCGGAACCTACTCAAGCAAACCTTTCAGAATTCATATTCAATGAAGCCAGATCTCAAGAAGTCAACCTATGGAACTAGGCTGTGTCTTAGCAATTTTCCTGTGCAGAACCTTTTAATTCCATCTCTTTCAAGACCACCAGTTCTTCTCTTAACCATTTAACGAAGTGTGAAAACGAGGAAGATTTATCAGAGGTTAGTTTTATTGTGAAGTCGGCATTGTCTATGGAATCGTCTAGCAGAAACTAATTAACTGCTTTTGATAAAATTGCTCTTTAGCCACTAGGGTTTTTCCCCTAAATTGACTAATAACTAAAAATCAATTATCTTGTCGGATTTCTCCCTGGTTTTCATTCATCAGTAAAGCAGCATAAAGGAAAGAAGCCACAGCTACGTTATCGAATAGGACTGAAAGCATGGAGGGGTAATTCAAGATATGTGAAATGGGGCAGAGAAAGGACTTTCTGGAAGCAGTAGAAGAACACCAGCAAAGATGACTAAGGGGCACCAGTGGATGGTGTGTTGAGGCTGTGCCACTCACCTGACCTTTGTTTGGCTGAGTCACTACAGCATACTGGGATGGAGGGGGGGAGGTGTGGCAGTGAGGTCCGGGGAGTGCAAACATGCCAGTTGTAGCATCAGATTTGCTTCACCAACACATCTGTACCACACTGACCTTTCCAGCACTACACCTCTTCCCTCTCAATGGAAGTCAGGTGAGCAGAGCAGCCCCAGCATGCTGTCCACTCTACTAAGCAATGCTATCAACACTGTAGGTTGGACCTGAACTAAATTAGTTTCACGTAGGTCACACTGAAATCTAGGAGTCATATTTGTCCCATTGGCTTCAATGGTAAATGTATTCTGGATTCACAAATAAATGAGAGGAATGTGGAATGGCTTGAAACAACAGCATTTTTCAGAGTCTCTAATACAAAGTTATGCAGCAACTTTTAGGCCTTTGCAACTGCCTGGGTCATGTTACCTTAGCACAAGCCCCTAAGTTACCAACTTCTTAATACTAATCTCTACATTAAAAACTCTATCAAGAGAGGAGCTGAGTGCAAAGAACTTACTCTGGATCTAACCTCATAAATCCTTGTTCATCTCACCATACATACATCTGCATATCAATTAGCTGATGGTGAGAAGCCGAACTAGGGCACATGAAATTTACTGAACGACTAATAACAATTTATGTTTCTTTTTCTCTCATTTAATTATGGAACATGGTTCACATCATTCTCATGAATCAGTGATTCACGATAAAGGGACTGGACGCAATGTCCTCTGAATGGCAATGGTGCAATCATTCTTAGGACCAATTCACCTATACTGATTTTTCTTGGAAAGGTTTGTGTTCTGTACATGCATATACTGTATACAATTCAGCACATCCAACAAGGGGCAAATGGAGGCCTGTATTAGCGTGAGGTTATCTAGCCCAGAAGAACCACCAACAACAATTACATTTCTGAGGCAGCCAGAGTCAAGAGCTTAACAGCATTCTCCTCGCCTCCTTTCTGCTACAGCAATTTCCTGGCCTAGTCACTTCTGATCCAAAGGAAGGAGATGTGTTACAATCAACTCAGACACACACTCTATATACCTGCAGGTACTTCTGATCAAATAGCTAAAGTCTGAGGTCAGGTGTCAAATGGAGTCATTATGACTAAGCCGTTCCCCAACAACCAAAGATTTGTGAAGCGTTGAATATACATTGAAAGGGCTGTGATGAGGGCAAGGTGAATATGAGCTCAATGTACGTTATATGAATAGGACTCACAGCTTCAACCATTTATATGGAATTTAAGTGAGTTATTCAATGCAAGTGCCGAAATGAAAGCTAAGCCATGAATCCCAATATTAACCCTGGGAAGCCATCTCACCATAGAGTTCTGAAATATTACACATAAAAAATATTACATATACATGACTATGAGCACCACATAATGTTTATTCCACACCTGCAAGGAATCCGCCCTTCCGGTAACAGCACCAACATTTTGGACTCACTGTCCAGTGATATTAGGCAGGTGTGATTACTGTAGTGTTTAAGCAAGCCTACCCAAGTGATGTAAATGTGAGATATTTTTTAATATGAAATTATTTAAAAACTGCTGGTTTTATTTACATGTTGAAAAAGGAATAGGTTAGCTACAATTTTACTAATAATTTTAATGGAAACCAAATTTTAATGGAAACTAAACATAATTTCGTTTAAACCAAGTTTGTTCTGAGAGTTGTTAGGAAGCCCCTATTCTACTCACAAAGCTACAATTCCCAGAGTTCCCTGGAAAGAAGGAATGACTGTTTAACCACTCTGAAAATTGTAGCTGTTTGAGGGGGAACAGGGTCTCCTAACAACTCTCTGCACCCTTAACAAACTACAGCTCCCAGGATACTTTGACGGAAGCCATGACTGTTTAAAGTCATGCACGAACCTAGGGGGATCAGGGACTCTTGAGCCCAATTTTAAAATTTAATTAAAGATGCTTTGAGATATGATAACACAACTGGTTTTTATAAAGGCATTCAGACATCGTTGATGAGGATTGACATTTTCCACTTCATTCTGTCTCTTAACGCTCAATCCTGCCTTTGGAAACACAGAGTTGATTATTTCAGAGACCTATCAACAATGACTTAGGAATCTTGTACCTGAGCAGTAATAGCTAGCTAATTTCAAATCTAACAAGGTATAAAGTACGCATCACAGGAGCAAGAGCTCTGAATCACCAGTGATTTATTTGTAAGCACTGTTCTCTTTATCGCCCAACATAAAGGAAGACACAATCCATAGATCTTCCAGACAAGATCAGAAATAAAAAGGCACCAAGAGACCGATGCAGAAATTGTATTTTCGATTTCTACATGTTAGGTACTTATCCTACAAAGCACACACCTTCTTTATATGTTCACAGGACTGGAATGGAATAGGCCATTTAATCAAAGACAGGATACTCTACACAGTACCCCACACCCAACAGGTGAATCAGTAAAACACAAACTACAGTGTGCCCCCAAATAAAGCAGGAGCGAAGAGATAACTGAGACATACACACACCCCAAGAATACATCACCTCCATACTTTTTAAAAGGGGAAAAAAGCCCTCATCCCACTTCTGATCTTGGATTAAAAGCTTTCTTCAAAGATCCCTGCGACTTTAATTTTTGTAGAAGCACCTTTGAGCTCAAGGGGCAAGATGCAGGTAACTGTCTTGGAACAATGTTTGCACTCCAGAGCAGAACACGACAAGTCACTCGCGCATGGGATGGGATGTTGGGATGTGAGAGTTCCACTCTCCACACATCTGAATCAGAATTGCAGGAGTTACAAGCCGCAGCCAAAAATCTCCTCAATGCTTGCTGAATGCAAGCACAATTAACTAATGAGCTATGCATCATTTACTATATCAGAAGGGAAGGCAAAATGATTTCAAATGAATGTATGATATTATGCATACCATGAGGTTTAGGAAGTCTAAAAGTGGTGGTGCCACACAAACACACCCCTTTTATTTTATTCCAACTTCACAAGAAAACATTGCTTGGAAATAGCCTGCACGTTCATTTACACATGAGTGTGATGTATTAGAAGTAATAATAATAAATCACACAGCATGACTTTTATCACAATCCTTGTTTTCAGTTTAATAAAGAGGGTGTCCGATGATCTAGCAAGAGATCTGACTGCCTCTTGGCAACACAGACACAGAGGACCGATTCTTCCGCATCATAAAGACAAAGGGAATATTCAACTTATGAACCTGCCGTTCATCATATTGATTACAGCTCTAAACACAAAACAACAATTTAAAAACAATTCATAGCATAATCTATAACAATATAGCAAGGAAACTCATAGCTACTAGCCATATATTGCCTTCTTCCAAAAGCCTGAATAGAAAAAAAAGATGTGTCTTTAAGCAGCACCAAAACCTAATGACTCAATTGGTGCCAGATGATTGATGAATGGGAAGGCATTCCAGAGATAGAGTGCCACCAATGAAGACCACTTCTCATACCAAACCATGCATTTTTCCTGGTGGTGGGACCACAAGAAGGGGGTTCCCAGTTGACCTTAATGCATGAACAGGTTGGTAGCTGGAGAACATGTTTTCTTAGGGCTTTATATGTCAGTGTTAACACCTTGAATTGGGTTCAGAAGCATATAGGCCAGCAGTGTGGATTCTTCAAGACCAGTATTATGTGGTGTCATCACTACATGCTGAAATTCGATCTAGACAATTGTCACAATCCATCAAGAACTATGAAACTCCCATGTAACCTAAGCTGATACGATTGCCTGTAGCCATAAGAGTATAAAAATTGTTGCTGTTGAAGGTGAAATGAAGTTTACCGAACTTACTTTGGATGTGGTGTGTACACAAACTGGTGATTTGCACATAATTTGCAAGTGGTAATTTATTACTCAGTTGACACCAGGCAGATGTGCATAAACATAGCTCTGAAAGCAGGCTGTTTAGCACATGAGAAACATTTAAATATTTCACCGTATTTGTTAATATTATAGTAATTTAAATCCAAATCCTTAATCAGGAGAGAGAAAAGACCTGCAATCGCACGGCTCCCTGGAAGAAACATGTGTTTACATAAATACATTAATACTAGAAGAACAAAGAAATTGAATTTATGTTTTTTAGATTCACAGAGCAGATCTGAACCAACTGAACTAATGCTGCAATAGGCTTAACGCAAGGCAAGCTTTCTAAAGAGGAATTGGCTGTGTTTCACTTTGCACAAATCCCTGCCCTAGATGGGGGATCCTGTGCATGAAAAAGTTGCTTGGCAGACTGAGGCATTCAGCTGGTCTCACACTGTGACAACAGCAAATTGTACCCGTCTAAACTCTTCCATTGCATTGATCTTGAATAATACTTAGGGATCTATTCCAACCCTGCCTGTGCGTTAGATCCAAACCACAAAACTGTTACACAGCCATGGGAAACTTTTCAGCTGATGCATCAAATACTACGCTTGAGCATCTTTGGGGAAGTATAGCTCAGACTTGATTATTTGTACCAGGGTAAAGCCTGAAGAGTGTTACTTCCATCTTCTGCCTTGGCTAGAGTAGTGCCTTCAATCTTTCCAGACTCACCTTCAACTCCCAAACTGCAACAGGAAACCCTCCTTTAATTTCATACTTTATAAATTATTTTACCTCCTCCCATAGCAGTCCACACATCAACATTGGTGACCACATGCTTGAGGTGGTAGACAATTTTTTTCTACTTAAGCTCTACCATAACCAACAACCTCTCCATTGACACTGAGCTGGACAAGCATATTGGCAAGGCAGCTATGACAATGCCTCTCCAAAAGGGTATGGGAGAATGACCAAGATGAAGGTCTACTAGGCTTGCATGTTGATCATGCTGCTTTATTACAGAGAAACATGGGGAACTTACACTTGCCAGGAATGACGTCTCATCACTTTCCACATGCACTGCATCACAAAGATTTTGGGCATCACATGGCAGGACAGAGTCTCAAACAAAGATCACAAAGTTTCCCAAGCCCACATTCCCAGCAGGCTCACACTACTGGCGAGAGCCAGTGTGGTGTAGTGGTTAAGAGTGGTAGCCTCGTAATCTGGGGAACTGGGTTCGCGTCTCCACTCCTCCACATGCAGCTGCTGGGTGACCTTGGGCTAGTCACACTTCTTTGATGTCTCTCAGCCCCACTCACCTCACAGAGTGTTTGTTGTGGGGGAGGAAGGGAAAGGAGAATGTTAGCCGCTTTGAGACTCCTGAAGGGGAGTGAAAGGCGGGATATCAAATCCAAACTCTTCTTCTTTTTCTACTGTCTCAGTGACGTGTACACTGGATTGGCCATGTCCACAGAATGAAAGATGGCAGGATCCTCAAGGACCTGCTCTTCATGGAGCTGGCTTCAGGCACAAGGCCATTGTGTCTGCAAATGGGATGTGAAGGCTGACAACCTTAACCCCACTGTGTGGGAATCCCTTGTAGATGACCACAGTACCTGGAGACAGGCTGTGTATCCACAGCAGTGACCAGAGGATGAATGACAGCTGGGAGGAGCAGAGAGAGAATAAATGTCACGGTGCACCTATAGCAGCACAACTGGATGCCCTCATCTGCCCCAACTGCCCCAAAACATGTCTCTCCCATATTAGTCACTGTAACTCTCAAATGGTTTGACTTCACTCCCCAAAGGCACACTCTTCCACTGATTCCCAAGACAGATGGATGCCAAAAAGGTGCCCCACTTTTTATCCCCCTTCTGTCAGTATTTTTCATTCTATTTCTCTCTCTAAAAAAAAGAGTGTTGTGGCATAGTACTAATCAGCTTTGGTAATGCTGTCAGACTCCAATTCCCATGAGCCCCAATCATGACCAGTAGTTGGGATGGTGGTTGTAGTTGTAGTCCAAAACATCTGAAGAACACAAGGTTGTGGAAGGCAGGATTATACCTTTAAGAGCAGGTGGTAAATACCACCGCAGCCAGTATGTTCAGGAGAATTCAAACATACTGGCTGATTTTATTTGCTTTGATCTTCCTCTTTCTTCTCCAACAGAACAAACAGAATCTGTCCCTTTGGTCCTTTCCTCCTCCTCGTGTGAGTGAACCTATGTGCACTGAGTTTATTGTGACATCACAGGTACCAAAGAATGACATCATTAGATCTATGTCACACAAATGTGGCAAAGGAAAATGTGTACCTCTGATCATCACAGGGAATATTGGTTCGCCTTCTTTTTCTGAAGATATTATTTTACTAACCTGACAAATATATGGCTGATCATGTATAATGTGTGTGGGGGGGGGGAGGCTGTTTACACATTTACATTACACCATTTGGTGCCTGAGTTGCTTATAATCACCCTAAGAATATCCATTTCTATTGAAGAGTGGCATATATGTATACTTCTATAATAGACAAAACTTTGTGCAGATGGAACAGTGGCCAGAGATCAGGAGGGTGTTAATGAATGCGATTCATTTCCCAATTATAATCCACTGCTGTTACTTTTATGCTATTTTAACTCCAGCATTGTATCATTTTGTTGTAATCTGTCTCAACAGATTACATCCATTCAACAACAATCCATTAATAATAATAACTCATCAAAAATCAAGGCCTATTGGACCACACTTTAGTAGTCCAATAACCAAAGCCTTAAAGCATTTGCAAACTGCAGATTAACATTGTAACCATAGGCATGTTTACTCAGAAAAAAGTCTTACAAGTACCAGTAATATACAAGGTTACACACTTAGAACCAACCTTTAAGTGAAGGGAGAGTTTATAAATATCCTACATGTGATTTGATTTGTGCCACCAGTATATGCTAACGCCTGACTCATTTAAGACTACATAGAACCTTTAGTCTCAATAATGATCGAACTAACAGGTGGAGAATTCTTTTATTTTTATGTTTCTTTATAATTTGTAAAGCAAACCTTTGTATGAGTTAATATTTTATTTTCTCTTTGAAACTGCACTGTATCTTTGTACTTTTGTCCTTCTAGACTTTGAGGTTTTACAGTTTAGATATTTGTTTTCTTTCTTTCTTTCTTTCTTTCTTTCTTTCTTTCTTTCTTTCTTTTTGTTATATTTGTACGTTTTTGTAGTAAATGAAATAATAATAATTAAAAGTGGCACCATATGCTAACTATGTACCCTTAAGGAGTATATACTAATATTTGACGATTGAAATAAAATGGTTATATACACTCTTATAAAATAAGTAGACAGGCATGTGTGTTCGTATGAGTGTGTATGCATACAAGTACACACACACACACACACACATACACACACACACACTGTTTGTAGGAAGTTCGAGCTCTCTCTTTGTGTGTGTGTGCTATATGACAAAATCAGTGTTTTGACAGGAGGCAATGACCTGAAAAAAGTCCTACAATATGCTGACCCAGCACAACAAAGGACTTAATGCTTGCCTAATTAGAAACATATGAGTAATCCATTTTAAATGAACACAACTAACTGTGTGATTAAAATTAAACACTGCTTTGTGAGCTTTTCAATGAAGTCAGTGCTCTTATTTCTAAATACAGCCCTTTTTTGGAATAATAAATTCCCTCATCGAAACTAAGCCAGTTGTAAGGATTTTGGAAACCTTTTGTTTACAGCTTTGTGACGTGAAATGTGCCCACATTTAAGCACCCAGTGGGGAAACAAATATGGGGGGGGGGGAGTTCAAGTGGTGAAGAATGTCTGTAATTAGTTATAAGAAAGGCACAATTTATAAACTAAAGCCTCCATAGCATTTATGAGGTCAACACTCTGTGTAGATGATGCTAGTCCATGATGATATAAGTAGCTTGTGTGTTTTTTTCTTCTTCTGTCCAACTTCTTACACAGGTTAATATGACTATAATGGGGGAGGACTGGTTGGTAAAAGATTGTTGTGAGTCATCTTATAAAGAAAACTGGTTGTGGCAAGAACCCTCTGTCTGTCCTTGCTTAAGACAGCAGACTTGGTGAAGCAGCAAGTACATAGCATAAAGTGCTTTTGAGCCATCCCTTTTACAAGAGGAGTTAAAATTACCTGCACTAAATATTACAGTTTCACAGCCTTTCTAGACATTCAGATCCTGCTTCCCTGATGTTGTTCTCTGTCAGCAGGCTGCTTTGGGTGAATGCGCAGATAACATATGGCTAGGGCAGAAGAGTTGAGAAGGGAGGAGTGGTCATGGTTCTCATGACTCTTAAGTGCTAAGCAGGTTATACAGTTGATTACTTTCACTGGTGTTGGATAAAGAGCATCTGAGAGCATCTTGAGACTTCGCACAAGCTGATGCAATCCTCTTCTGCAAGGAAATGTAGCTACTAGGCAACAATCCCCTGTATTCTTCTGTGACTAGTGGTCTTTAAAAAACACATTCCCCTCCAAACCTTTTACTTCTATGACAGTATCCCAAAAGGGGAAGAGGAAAGAATAATGGCAAAACAAACATCGCAGATCATAAATCATCTTTTGGTTTTTATAAATGTAAAACATTGTTTTTAAATGGCTGGCTATGGCACATCTATATCTGGATTCTAACCGGATTACTTAGGAAACATACTGTAATATAGATGATGATGATGATGATAATTTATTATTTGTACCCCACCCATCTTGTTGTTGCGCCTGTTGCTGTTGTTATTATCATGAATGACCCTGTTTCACTAAGAATAAAAGGGCTGCCATCTTGAATGGGGGCATTCTACACTCCAGTATTTTTTTAAAGGGCCTACTTGAGTGTCTGTACTATAAATAAGGAAGTGGCCTCTATATGTTACAGAATGTGCGCTCGTGTATATGCATTTGCTGATGTGGGCATAAAATATGCTAGTCTCCTTGTAAGTGCTCATTATTACATGGTGCAGACACTTTTTGCATTGTGTATGTTGCATCTCTGGGCTTCATGTGCCTAATCACCTATGTCTTAATGAGTCATATGTCTCTGCTTGTATAGGGAGCAGGTGCTTCTGGGTATATAGGGAATCTTTGCTTAAGCTGTGCTACAGCTTCAGTGTGTAGGCCAAGGAGAGCTTCTATATACAGAATGGGTATATGAATAAGGCACACAGGTATATATTTATTTAGTGGGCTGGCAAGTAGGTCACCTTGATGATTATTTTGCCATGCTCAGATTGTTACCCGAAACAGCACAGGTCATAGGGCCAATGGCCTCTGCCAGAATAGTGGACTGACTAAAATACTCCACCCCAGACAGGGATAGATCCTATTGCTGTTTGTTTTTCCTAATGCTCTTGGGAAGCCAGTAAGTCTGTTCATGCGTTTCTATCATCAGCTTAGTTTATTATTGTAACAATCATTTATATCAGTCCTTGACACAATTGGTCCTAGGTGTCCTCTCTACAGATGGCAGAGCTGCAGTGCACCTTGGTAGAGCAATGAGTCAAGGGCAATGAAGTTCCTGGGAAACAGATTAGAATACAAGAAAGATAATGCACTTTGAAACTGCCTGAACATAGCTTAGAGCCATTATAGAGCCCATGATATGACAGTGAGGTCAGCAGAGAGGTCTTTCTTCCCTGCCTCCATCATGTCTACCATATATTCATGCAACAGAGCTTTTGTGGGTGGCAAAGAAATTATTACAGACTTCACTGCTGACCTGTGAAGAACTGCCAGAGGCCTACTGTGGGGACCATATGAATAATTTTCCAGGTAAAATCGGTCATATTCAGGATGAATTGGGTTCGGCTTTTTTGGCAAATCAATTAGCAGAGGTGCCAATGTACCTGCTTGTCCAATTTTGATAGGTAATGTTGAATATTAGCTGCACCAGCTGCTTTTCGTTTCCAAGTGCTGCTACTTGCCTTTAAAGCAGAGGTAGCCAGCATGGCGCCTCCAAATGTTGCTTGACTCCAACTCCCATCAGCTCCAGCTAGCTTAGCCAACAGTCAGGGGTGATGGTGGCTGGGAGTCCATAGGACAGCACAATGCTGTCTACCCCCTCCCTCTTCAAAGTCTCAATAGTCCAGTGAATCAGAAGGAACACCTTCACAGCAGGTTTGCTTTGATCTGAAGGAGAGATCTTATTCAGTGTTCTGAAAGTGGCGTAGGTTTGTTCTACAACAGCATGGGGCAGGGTGTTCTATACAGTTGTGGCCATACCCTTCCCTCTGAAACCCATAGGGAGACTTTGCTGATTGTGGGCCTTTAGCTTTTTGTACAGGAGGGCCTTCCCTGCCTGAAGTGCTTAGGCTTTGCTTCCTGAATTAGTGTATTTATTAAGCCTGTGCTGAAATCCACACCCTTCCAAATATCCACTCCCACCCCCTGGAATATTGGGAGTGGATTTTCTGCTGCTTTATGGTGATGGCAAGGCATTTCCCTGACATTTGCAGGGGAGGGTTGCAGCTTAACTCACAATAATTCTATGAGTTGGTGGAGGGTCTTCCTTTCCTCATATGCCAATATACAGGTTTCCCTGCTGTGCTCAAATACAGAAGCATGTATGGGTCTGTGTGCGCAGCACGTGGTGCATGAAGCCTGCCTGTACGTTCTTGCATGCCCTCTCTTCATATGATAAGCCATCGCTTCTTCTGCTCGTCTGTGTCTTTCCTCTGCAACGGAGCAGAATCCATGTCTACAGGGAGAGAGAGCTTAATGACTCAAATCCAATCTCCCGAACACCTTATCAGCCATGGACAGGCCTGTTTCTGAAAGCTGACCTTTACCACTGCATGGCGTTGGGCAGAGGGGGGGAAGGGAGGAAACGACTCAGACAACAAAAACAATTAACACAGTGTTTGACAAAATAAAGCCAAGGCAAGAAAGGAGGACTTTAAGCCTGTCTAGAGACTGCTATCAAATAGAGGATAGGATCAAGAAAAGAGATCTAATATACAGATCTATGGGGCAGCCAGCTGGCATTCATTTCACCTCCATCCTCTGCCAGACCACAATACGGAAGGAAGATGCATATGTGGCTACAATCCACATCTCGTTCAAGTTAAGGGCAATACTCTAATTGAATCAATAGCTCTGGATTTCAGCTAAAGTGACATTTGGGCCAAGACAGGAGCAGGTTAAAGGAGACAGAGATTTAAGAGATCATTCACACTTCTGTTTGGTCCGATATTTCTTGTTTGCGCTGTGGCATGGGTCCAAGAGGTTTATCTTTTGTACTGCCACTTTCCCCAGGAAAATTCACTATTTGCCGTTGAATGGGAACCAACATCAATCAGGTTTTCTGCAGATTGACTCCTCACCCCCCACCCCCGATTCAGCAGTAAACCACGGATTTTCCCGGGGAAAATTGAGGGACAAAAGATTAAGCTCTTGGACCCATGCCAAGAAGTCACACCCCAAACGGAAGAAATCTCACAGCATGGATGAGCGAGAGACATAAAGAAGCCTTGTAATGCCTGAAAATGGCATTCATTCCATGTGCAGTCCCAAATATACACAAGAACTCCTGTATTCTCTCCTTGGAGGTTGTTCTCTGTAGCAGAAGCAAGCTTTCAGTTCAAAGACAGGGGAAAGAGCACTGCGGAGGCAGCCCGAGATACCATCAGATCCAATTTCCAACGTCTTCACCGCTGCTGTGAAATCAGCTTCCTGTGGCTGTTCCTCTTGATCGGATACCTCCAGCGTAATAGGGTCAAATCAAATGACCCCTTGAAAGGGGTGGAGGGAATGGAAAAGAAATCCCAAACCACAGGAAAGCTGGCTTTAAGTGTGTATGTGTGTGAGAGAAAGAGAGGAAATTAATTTCTGTGGCAGGAAGAAGTGGCCAGCGGAGTAAGAAATGAATTACCTACCCCCACCCCTGAGATCATAGATAGTTTCCAACTTCCTCTGGGGCATCATGGATTTCAGTGGCCAGGAAGAGAATAGTGAATGATCTCAGGAGTATTGGGTGGTACCGACTGCAGTCTCTATGCAGGATTAAGATATTCCACTAGGGAAGGGGCAATTCCTCTGTATGTGTGTGCGCGTGTGCGTGTGTTTGCGCGTGTTTTAACAGCTTTTGAAAAATTGTATGCTGTTAACAACTATTAACAGCAGTTGTTAAGGCTTGCATGTGCTCATCAACTAGTGGCAATATATACTGTAGTTGGCCTCTAGCTGCGGAAATCTTTCCCAATGGCGCCAGCTAAAACATCAAGCATTTCCACAAATATTGTAAAACATCTACTAGTTTGCATTGGTTTTTGAAGGTTAAGTTAAGCTTCTACAGGGCAAGGTTACCCAGGTACAGCATTTCCTTTTTAACAGAGCTAGCCACACGTTTGAGTCAGTCTTCAGAAAACTGTCCTCTAGTGGCTTCCCTTCTACACTGGTACACCACCACCTCAAGCAAGTAGCGGTAGGTAACAGCAGCACTGTGATAGGTTGTCGGCCATTTAAATTCCCCACAATGCCCTGGAACACTACTACATCAACGACATTGTGGGTAATTAAAATGGTGGGTAGCTGGGAGCCCTAGCAGCCTGGCATGGGGAGCTCAGTATCCACATTGGGCTCTACAGCCTCAGAAATAGCCCAAGGGCACTGAGTGTTTATGCTGGACATGCTAGAAGTTATATTATTCAATTGGTTTTACAATTGGCTTTTAAAGGTTTGATCCACATACCACATTTGTTTACTATTTATTCATTACATTTAGAATCATAGAATTGTAGCACTGGAGAGGGCCGCAAGGGTCATTTTGTCCCACTCCCTGCAATGCAGGAATCTTTAACCACATCCCTAGAGTCACAGCCTTGTTCCTAGTGTGGCAAATACATCTGAAAAACATCTAAGATCCATGCCACTAAAGACTTTATTCTAAAACGGCACAAAAGACCAGACTTAGTAATGACCACTCTCCCACTTTCTGTGGCCGCACGCAGCACCCCCCGATCCCTGAGACACCGGCAGAAGTTCCTGGTCCTCCTCCCCACATCACAGCCCTTTGTGGTTCCTGCCAAACCTCAGCTCAAATGAACCAATCCATGGCAGGCAGAGGCAGAGCCAGCAAAACGGACCGTGAGTGAGTGTGCTGGTCCCGGGGGGAAGGTTACCATTGGCGTAGTCAAAGTCCGGTCCTGGGTCACTGGTCTGGAAACAGTTCACAAGGAGCGAGGTGAGGTCCGAAGCAGGAAGCCGGGCGGGGACAGGAACACTGGGGGAACAGGACTGGATGCTGGCCGAGACAGCTCATCAACGACATTGCTCCCACAACCTGGGACCGGGCTGACTGGCCTTTATCTTCTCTGAGGCCAGGGGCGGTCCCGGCCCCCAGGAGACCCGCCTCTCCTGGCCTTAAGGCGAGCACTCCTCCTGGGAGAAACCAGTTCCCTTTGCCTCTCTGCCCTGAGCCTCTGCAGTTCAGGAGAGGCTGAAGGGTTACTGGACCCAGGGGGAGACTCACCTGTAGGCACTGAGTCCTCAACCACCTCCGGAGCCAGAGTGGATTCACCTGGTGCCTGCTCCTGAGGATCCGGCACAGGTGCAGGTGCTTCAGAATCAAGGCCCCGCCCCAGTTCAGCCGGCCCTGGAGGCAGGGACTCCTGTGCAGGCTGGGATTCCCCTGGTTCAGCCTCTGAATCGGATTCCCAGGCCATCACAGTGAGCAGTCTTCACTCCAGTCCGCTCTTCGCGTAGTTAAAGGGGCGGAGCCTACCTGAGAGTGCACAGTCGGCTCCAGAGCTTCTCCCTCCCTTTGTTTAATGCTCTTTTATTACAGATTAACTTCTTTTTCAGGTATGCGGGTGCTGCTACGGTCTTAAGATGGTTGCTGTTAAAGGACCGGGAAGGAATTTCCCTGCATTGGCAGGTTTCGCCTTCCCGTAGCAGATGTCACAACTTTGGCGGTTTTATGCCTTGTGTGGAATCTTTTAGCCTATCTTCGCCTAAATGGGGGGGGGGGTGAAGCGGTGATGGGCACCCCCCCACGGCGGCAATCCCAGGGTTCCCTGTTGAAGGGGCTGTGTCGGAGGGGGACTGGGAGAGATACACACCCACTGCCTAAGCCAAGGTCTTCTTTACATCTGAAAGTTTAAATAAAGTAGTGGCCAATTTAATCCCATAACACATTGTCATGGGTCATTCATTTCTTCCGGTTGGCTCTTGGGGTTGGGGGGGTTGGGTCTCTGCCTGGGCACGCAATAGGGAATTTACAAGCCAGAAATATATGTGCCAGAATAAAAACCTGTATCTTAGCAGTTTGTACTTTGCTTGGTTTTCATCCTCGCAAGAGTCTCTTACCTTGCAATGTGCTGCAGTGCTCCCCACATATTTCTTTATATGTTTCCATATGCAAAACATTCATTCATTCATTAACTTATCTTTCTCACATATCCTGCCTTTCTATCATTAAGGAACCAAATCCCTCACTGGATCAAGGCCTGAATCTATAATAATATGATTGGTGTAGTTGATCTATGCTCTTATATTCTCAACAGCCCAATTCATGTGAGCGATTTTATCACACTTGCATTGTCATTTTACCCATCTGTCAACACGGCAAAATGACAAAATGACTACATTCTTATTTGTGGCTACGAAGTCCGAATATTCTGTTTGCATATATAGCATAATGACATTATTTATTTTATCCCGCAGGCTTTGTGAAAGGGATATTCCTGAGCTTGTCTCCTTTGTCACAGCCATAATATGCCACGGATGATTTGAGGTGATAGATCACAGGAATCCTGCTGGCTCAACCAAAGTGAGGCAATCCATAACACGAATAAAATTATTTTCATATCTTGATATGATTTATCACTATAAGCCTACTATCTCTATTGATTCAATAGACACTTTGCAGGATGGAGAGAACATTATTAAAACTCTGCCCAGTTGATACTGCTAGATGTCAAAGAGGAAAAACAAATAGAGTCACCAGTTTTCTTTGGACCGGCGGAGATTATTCTGATCTCAAGGCACAATTTAGGAACTATTCCATGTATGTTAAAATAATTTTCCAGAGTGAAGGCAGAATATGGTCCCCCTAAAAGTACACAGAGTACACCACAACTCCACTTCTGGGCTATATGTTTGGGCATTTATTGGGATTCTGAGTATTACAGCTTTAAAAAGAAGCTTCTAGACCTCATGGTTACAATGGAAACTGAGAACGCCACACATACCGACCATGTGAAAATGAAAGAGAGAGAGAGACAGAGAGAATCAAAAGGGGCATTCTATTTTTAAAAGTTTGCATTCCATTAAACTGCCAATATAATTTCCCCTGATCTTTATTTCATAAAGGCCAATCGCTGTTCTGGGAACATTTAAATTCCTCAAAGATTTGCTTGCACAGTGTACACATATCATAACGGCATTCTCCAACATCTGCACAACATTTATCCCAAACAACAAATGTGCCCCAGAGATGTCCAGTTAAATGACATTTTCCTACATAACACATTAAAGTATTTATAAATGATAAACCCCATAGCATTTTCCTCCTGGATATTTTGTTGAAGCACTGGTTGAAATCCAGTCAATTCATAAAACCCAGAGAGAGATATTGAAGGTCCCCGGAAGGATCTGAGTTCTTGAGCAGAAAAGGTTTCTTGCTGCAGAAGACACACTAGAACATAGGGAAGCCAGGATGAAATGTAAGGCAATGGAGCAGAGCTAAAGCCCACAGCAGCCCTGCAGATCTTTTCTATTCATGTTCCCCTTCATGACTATAACACCTGAAGATGGCTTGCATGTGGACAGAGTCTGGAGTAAAACGCCTGGGGAAGCACAACAAAAGCCCTGTGTATGTGTTATAAAAAAACAACTTCCTCACTACACACTACGGTTCATATTTCAGGTTAGTCCCACAACCATGGCCAGCACAGGTGGAGGCAAATACCCATTCCAAAGTCCATCCATCTGCCTACCAAGTCTGAATTTTAAAACAAATCCGAATGAGAAATATAGACTTGTTTCTCTTTGGGAAGATTCAGATATGCAAGACAAAACTCCCCCCACAGTGACTCTATAATTTCCCCTTTTGTTTTGTCCTCTGCCCCCACCCCACCCCCGTCACACACATTTTTTTCTCCTTTAGCCGGGGTCTTGCAAACCTTCAAGTTCCCACAAGAACTGAAGCCATACACTCTTCCCTATAAGCTAGCACCTTGTTTATTATTTCCTGTACCCTTTTTGCTCTTCAGATATCAGTAGCCACAGTTCCCTTCCATTCCCTGTGCTGCATCTTTTGTAACGGTGAGTTACTGTCGCTACAAAATTAATCCTCAAACTAAACGTGTGGGTTTTAGCAGTTATTTTCTTTGCTGTCAGTTCTGCTTTCCCGAGCTGTTTAGCATCCACTGCGATCCACACATATCTCTGATAAAGGAGTGTTTGTTTGCTGACTGCTCCATATTGATGTGTTTACAATGAAACACAAGCATGGATGGAGGGGGAATAGGAAATGAGGGCCAGCAAAAAACAGCTATTCCCCCCCCCCACAACACGTACACTATATATAAGCAGTTTCAAATCACCCAAAAACAACTTCAAAGGGAGGAATTGCCCTTTAATTATTGCTCCTTCGTTATTACCTCTCTCGGCTATAAATATGCTTCTGATATTGACAATTAAATCTTTGGAGAAACAGACAGACATATTCTGCATTTCCTGAAACTGGTAGCTGCTCTGTTTTCCAGAATCAGCGTTCCTTATCATTAGGTAAGAACCTGGTTACAGTGGCTTCAGAAAAAGCTGTCCAAAAATCTATGGATGTCCAATACAACACCAACATCAGAAACTAACCGCCCAACTATCTCTCCTTCCACATTTCTCCATCACAGACAAACTTATTTTCCTAGGAAGAACCTGAGTTCTCAGCACTCTACCCATCTATAATCCCCAGCAACTCGTATTTATTTAGAAGTACACTGCCTCCAACAGCGACAGGATCATAGAATCATAGAACTGTAGAGTTGAAAGGGACCTCCAAGAGCCATTGAGTCCAACCCCCTGCAATGCAGGAATCTCAACTAAAGCATCCATGACATATAGCCATCCAACCTCTGCTTAAAAGCTTTCGAGGAGGGATAACATAGCTACTGTGGCTAGTAGCCGCATGAATTTGTCTAGTCTAGTCCTCTTTTGAAAGCCTCTTGTGCAAGCAAATTCCACAATTTAGCTATGCACTCTGTGAAGAAGTACCTTCTTTTGCCTGCCCTGACTCTTCCAATGTTCAGTTTTATTAGATGCCCCTGTATTCTAATTAAAATAGCAGCCACCAGCAGTAGCACTTGTTTACCAGACCGGCTTCTTTGCCACTGCTGTATTCAGACGCCTCAAGGTAAGGGAGGCAGAGTGAAGCCACCATTGCCAGAGGGACAGGGGGTGGCAGGAACACTTTGGTGCCATTGCCACCAGAAGTGGGTAGGGCTTCACTGCCACTACTGCAAATCACATTCCATGTAGTGCCAGCTTCTGAATAAATATGAAATCGCAATAGCACCAGCCAAGCAGCATGTGTGTCTATGCTGTGTGGCATTTTTCACAGCCATTATGGTGTCATTTTCCCAATGTGTATGTGCACACAGCAGTCGTGTATGTTTGTGTTAGGGAAAAAAGCTCCTTTCTTTCCATTCCCAGTTTTCACTCCATGGGAAAAGGCTGTCAGCAATTTCCTTCTGTCAACAGCTGGGAGATGGTTTTTGTTTTTTTGCAGTTAGCTGCAATTTGCTTCAATTATGTGTATTAATCATAGCCTGCTCCTGATGGTATTCTTTAAAAAAACCCAAAAAACGGAGTGTTTTTCTTTCTTTTATCTCCTGTTTTAATGAATAAGCCTTTTTCCTCTCGCACAGAGATGGGAGCCCACAATGCCATTTCCTGCTGCAAGTTTCAAGGCAATGGAAGTGGGATGTTGCAACAGCTCCTGGGATCAGACTGCTTGCAAGAAACTGAGCAAGACTGTGGATTTATTCATTTCTTTGTGAGCACATGGGGTTTGGATAATCAACCACCTGGGCTGGCAAGGGCCACATGGGCCTCTCCAGTGGAATGACCACTTCTAATCTCTGCAGGGTGCTGCTTCCACAAAGCCACATAACGGCCCTCTCCTCAACATGGTTGGAAAACCTAAACATTCTCTCAACCACCCCACCACCATAATAATGCAAATTTCCACCCTGAACATAGCTCTGGATCAATAGCACTATTTCCCAATGCCCTCTGCAACTATGTTAGATGATGGTGGCCAGAACAATCCCACCCCTCAATCTGCTTGATCAGAGGGTATCTGGATGAGTGCTGCCTGGCTCTGCCAGCCTCTGTCATTGGGGGAGCTCAGGTGTCAGTGAGGAAGCCACAACTGCAAGGACCGCCCCAAAGTGTCTGCCCGAACAGCAGGCAAGCAGATCCTACCACCAGTGGCATAGCCAAGGGTAGCCAGTGGAACTCCAACCCTGCCCCACATATGGTGTTTTGGGCCAGAAGCAGCACAGAATCCAACACCAACCCTGCTACCAGCATATGACAGTCATAGGACTGATTTGGACCTCTTTGTTACACCAGCCTGGCAACTCAGAAAACAGGTATACTTCTCTGCCTGCTCTTCTGCCTTGGCTAGTGCAAGCAGCAAGGCTGTGAAAGTGATGGTGGTTACAGTGCTCTATCAATCCCCATCGCTGCTGGCCAGGAGGTTGGATTATCCTCTAAGCCTCTCCTCCCCAAAGCCATTCTCAGTGGGGAAATTCACATGTCCATGGGAAGGCCAGGTGCTGTGACTAAGAACATAAGCCAATGGCCCAGTTAGACTAGCATCCTGCACTCACAGCGGCCAACAAGGTGCCTGAAGGAAACCTGAGAGTAGGACTTGAGCACAAGAGCACTCTCCCCTCCTGCAGTTTCCAGCAAATGGTATTTAGAAGAATACCAGCACAGCATAGCACAGCCATTCATGGCTAGTAGTGACTGATCCGCCTTATTCCCATCTTCCTTGCCTTGTTTGCTCTGTTCATGAAGCCAGGTGAAACCCCTCTTGTTCACCCAGAGACCTGCTTCTGCTCCTTTTAAAATGCACCTGATTTTCAGTATTTGTATGTTTCAGCCATAAGCCACTCAGAAAGTCTTCAAACCGAACAGCAGGATAATAAAGAATGCTATAAACAAAAAAAACAACAACACAAAAATAATAAACATAGTTCTTCTTGTTGTCGTTTTTACATTTCTGGCCAATGTGCACATGCCCAAACCATTCAGATGGGATTCTAGACTTGGGGAGGAGTTGCCTTGTACATGCCATGCATCCTTCTTTCGTGGATGGAAAGCCAAGCTGCTCAAAGGAACTACCATCCTGGGGTACTGATATGCACACAGGAAGTAGCTGTATACTGAGTAAGACTATGTGGTCCATCTAGCAGCAGCTCTCCAGGGTTTCAGGCAGGAGTCTCTCCCAGCTTCATCTGCAGATGCCAGGGGTGGAGTCTGGGACCTTCTGCATGCCAAGCAGACGCCCTACCACTGAGCTACATCCCTTCCCATGCAAGGGAAACTGAGTCCCATGCTGAAAGCCTGAAAGGCACCTGCCAGAGTGACTTGTTCAGAGCAAACAATGGTAGACATCCTAAGGGATGGTCAGGATGACACAAAGGTAAATTGTTGAGCATCAGAGGAAAGGGCAAGTTTTGACTACTCTCCCAAATGCTACTTCAGGCAAGGCAAGACAGAGCTAGGGGAAGGGGGAAGAGAGCAGGCAAGAAAGGTATAGCAGAAGTGAAGGGGAGGGGAGGAAACCTGGCAACTCTCGGATCGAAAAACATAGATGCAGAGAAAATGGAGAAAAGATGGAGTGCAGTAAACAAAAAGGGGTGTGTGCTTGAGAGAGACAGAACTCTGTGATGGTGCAACAGTAACAAATCCTCACAGCATGACAGGCGCCTGCTGAAGCATTTCATTTCCCTGCAGCATAATGGTGTGTTATTGCCCATTATCTGTTCTGTCAGTGCTGAAGTCAATATTAAATGAGGGGCAGCTGCATTTAGCTGCCATTCTTCAGCCATCTCCCTGTTGCCATGGAGACCCAGGTGCCCTTTAAACACCCTCCCAGCAGCCTGAGAGCCACTTATCCAGAAATGGATGCCATGTGGCTGGGAGATCACCGATGTTATCCAACTGCATAGGCGTGACCACTCACTGTGGGACATTCCCATGTTATCTGCAAGACCCCCTACCCAGAGGGTGGCCAGCTCTGAGGACTCATGTCGTCCCCTCCACGCCCCACGCCCCCCTTGGTTAGACCATTTGATTAGAAATGGCTAACTCATTTATGCATGGCCCCCAGCTCATGGGATCTGCAGGTATTGTTTGGCTGGAGGCATCTTTAAAGGACTTCAAGAAACCAGTTAATCAAATAAAGGATGGTGGTATTTGCTGTTGAAGGGCGACTGCTATCAGCAAGATGTAAGTAAGTACTGTGGGACACAGATCAAGTCTACCATCTACACTAGGCTTTCACAGCCTACTGTACTACAGATGTTTTTGACTACAACTCCCATCAGCCCCTGTCAGCATGGTCAGTGGTTAGGAAGATGGCAGTTGGACTGCACAACATATTTTTTTTAAAAAAATAAAAAATTCTGTCTTTTGTAAATTACCAGTGTCTGACTCTGGGGGCACAGACAGAAGTCCATGAGACCAGAAATCAGTTCTGTGATGGCCAGTATAACTTGGAGCATTATTTTTGCAAAGTATCCAGATGTCCTCGCCCCCCCTCCCCCCACAGTCAATTTAACACTTCCTCCTTCCTCTGGGACATTTAGATTTCACCAGGATTTGTAACTACTCCTTGACAAGCTAATTCTTCTGAAACTGCTTAAATGCTAATCCTTTTAAAAAACACCATATGATTTATTTATTCAGATAACATAATTTACAGAAACAACTTCCTATCAATAATTGCAACCTCATGCATTCAAATAACCATCTCAAACTGAATATCGGCACCAAACCGCTGCCTTTTGCTTTTCTCAGGCAGCTTCTAAAGTCAGCATATCCAGTCACAATAGGATTTCAGAAATGACAGAAGAAATAAAGGAGAATGACAGACTGATAGCTCAATCTGATATGTATGTGGAAGCAAATCCTATCTATTTACATGCAGGCAAGTCTCTTTGGGATTTCTTCTATGGAATATTGTCATGGTATGCTTCTTGCAGATAAGTTCTCACACCCTAGTAACTAAGCAAACACAGGACTGCTTCTGTTAAAAAGAATGTAAGAAGTAACCATACAGAATGTACAGCTGTATTTCCTGTGTGTCCTGACAGGTATTGTATGCACATATGAATCAAGTTACTTGAAAGAGCATTATTTTTTTAAAAAAAAAAAACAACAACGTTACTTTCAAAGATCTAACAATACAGTATTTCCAGAATAATGAGATCTTGTGTGATCTCAACAAACATACTGTCAAGGCTGCCTCAGGTCTCAGCTCACAAAAGACCAACGCCAATCTCTTCTTACATACAAAAGTGTTTATTGCAGTTCATTGTTTGCTTCATATCCGAGGCGCGCAGCCCCACGTCTGTACGCTTAGACCGTTGAAGTCCCCTCTGAGTCAGTCCCTCCCTGCACCAGTTTAAGAGCCTTGCGCTGCTCCACCTCTTTCTCTCTTTCCTTTTCCTCAGGGTCTTCCTGCCCGCTGGGGTTTCGCCCCTCCTGGATTCCCCTGATGCGCTATCCCCCGACTGCTCTTCCCCCCTCCTGCGGGCTTTAGGACCTGGCCCTTCTTCCGGGCTCCCTGTACTTCCGCGCGCCTCTACATTTGAACTTGGCGCGCACGCCCAACCTCTAACTTTCCTTTTGACAGTTACACTACTCCCTTCACTACTTCCCTCCCCTTCCGGGAGGGTGTCTTGCTCCGACCTCCCTCCCTTCTCTGCTGCCGGAGCTGCTTCCCCTGATACACTGGAACCTCCACCCCCTTCGCTGCACTCTGGCGGGGAGGCTGGTCCTGACGCCCAGCTGCCACTTTGGGATCCCCGCTGGCCCCTGTTCCTGACACGCCCCTGGGGCTCCCTGGCCTTGACCACTGGCGCCCCCTCTGGGAATCCTCTGATTCGCTGGAAAGACTCATGGAATCTCTTGAGTCATTGTCATCCTCTTCCTCGCTGTCCTGGGATTCACCCCCATCGCTCTCCATCTCCTCCCTACCCTGTGCCTCTGTCCCTGAACCCCTGACATCCATCCCCCCCTCGAAGCCCCCCCTTCCCCCCTCCCGCTGCTCGGGCGCAGGTTCCGGGAGCTCCGTTGTAGCGGGGGTAGATGCTGGATACAGTTCGTCAACGTCGATCTCCTCTGCTTCCAGTTCAGTGTATGAGTGCTCGAAACCGGGGTCCTCCCCCAACACATCCAAACCCTTCCCTCCCCCGTTACTTCAGGCGATGCTGCTTGCCAAGGCCCCCTTCGCCACCCCACTTCCTGTTGATCGTCCCACCAATAAGAGCGGTCCGTGTCCACCCCCGAGCACGATCCCCTTGGAGGGCTCGATTCCGGCGTGGTCTCCTCTGCGGAGGAGAACCCCGGAAGGTGCTGCCTGAAAGTGTGGGCGTAAAAGCCAGTCGTCAAAATACTCCGCTGGCATGGGCCTGTGTGGGAAGAGTGCATGGAACTCGTCTTTAAGAAGAGGTTCCTCCAGAGCATAATCTGGCACCCAACTGTTGGCGCTGGCCGGGGTACCTCCCTGGCGAGGAGGTATTCCACTCCCTCCTCCCCCCATCTCGAGTCCAGAATTTCCGTGACCTCGTTGAGTGTCGGGATCCTCGGTGACTTCCCCCCCCCCCGGTGACTTTCTACGGGGGTCTGGTGCCGTCCCTGGCTCCTGAAATCTGTGTGGGGCCTTGTAGGGTGTAAGCACCGACCTATGAAAGACCGGGTGCATTCTGGAACCTTCTGGGAGTGCCAACCGAAAAGCTACGGGATTGATCCTGCCCTCAACTTGGTATGGCCCTAGCTGTTTGTGTCCTAGCTTCTTCTTAGCTAACGACTTGGCCGGCACCGCCTGGGCTGCTAACCATACCCAGTCCCCCACCTGGATGTCTTCTCCTGCCCTCCTGTGCCTGTCTGCCTGCACTTTGTAGGCGTGTTGAGCTAGTTCCAAGTGCCGTCGTAGCTCCTCGTGGACCTCCTGCAATTCTGCTGCTAAATGCTCAGCTCCCTGCGACTCCCCTGCGTCGTTGTCTCCAACGCCGGGAAGGTTCTGGGATGTCGCCCATTGTTGGCGAAGAACGGTGTCACCCCGTTGACGCGTGCTTCGTGTTGTTGTAGGCAAACTCGGCCATCGGTAAGTAGTCCACCCAAGTTGCAGGCTTTTGATTGGCGTAACATCGCAGGTACTGCTGCATGATGGTGTTGACCCTCTCCGCTTGGCCGTTGGTTTGCGGGTGTCTCGCCGACGCTAAGTTGATCTTGACATTCAGGATGCCCAGGAGCTTCTGGGAATCCTCTGATTCGCTGGAAAGACTCATGGAATCTCTTGAGTCATTGTCATCCTCTTCCTCGCTGTCCTGGGATTCACCCCCATCGCTCTCCATCTCCTCCCTACCCTGTGCCTCTGTCCCTGAACCCCTGACACATACACAAAACACAATAGTGGTAATTGTAATGAGCCCAAACATATTTCCAGAGTTTTCTGAGAATTCCAAAGAAATGAAGCTAAGCTTCCATTGAAGAGCCTTCCCCCCAAAATATGTATCTAAGCTGTCCCAATGGAAAGAGAAGCCAGGAAGGAACTTAACTCTGTACAATTACTTTCTAATATTTATGCCCTCAAATTCATATAAATCAGCAACAATCTCTCATTTAAGAAATGTCTCAACTCATCACTCGAGTAACGGAAGTCCTGTGTGTGTCATCTACATGAGAGTGCTCCCTAGCTGTGAACCCTCAATATCACTGCTCTGCAGCTTCAAATATATTTCCATTGCATGTTCATCTTGTCAACAGGCAATATTAGCCATACCAGCTTAACCAAGATTCCTTCCTGTTGAGCCCCTTCTTTACTCTTTTAGAAACAGCAATAAAGCAGATGAACTGCAGGTGAACAAATATCTTACCATGTTGACCAGTACTGATTGGAAGACATTGCAGCAATAGGAAGCAGGTAGCTGAATAGGACTGAGTAACAACGGTTCAGCCTATATCCCACCAATCATATTTGTCAGCAATAGAAAATGTAACTCATATTTCCACCCTTTTTCAATATTTCCATGAGATCATAAATGACAAAGCAAAGATTGAAAAGCAAGATATTTCGGCAACAAAGCTCATTTTAAACTTAATTAACTGATGCATTAAGTGCTAGAGAAGAGGCTTATGGGATCATAACATCAATCTATTTTCCTGTAATATCCACAACATGGGTACAGAGGATTGCTACCTCAGGCATCTTAAAATCTCCAAATTGTTTTGTTGCCGGATGATGGCAGATCCATGTCCATTGCAATGCCTTTGTCCTGAAAGCCAACTGAAGTAGAGA